GGTGCCAGATCCCCGCTTCTTTAGAGCAGGGATTTTCAGCTAATGTCAAAGCATACAATGATTAGGTGATACAGGCAATTATTTACATAGGCATATGAAAGGGTAAAACAGTTCAGTACAATATAAACTAACTGAATGTAATCCATACCAGATTGGGTGTTTAGGTTCCTTAAAGCTTAATAAAGTTTGCTGTAATTCTTTTTTTTTGAAAAATCTTATTTGCCAAATACTTTTTTGAAGTAGGATAGGGAGTCTTTTCTTCCCTGTTTTCCATACCTCTTCTGTCACACTAATATACACACCTGATTCTGGATGTAAACCTGGTAATCTTTAGTAGTGAGGTCCTGGTACATTCACTGCTGAATTAATGCACTGGTATCTTAACACATAATTTTTTTCTAAGTCAGGAGTGACATCCTTTAGCCTATAGTCTGCCTACAGGTCACAAAATCATTGTGGCCTTCTGCCATGTGATTTTTTTTTTGTGTTGTTTTGGTTTGGTTTTCACCTTCTAACATGTTAATATATGACCCTGGGTATTAGAAAACTGTATTTATCATAACATAGGTTGCTTCTAATCCTTGATCTGTGTGGATATAATTTTCATAAATGCTCTAGCATGAATAGAATTAAATGTGTAGCATATTTTGGGGCATTAGCTTGTTACATTGGAAAGCAGTCTGGGCCCTTGATTAAGTATGATGCTCTTGTGAACTGCCTGATTTCCTCTCTATATTCTGCATGACATAATGAGATGAGGTTGTTTCACCATCTGCATGTATTCTTTTGGCACATCGCTTTTAGATTTTGATTTGTTGGTTCTGGAAACAGAACTTTCCTTGAAGAGTTCCTATAAACACATGAATGCCTTTCTCAGTATTGGAACTTCAGTTTCATATTGAATGCTGACATGAGCTGAAGTGAGCATCAGTGGGGACCAGAATTACATGTGTTGTTGACAGCTTTGAACCACAACAAATGAAAGTCACTTTATCAACTCTTTACATTATTTAGATTTACTTTCAGGGAATCTCTGTAATAGTTGACTGTAATTTGATAGGCAGTTAGCAAGAACAAACTAGAGTAAATCAGTTTCAATTACTTGTTACTTGATCCTTGGAATAAAACCAGAGAACAATAAAAGTTCTAAATAATTTAACAAATACAGTGCTGAAATAGCAGCTTGTCTCTGTCACCTGGAAACTGATGACGATGGATTCCAGTTTGGTTCTGACAGCACCATGTTCTTCAGGAATTCTACATCCTAAACAGATTTATACCTTCACCTACAAGCTCTGTAGTTAGTTTTTTAAAGGTTGGTTTCATTCAACTATATTCTATTTAGATAATCTTTACAGTGTACTGTAATGAATGACAACTATAATTAAGCATTAATCTTCCAATAGAGCTGTGTATGAAAGGTTCACAGGTCCAAACTGCTTTCCAATATACTGAATTAACTCCTCAAGGCGGACTGAAAGCCCATTGAGGCTCCAAGGTGATATAGGACATTTGTTGGGCAGAGCTGGAGAATGTTTCCAAGAAAATTAAACATAGCTGTTGCAGAGCTGCATCATAATTCAAATTCTGATTTTTGTTTGATTTTCAGATTAAGGCTAGGATGTCCTCTTTGTTTCTTTTGTTCCTGTCCACGCATTCTAAAAGATTTATGGATAAAATCTTAGGTGGCAATCTCACAAAGTGAGAAGTTGCAGTTTTTACCACAGTCAGCCAATCTGACCATTTTTTAACACCTTGGCAAGTCTGTATGACAAGAGTAGGCAAAAAAGAAATCCAGAGGAGACTTTCCCATATGACTAAACCAAGCTGAAATCTGGAATTTCCAAACTGCAGAAGGTTGAGGTTAATTCTTTTCCTCTTGCAGATGAAATTTCAAAAGCGCTTGAAGGTAGTTTTCAAAAGTTTGGCAAATGCTGCAGTGTTTCAATACAGTTGTTAGGTGTTTAGTATTTTTCCTAAGCCAGTTCTCCTCCCATCACTGTGAGTATTCAGACAGAGGGTGCCGTTTTATATTACAACTGGACTGATTAACTGTGGGCAACGACCAAAAAGGGAGGTCTTGTTTTCTTCTCCAAAGCTTGTTCCTTACCCCTCCAGTATGTCAGCACTATTGCTAGTCTGACCCCGCAGTGAACTGATTGAGAGAACTAAAGCTGTAGAAAACTAACACTAAAAAAAAAAAAAAAAGAGAGAAAATAATAGCTTTCTTAATGATGTAGTGCTCGGATCTAGCTGACCATGGGGTCAGGTGAGTGCCAGTGCTGTTATAAGTGACTGCGATGCATAGCCAAAGGCAGGCGGAGTGGGAGAGCTCTTCAATTAATATAAATGTACTGTAAATCTAGACTTTGAGCATACAGTTCCCCCTATCAGGTTAAAGATTACTTATGGATTATCTATATTGCTGCTGAGAAGAATGATCTTGCTGTCCTCCATGTTTTGTGCCCTCTTTTCCTACATGATCCTTTGTGGTAACACTAGTGTTTTTGTGGTTAGTTGGATCAGGGGGCAGGTCCAGCTGAAAACTAAGCTAGCAAAAAAAAGAATTCAGAATTCAGCTTCACAAATGTTGTTTTTGGCATAGCAAGGGACAAGGCAGCATGAATTTGTCCATTGTGGCAGCAGCACAAATTTATATTTCCTAAAGTCTATTTTGATGTCGCATGATAAATATTCATATAGAAAAAGCTTTTTTTACCAATTCTTTGACTCTTAGCTGGTGTACTGTTCCAGGTACGAAGACTTTCTTGAAGGGTAAGACCCTGAAATCATATGTGGCAATCCAGCCACCTCATCATCAGTCTGTTTTGTCTGTGTGATTTCCCTCTAGTATCTTTTCTGGGATGGACAGTGACCCATAGAACACTGTTTGATTTAGGAAAGCCATCACTGTATGCAGTGTGTGATGGCCTACCATGTAGTCATCATCATATCATCATCTATGTTAACAGAAGTGACATTTTGATTTTCTTTGTTTTCTCAGTGTTTCAAATTTGTTCTATTTGGTTTCACTTAAGTATATACATCAATGGAACACATTATCTAAAATATTTAGGATGCATACTTTGCACGTGAGCATGACTAATTACATCGAGCTACATCTTTAAGTGCATTTATGTTCTCTGAACCTGGCTGCACTGAGGAAATGGCATTCTAGCCTCTCCAAACACATTTCACGTTTTCCAACAGGCTCAAGACTTTCTTTTGAAGATTTTCTTCCATTCAGAAATGAGATTCAATGCAATGCATTCTAGCCTAGCTTTTCTCCCTACTGTTTTCTTTTGGGATTACTGTTTGGTCATTGTTCGGTTCAGGACATACTCAATTGCCCTTGTAATTAGTGTGGAGCTAATAACCACGTACTGACTAATCATGTCTGCTCTGGTTTTCTGGGATTGTTTTGACTCTTTCACCTCCCACTGACTTTTTGGGGGGCGTTTTTGACATTCATCACCTCTGAGGCTAGTGTATTTCATTTTTAAGTCATAGGCATTAAGTGATAGGATTATTCTGACTAAATGTGACTGCCTAAAATTTAAGTGTCTATATCGAGATGGGTCACCCTAGGACTCCTTTACGGACAGTGATGTTCTATCATTACGTTCCTGGGGTTAGCATGTGATATGTTTCACCCTAAGTTGGATCCCTGTGTTTGGTCAGATGATTCATGCCATAAGAAAAGTGGGAGTAGATCGTGTGTTGAATTCTGATTAGATTTCTAATCTGATTTGCTTGGAGAGTTGGTCTAAGTGTCTGTATAGAACCGAGTGTGTAAAATTTAGGCTTTCAATATCTGTGGAAATTGAAGTTGCCAGACATAAGAATAGTTTAAGGAGCTTCATCCCAGGTTGAAATCAAGAGGAACACCTTTAAAATGCTAATGTGTGGATGCACATGATAAAATTTACATTCATGCACTGATGTTTAAAATTTTCAACTATACAGGGATATTACTATTACCACTATAGCATGCTGTGAAATCATCTGCTCATAAGATCAGCATTTTCATTAGTGTTTAAAGACTGACAGTAATTGTGGGGTTTCTTTCTTCTGCCCTTGGAAACCAGGCTGTGCTTTTTATTTCCTCTGTAGTTCTTGGAAGCAGGAACAGCCTCCTGTCTTAACTTTGCACATTCTGTTTGACAAGTTCAGTCTCTTGTTTGGCTAGATACTTCATCTTGTAATAAAAGAAAGAACCAGTTTACCTTCTGTAATTCAGATTCTGGTTTATTTCATAGTTGTGTTTACAACAAGTTTGTTTAAAGCTGCAAGGAATCATTTGTATAGTTCTTGGCTGTCACTAGTCAAGAGGATGAAATTAATAGCCACTCCCTTTTCAATCCCTAAAACGTTTTCCTTCCAACAACCTTTTAAGGTAAGTACCACTGGGTTGCAAACCCATAGTGCTCTGGTAATGTTTAAAATGCATCTTACTTGTCCAGACTTGATTAAGATTTAAGTGTCTTTGGCAGAAATCAAAGATCAATGAAAGTTCCTCCTTAATATATGTATAAGGAATATAAAATGGAAAATCAGTGCACAATTTGTAGGGTTAAGTTTAAGAACTTTAACTCATTAAGATTCTTCTCAATTCATTCACTTCAATATCAACATTGCCATTATTAATAGAAGTATCATTTTCAGTATGACTCTCAAAATTTGAAATAAAGTTTGAAGTTCTCTACGTGTGTTGCAACTTACAATAGAAGAGAAGGTTATGGAATATGAAGCAAGAAGTAGATTCATCTGTTGGCCTGTGACACCTCAAAGGTGTTGGTAAAAAACCCATTTTAAACACTAAGCACATGCTAAATTTTAAGCACTTGCATTTCTCAGTACTTAAAATTGCTGAAGATCAAGTATAGGCATAAGTATTTGCAGGTTTTCAGATTGAATGTTTAAGGTCTACTTTGTTCCCCAACAGATGCTGGTTTTGACATTTCATTAATTAAGACTGGCTTTTTTCACCTTTTTCCTAGGTGTTTACCTCTCATGGACCTACTGTGATTATGCCAACCTGGTTCTGTTCTCGAGAATGGTTTTTTCATGTGGGAAAATTTGATGAGGGTGGAAAGGTGAGTGCTACAGATGATATGCATGATACGTAGTCCAGGTGCCATCTCTTTGTCTATCAGCCTCTGTTATTAAGAAATGCTAGGCAAAGGGGTATAGATAAAAATTGAGGTCTAAAAAAATCTGGGTCATACTGTATACTTTTTAAAAACAAACAAACAAACAAACAGTTGTTAATCAAGTACAGTTGTTTTGGAGTAACTCTGGTGATTGAAGAACATAACTGAGATGGGCTTTGTAGATAAATCTAACACATTTGTTAGGTGTGTCAGCATAGCTGGAAAAATTAAAGGGTTCAGACATTCAAGCTTCTCTTCAGTACCTGAAATAGATGTAGCAGATCTGAAAGCTAAACAAAAGTCAGCTCATAGTTTCATTATGAACCAACTCTGAAAGGTAGAATAGATTTGGTGAAAGAGATTGGAAGGGAAGAAAGGTACAGGATGGCAAAGAGATGGTAATATGTTCTCCTAAGGGGAAAGATTTATATCCCTAAAATGAAGAAAGAAGGGAGGAGGGGAGGTCACAATGTGCCGTAAAACTATTCTCATTAAATCTCATTTAACTGTTTGTCTCATCCACTTGTCAATATTAGTTCTCAGGCTTGTCCTTGGAAGATGTTAAGTAGCTTTTTCTCAAGGATCATGAATGAGAGGTTGCAAATGAAACAATTGTCATCTGAGAATTGTTCCTCTGCTGACAGTTAGGTGTTATTTTTGTTTATAGATTTTTGTGTACAAGTTCAATTTGGTTGCTTTAGGCTCATCAGCAGATTTATAGAATAAAATCCAGGGATGTCATTTGGTGGCATTTGTTGTGGTACCAAAAGAAATATGGTGGCAAATAGATCTAATTCCAGATGCATTTGGATCCATTCTGTGTGGTTTTGGCCTGAGGGGTTTTGCTTCCAGTGGTTTTGGTGAGGTTTTAGGGCTAGGATGGGTGGTTCTGAATTTTTTTTGGAAAGCCTTCATTTAATAGTACTCTAAAAAAATTGTGCTTAAGGCTATTTCCTATTCTTTAAACTGCAACATATTATAATTATTACTGTTTTTATAGCCTCTAAATGGAGCCCTCCTGTGCCATGCAGTGTGTATATATACATACATACATACTCACACATGTATATGTATGTATGAGCATATACAAATGCTATTCTTTGGGCTGCCAAAAAAGGTATAATTTAAGGAGACAGCAGACAGAGAACAGAGTTATTCAGAGTGATGAAAAGATTTGCCCTTAATTACATGGCAGGTGAGTGGAAGAGCTGGGAATGGTGCCTGGCTCCCAATACAATCTACATTCGCTGACCCTTGCTTTTTATTTCCTTTTTACTTTTATTCCTTATCATTGTATTTTCATTCTCTGGAGAATGTTTGACTTAACTTCCTAAACATTGTTAGTAAGCTCAAAAAAGAAAGCAAGCTAAAACATAATAACAGCAGTAGAACAGCAAGCCTAATGATAAAGTACAAGAGGTTAAATTAAACAGACTATTGTTGTGTGCTTTTGCTTTTAGTTTTGGGTTTGGGTTTTGGATTTTTTTTGTGTGTGTGTTTTGCTTCATATATATTTAGTTGTGTAGGGGCTCTGCCACTGGTTATTCAGATGTAATACAGTGATAATCCTAATGATTTTTCAGCTACAATGTGTGATATGTCCTTTCAGTTTCAGTAACTTATAAGTGATAAGTTAAACTTTTTGTTTGCCCCTATTGTGAAGTTGTCAAAACTCAAACTCTGGCTGATACAGGGGACCTTCAAAAAAATATCCTATGTACAAGGGTGATGACAGATCTGAACAGAGCAATGAACATAAGCAGAGGAGTCAAACCTTTGTCCTATGTGGGTTTAGAGGACACAAAATCAAGTCCTAAATGTTTTAGCATTTAGCACTGTAAAGTATTTAGCGTTGATCTAACTCATTCATTTTCATTTGACAAGAATTCCTTTGAGGCAAAGGAAGATTTTGTCTGTGTATCAATAGAGCTGTTATAAACTATTACTGTGTACTCTAAAGGATCTTATCCATCTGTGTGTATGTTCTGACCTGACCCATGATCTGACTATGTTAATTTGATCACTTCCATCTCCATTTTTGGGTTAGTATTTAACAGTGTGACCTGTAAGTGTCATATTGCTGCAAGTAAACACAGAAACAGGCCAGCAATCTCCACATTTCAGCCTTCTCCATCTGCTAAGCAGTTTCCATGCCAAAAAGCTGCATTTCTCATTTGGAATTAAATCCAAACACCTGTTCTTCATATTTCAGTGCTTAGAACAAATGGAAGATAATTCTTTCATGGAAGAAATTTGTGATTTGCTGTTTATGTTAGTAGTATGGGTGGACCGATAGTATAAAAATATATAAGCTATGATGTAATTTTTATTGTATTAAAGGTAGGTATACATGTATGCATGTATCTCTCCATCCATCCAGGCTTTATGTGAAACAGATTTTTAAAAAATATTTACAAAATATTTTTAGAAATTATGTTCTTTCTGGTCAAGACCTGCAGTTGTTGGAAATGTAATCCTTTTATGTAATCACTGTGGCAATGTCCAAGCAAAATCCTAAATGCTTCATAAGTGGTGGCTAAGGGCCTGACAGGTTTGCTTTATGCACTAATTAACTAAAATGGTACAGGTGTGTTTTATGCAACCTCTGATATATGATAATTAAAGCAGAAGTACTAGAAAGTAGTTGATTTTAGCAAGTTCTAATGCTGTGCTGAGACTAAGATAACACTATAGAAATGGTCACAAGCCTATGACGTAAAATTTTAAGTAGTATCCACTGCTAAGAGGAGAGTCACGTGAACAATACTTCTGACTTGCTTTTTTAGAAAACTGAAGGGAAATAATCTTCCTGTTATCCAACTGATTTGGATAAAGAGTACAATACTTCCTTACTGAAAGAAGTAGCAGGACTTTACTAAACCATTCAGAACTCATACTTGAAAATTAGTGCGCAACATTATCTGCATGATTGGTCTTGCTCCTATACGTTTTGGTGGCTTCTAACAGGTGGCACCATTGTGTAAAAGTCATAGCTGGGTCCAAAAGTGTCACAAAAAGTTATGCTGAGGAAAAACGTACATGGTCTTGTATAATACGAAAAGCAGATTTCGAAGCAGTATCATCTGTTAAAGTATGGAACTTAGTCATGCGCTGTGGTAGACGTGGTGTCTGTTACTAGCTAATCAATGTTATTGCTTCATATGTTTGACAGTGCACTTCAATTTGCCTACAAAACCACTGTTTTGTAGTTGTATATGACTGACCTTGTGTACTTCTACCAAAATGTGTTCTTCAGGTGGAAAACAGATTTTGTTTGCTACTAATGTCCCAGTGGAGATCGCTGAGAAGGCATATTATTTGTTTCTTTTGGCATGTTGTTCTTTTGCTCTAGTCACTTCTGTGTAATGGCACTAAGCTAAAACAACCTAGCTTGTTGCTTTAGATAAATCCTGTAAGAATTCTTCAGTACAGTAAGAACTGTATAAATGAGCATTACTTAACCTGCAGAGTCTACTCCATGCAAATGCAGCAAATTGTATAGTTTTGGCTTTTTTCAAGCAGTATTATTCTTGACATCACAACTGTAATATGCCACACTTGTTTCTTTCTCTAGAGTTATACCACAACTTGGTCCCAAATTTCCCATCACCTCTGTATTTAACCTTCCTTTTTAAGTGTATGAAAACTAAAAATGTAGTGACAACCTTAAAGTTCTATACTAATCTCAAAATGTAAACAGAGGGAAATTATTCTTAATGAGCCCCAGATGGAATAGCATATTATAAGCCACCGGCCTTTCATAACACAAAATGTGACTCCAAAAAAAGTGTCTGGAGCTGTTTTGATCTATTTTTGTGATAAAAGGTCACAAAAAACATGAATTGAGGAGGTGTCAAAATACCCTTTGGTGCACAGGAGACTGTAGCACATGCTGCAAAGTTCTAAGATAACTTCATGTGCTATTAGGCACTAACTGATGCATTTTTCGATTTTTCTCTGCCAGAGCACACAAATGTCATTCCCTCCAGAAAGGCAGGCAGTTACAATAACGCCTAAAAGGTAAAAGGCTAAGTAGGAATTTGGGTTTTTGGAACATGAATTAAAATATGGTCAGTCTGTCAAGTAAGCTATCAAGGTGCTCTGGGGAAAAATCTTAGATAAAACACAGGCACTAATGTTTTTGGCTTGATATAGTTAAAGCTGAACAGAGATCCATATTTGATCTAAAAAGGAAAGAAAAAGTGATGGAGCCAATGATTAAGTACGTTTGATAAGCTATTTGAAAATTCACCGTATATCCCATATCTGATGACATTTTTTGCTAGTCTGTTAATAAATATCATTTAGAATTTACCACCTCCCTTCCATTTGACTTACCCATCATCTTTGTTTAACTGATCTGGATGAAAGCAATCTTTTGGAGCTTACTCTAACCTGTTACTTCCCAAACAATAAAGTAAATGTCAGAGGCTTCAGATCTTACAATGGAGGCAAAAATTATGTCGAGACATGAACTGGATGGGAGCCAAAAAAAAGAATTGACAGATATGCAGAAAGAGCCTTAAGCATATCTTGGATAATCCTGAAGAGAAGCTATTAATAGCTATTTAATGTGGAATTAACTTGTGGTTAGTCTGCTTGAATACCTCTGGTGACTATCCTAAAGGAAGTTAAAATAAGGATTATTTTCAAATAATGATAATTTCACCTGCAAATAAGTAATTTCAATGAGAAGTTGTTCATTACAGAAGAAAAATACAATTGACATTGAATACAAAATTTGCTTTTAGGGAAAGATTGAAGGACAGCTAATTCTTGATAAATTACTTTAGTTCCTATTTTTTTCCACCTTTACATTTAAATTGGAGAAGAGCTGCAATTTCTTATTTAATTTTAGCTTCCAGCAGCTTAATAGCTGTTCCCCATTAGCAGCACACTTTGAAAAGGATTTGTTGGTAAGTTTAATGCCTGACAGAACAGCATTTGTTTCTGAGACAGGAGTACTTCCTTTGAAGTAGGATGTCTTTTGTGTTGACTTCCATGCAACCAACCCCTCAGTATGTGTTATTTTTGTAGGTCCAAGATTTAGCTCAAGACTTTGAGGAAATACTGTTGGACAGCTGTTGGCATATGTATTTAAAAAAACACAAAACAAAACCAAAAAAACCCAAACAAAAAAGCCACAACACAAACAAACAAACAAAACCCACCAAAAAGTACTTTGATTTTTTTACTCAACATCTCTGCTTTGTTGCTAAATGACTCAGTCTAAAATTTTTCTCCCTGTTTAATCTTAGATGTTGTAACATAAACTATTTGACCTGCTTTTTATGCAACTATAGCATAATATTAATACTGAAATGTTTTTCTTTTTAAATGAATGTTCTAAAATATGCGGTATGAGATGAGTTAGTTTAAAAAATAGCAATGAAGCAAACTCTTTCCAAAGTCCTGTAAGAAACAGGTTAGAATGGAATCAAAAGTTACTTTGGTTTTAATACATTCTTTCCATTCACCAAGTTTAGGATCCTCTGGGGAATTAAAGCAATTTGGCTAATTCTGTCCAACAATTAGCCTGATGTTGCTGTCTTAGTTGCAAAAAGTGTACCAAGCTATAGCCCAATTCTCCTTGATGCCTCTAGTCAAGAGGAACGGCTAAGCTTTCCAAAACCTGCAGGGTCCTTTTCATGTGTGGATAGACTTACTTCCCTTGTCTTGTCATCACTTTTTGTTATAAATGCATGTATTTTTGAAATACAAAACATTCAGTGTTAGATTTCTCATTTTCACTAGGTAGACTGCTCAGGATAGGCTAAATCTCCACTGGTTTTGCTTACAAGGATCTGCTGCTTCTACTATAATGCCTGTCAGCTGGAAAAGGACATGTCAAAGATAGTTGAGAGAAGTGTGAATGGAGGGAGAAGAGATGGATGAGGAAGTTGGGACAGATTGATTTTGCCACAGAATCAATCTCCTGTATTAGGTTTAGCAGTAAAAGGCAGCTCTTATATTGTGTTTATTCCTGTACAGCCTAATAGTAAGTTGTGTCCAAGTGACCGAAGAAAAGACTTCCGTCAGCCTGAAGTTCTGCAGTAGTTACTGTTGGTCATCCCAGGGCTACAGCCTGATCTCTCACCAGGTGTTACTAGTTACAACATTGCTCAGAGGGCCACTCTTCCATTAGAAGTCCTCCAAAAATTGCTGATTATCTTCATCCTTACTGATCCTCCTCACCATTACTGATGGTGGAGCTGCAAAAATCGTAGCCAGAATTGCTTGTTGTAACTGTAGGTAGTTTGCACCTCCTTGCCAAATACACATGTTGAGGACACTGTAGTTGGAGTACAGTTTCATGCACAGTAATCTGCTAGGAGTGAGAAACAGCAAGCAATGAGAAGATGGCAAGAGAAGAATCTTGGAATATTTAGTTTGGTTCCTCAACAAGGAATTACTTTCATTCAGGTTAGGTTCCACTTGTCCTCCCAATGAGTGTGCAAAATCAATCCCCTCATCTGTATAGCCATCAGCACAGCAAGTGATACCTGCCCAAAACACTGGGTAAAGACAGATCCTTCACCTGCTTAGTAGTTAATACATTAAAGTGAATGATGATTTTGCATGTGGCTAGTGCATGCTGGTTAGAACAGAGCAGGCGCAGACTGTGGTTTTCACTAGGAGTAATCAGCAAATAATGAGCCAATGCCTTGAGTGAGGCAGGCTAGTGAGTGTATCCCTTAGTGCAGCAGAGCATGTAGGGTTTGGTTTTGCCTATAATGTGGAAAATTCTGTATGTAGTCCAGTAACATGTAAACTGCGCAATTTAATTGTATTTATTAATGCTGAAAACTAATTATGTGGTAGCCTATTGCTGAAATGGTGGGTTGTTAATTTGATACTTTTAGTTATAGATATTAATTTTCAAAAAATACATTCAGATATTCCTTTAGTGGTTAAACAGCTTTCTTGTGTTGTTTGACAAAGATTCCTGGTGTTTAAAATGCCATCTGGATCCAATAGTATGTCTCAATTGGGAAGAAACTCTTGTATTGCAACAAGCTTACACGCTCAAGAGCCGTAGGAAGTCCCATCCCTGCAGGATCTATAACACAGTCAACATCTTTCCTTCCCTGAAAAATGCATGGCAGTGCTGCTCCTTTGTAATGTGAGAGGCCACTGCTGAGCAACACAAGGCACCTGCTCATTCCTGGGGGTGAATGTACTTTATTTCAAAGTATTTCTGCCAGTTAAAGTAAAGGAAAAGAGCACTCAGAACCAAACGGCATCTTTTACTTTTGCAGTAACTCTCTTGTTTAATATACATATTAACGGTTATCTTGAATACTGTAAATGCTTATCTGAAAGAAAATGAATTGCAGATATGTATGTGATGCAATCATGTATCTGAATCAAAATATGACTACTGCAGTAAGTTGATATGTGCTGCAAAATTTGTGCCCTGCCTGACACAGTCTAGTGTGTGACTGGAAAAGAGGTTCAAACTGCTGCTAACTCTCAGTATTTCCATTAAAGTCCAGAATAAGAAAAAGAAAGGGCTACAAAATAAATGGAAAGAATTTGAGTTTGTATTTTCCTTATATTCTTGATGACTGTGGTTGCTGTCTGCTACTCCAACTTGCCCCAGATTTCCTTTGTGGCTTTCAAAGTAGATTCATGTAAAACATAAATTGTATGAAGTTGTCGAAAAATTTTCTTCTGCATTGCAACTCTTAAACTAGAAGTCAGACAAATATCTACAAAGACAAACAATGGCTACAGATAAGATGCCCTTAGCAAGCAGTCACATTGGAATCAATTTTTTTCAGAATCTGGGAGTATGGCCCAATTCAGTGTCTTAAATCAATCTATCATATAGCGAAGTCTGGAGCTGCAGAGTACAGAGCTTGATTTGGTTCTGATTTCTCCCAAGATACATATGTTCAATTGAGTTTTTTGGATTTGTTTTCCAGGGTTCAAAGCTTTTTCTGTCTCATTTCTCTTCCCCTCCCCACACCCCCTCGGCTGCTCAGTCTGGTGGGTATGAGAAACAGTCACTGAACTGTATTGCTCTTGTAACTAGAAGGCCAGAAGAAACCACAGAGGGATTTTGTGTCCAGCACTTTAATTAGAGAATCTGCTTTTCTTAATTATGGAAGAAACTCAGCAGCTGTGGTAATGGGGAAACAATGTGGGGAAAAAATGCAGTTTATTTTTTTTTAAGCTTGTGCTGTTATTATTTTTCTATGTTGAAATAGAATATCTACAGTTGAAGTTGAGGTTTATGCCCCTGTTGTTCATGTATGTGATATTGCCTACAGAAAGAAACGTATTTCAATATATTTCCCTTTTACTTTTCCTTCCCAACTTTGTCATGTTACCTTTCAGCTTTTTATTGATGCTACACTTAAATATTTTGTTTAGACCACCTGGTTATATGTATCAGACATTTTTAGTTTGATAAAGACCTTTTAAACATTGGGTTGGGGTAAAGAAAAACTTGTATTTAAACATAGAAGATTTAAATGTTATAGCCATATTTTAAGAAGTTGCACCATTGCAAAATGTAAATAGATGCTACTTTTTTACCTTCGGTATAGGGCTGTATCTTTAACGGTGGGTTTATGCTTTTGTATGCTATGATGTGTAATGGAATACTGTGTGCCATAAGGTTGCACTTCTGACGGTGTATCTCTGGCATGAAGATTTCCTGATATTTAGGTGGGAAGTGTTGTATATGATCATGAAATCTCTAATATTTCCTAGAGCCTGATAGATCCACAATTCTAGGAGATTTTTTTCTTGTAGTGTTTCAGCAGTATTGCTTGCAATCCCGTTAGAAAGAGCGTACTGTGGAAATAAGTTGCAAGACAAAAAAAAAGTTTTCTTTCTTGATTCACCTTTCCTAAGTAGACACCAATGTACATATTTGTAAGGCAACCAAAAAGAATGATAATTCTAGTAAAGTGAAAAAACGGTCTTCTGAAGTCATGGATCCCTTTCAGTAAACTATTTGGTTATGTGGCATCCAGACTTCGTAACTGTACAGCAGCTGGGTTTCTCTCTTTTGGGACTAACCTGTACCAAGCTTTATATCCCTGTCAAAATGAGATGATATTTATTATTCTACCCTTGTCCTTGTGGTCAGCTGTACTTAATTTTTAAATTGCACTGTTACTTTTTTAATAGCTTTATCTTTTCTACAGATATGTTTAATGTCCCATTAGATAACTTCATGGAGACATACAGACATAATATGAATAAAATTATGTTAAATCTTATTAATTTGGCAGAAAAATAAAACATGTCTTCTCATGTAACTATGAATACTGGCCACTTCCTGGTTTGAAATAACTGCTTCTCTTCCAGGGTGTTCCAGAAGATTTGTTGTTTTTTTATAAACATATCCAAAAGGGCGGTGAAGTCTTTCGAGTAAACCATTGCCTCCTGCTGTACCGTTACCATCCACAGGCTGCAACTCATTCCGTCCTAGAGTAAGTTGCATTTTTTGGTAGAACTGAAAAATTAGCTTCATCTTGGATGATTGGCAGTAAAGATGCTAATCTCTTCAAGATATCACACAGCAAAATAATTACTTAGTTGTGTTTAATTGTTTGTTTTTTTTTTTTAAAAGCTAAAAAGCAAGCATAACATAATATACTGGTAGTATCCTCTTTTGATGGTGGAAGGTTAATTTTCTGTTTGTTCTTGCTATAATTTGAGTAACATACCATAATGCTGGAAATCAAATTACGAATTGAAATCTTTGGTTCGGGTACAGTTGCCCATACACTGTCAGTGTACCTGTGCTAATGACTTAGTGAGGCAGGGATGGGGTGGGGGCACTTTCAACATTTGACAAATATTCTAAGAAATTGTTTCATCTTTGCAACTGTTTTTGAAATTATTTCACAGTAAGTATTGTAAGAGCAATGAAGCATATTGGGGACTGCACTACAGCAGTACTGTTTCTCAACTTCTAGTTACCGTTCCTTCAGCTCAGACCCTTAACTGCTCACGTGAGACCTCGTAATCTGCCTGAATAACCTCGCTGATTATCAAAAGCATCCGAGTTTCTTACCCTCAAAGCAGATTAAGAATACTTTGTATGATTGTGTATCTCATCTGCTGAACATGGCAAAAGCAAGAAGTAAAGCAATAACTTCTTCAATGCTTTGAACACAATTGCAAGAACATGTTTGAAATATATCCTAGTGGTGAAATTTTATTAGGATTTTTAATCAGGATTTTTAATATGTGAGGTTTTTATTCTCGTATCATGTGAACCATGATGTTTTTTTTTTTTTTAATTTTAAAGCCTAATTTCAAAACGAACTGTCTCAATTTAAAAAAAGTAGAGACTTGTAGTACCAACAAAATGCTACTTTTAAAAAAATATATAAAACCAAAACCTTTCATCTGATAATGTGCTACATTTACACATATTATTTTCCTATTTTAACAGGTCTAAATCATCTAAATCAGATAATGAGGTTTGAAAAATACCTGAGGATGTTTAGTAGCAATTATCTCAGGTGCTTCCTTGTAAGCTGTTGCCTATTGCTTTTACAGTGCTCATCTACCCTTAAAGAAAATGTTAAATTGCCACTTGTCAATTCTTCTACATGCTCATTTTACCCATCAAAGGTGTTCTTCATGATCAGGAGTCTTGCAGGCTGAGCCAAAGTTGTTTCTTTCTCTTATGTATTAACATTAATGAAAAATCATGCAAGTTTTACTGTCCTTTAGGAGTCCCACACCAGAATCACAGTGGTAATTAAGTAAAATATTTTCTTACTGATTGATGATATAAGTACATTCTTCAGTCAGTCCTATTTGTATGGCTTTGTTGAACTGACTAGTCAAACTAAACATTTTAATGTACATTTTAGTTGTATATCACTATATTATTGTAAATACTATAGTATGCTAGCATAAATATCATTCTCATGGTTAATGGTACTATAATTCTTTATAAATATATATATATATCTATGCATATGTATGTAAAATCATTTAACTCTGAAACACTCATTCCAAGCAAATAGAATATATTCTTTTAATTTTGCAAACAAATATGAGGTTAATTATTTTCCTTTTTATGGGTGTTTAAATGTAAATGGTTTTTTTATTTTTTAGTACGTGATCATTTTGGCAGTTAGTTACAAACTTTTCAGCCATGCATCATGGGATGCTAGAACTCTTGGAAGCCTGTTGCTTGTATCTGTGGGAAAACATCTTATTCTTGGAAATGGGTTTGTTTTGAATTTACTGCAAGCTGTTGCTTATTCAGATCTACAAGGTTGTGTGGCACAAGCACCCTGAATTACAACATACTGTGAGAATGTGGAAACACTGTAAGCTGTTTCAGATGTGCAGTTTGCATGTCCAAATTGGCACCTTTCTTGTCTCATTCTAAGTCATCAGGCTAGCCAGTCTTCCTGTTGGCTTTTTGCTGGTATTACTGTTAATATTTTGTGCAAACTTTCAAATATGAGGTTGTGTAACGTCGCTTATTGGCTTGTTCCCTTGTTTGTTGCCTAAGTTCTGAAGGGCTGGCCAGCATTTGTTTCTAAAGACTGAGGTGTGCATTGAGCAAAGAGAGATCAGTGGACTCATCACAAAGGTTTAAGTTTATAATTTAAATTTGGGCTTTAGTAATTTGCCTTTTGGTAACCTCACCTTATTTAATGCATGTTCTACCTTTTCGAGAAGTCTGGTTGCTGGTTTGGTTTTGTTTTTTTGCCCCCCCCCCCTTTTTTTTTTTTTCATGGTGTGTTTTGTTTGAGCAGTTTTCTGTGGTATTTTGCCTTTCACCATTGGCCTACGTTGTCTTTGAATTTTCAGAGTTAGCCTAGACCTGGATTTGGAGTAATAACTCATGAATCAGATTCATATCTTGTCTGAAATCAAGATGATGCTTGTAGGAAAGTTGTTTCTTTTAAATTTTAAACAGTTTATGCCTAGATTCAGTCTTAAAAAATAGATCTGGTTAATAGGACTTGTTTATACAAAATTGGTGGTGATTCAGTCTTCTCAGCGAAGACAGCAGTTGCTCCTAGCCTGTTATAGGCTGATTTCAGTGTACATGAGTGTCTTTCATTACTGTTCAGGGGAAAATAATGCCTTATTTTGCATTTTCAGACTTTCTAAAATACATATAAAACTACTTGGCAAGTGACATTTTGTTCTTGTTACTTACTGTGTATAATTGTAAACACTAATGATTTCTAGGTCATTTCCTATGATTAGTATCCTTCTGGAACAAATATCTAGAGGTGAAAGTATCTGTGAAGCAGGAAACAAAATCTTACTTGCATTCTCCCTTTCCCTGGAGGCATCAGGCTGTGTTAAATGTTTTGGGTGTGTGACAGAATCTGAATGAAGTACAGTGTCTATATTTAGATTTCATTAGGTGTATACAGAAATATAAACGTTCTCATTGTAATTTCACCTAAAGTCTATGATGGATACCTGCTAAATGTGAATGAGCAATATAATTTTTGAGAAACTTCTCCTCAGCCAGGAATTTACAACACAAAATCCTACATATTGTATCTCTTAAATCTAAATCATTTTATCTCACAGCTTGTGTCCTAGGGCTGTGTGTACTTTGTGCTACATGGCTACATTACACTGATTTGATGCAAGATCAGAGCTGGCTTTATAGTGAGAAGTACTGTAGTAAGAAAGTTTGGTGTATAATAAAAACATTGTAAAATTCATAGATTTTTATCTTACCAAAGGGGAGAAAAATGAACTGTATATAAAACAATGTACCTCATGGCGAGATAAAAGTCAGCTTGGAACCAGTTGAGCAATAAAACACTGTACTTGTCTTTAGGTGGTATTGCTCATGAAGACACAGCTGGGGCAGGTAGCTAATCTGTAGCCATTTACAAGCTTTTGGTCAAGAGAAATTTAATATATGCAGAACATAAGGTTTGTACCCTCCGTTTGAGATTTGGGCGATTCCCTTTTATGCAGAAAATGTGAAGCGTACTTACAAGGCTTACAGTAATTTCATATGCCATGTATTCAGAATAAGTATAATATTGTTAAGAGCTTGTTCTGCAGAAATAACCAAAATTACATAACCTATTGAAACCATCTGGTTTCAGGCACTAGAATCTTCCAGTGTCATCTAAGCAAAGGAGAACAGGCACTTAGTCTGAAACATACGTTTGGTTGTTTTAGGGGGACTCTGAGGATGGGTCTCGTGTCACTGATGAGCGCAGGAATGCCTGCTTCATTTCCTGCAAAAACATACGCGTCCAAAAATAGACAGGAGAGAGGAATAGCGTAACGTATTCCTGTGCAACTGAAATAAAGATGAGGCCAACTGCATTTTTATCTTCCATTCTTGCATTTGGCACTTCAATTAAACATGGAAACTAATGACCTCATTAGATTCTTGAAAAGTAAATGGCATTAACATTGATAGTCTCTGTCTTTCTTAATAAGCCTTTCATGAAAAATAGGCCACATTGCAAACCATGCCTCAGTTAATGACCCATGACCTGAAGATGAACTCAGACATTAATAGAACCTATTAACAGTGTAAATGTAATAACTCAGTGGGACGATGTAGGCCAGCAATTAATAAGTTCACATGAAGTTCAACAGAACAACAACGACAAAAAAAAAAAAAAAAATCAGTTTATTCACCAGTATGGTCAAGGTTCAAATGGGATTCATTTCTGAATTTCCTGTGCAGAGTAAGGTCCTTGAATTCTGCATGCAAAACTAGGTATAAGGCATCTGTTCTTTCAGCTCTCACTGTGATAAAAACATTCTCTGTTCTCCCACCTCTGGATTATCTATCAGGTGAGATTCACCTATAATATAGAACTCTCTTATCCTGCCATGAATAAAAAACCACTGGAAGAGGCCATTCACTTGAATAGCTCCTCTCCCTGTCTGGTGTTACCCGAGTAGCGTGCGGGACCAACGTGTATAGAAAAGGTCAGATTTATAGATTTATAGTATTACTGTGGATGGTAATCAATGCCTAAAATTCCAGTACTGCTTAGGACATTGGGCTGGTATTTGCACATTTCTCAAGTACTTGTACATCTGTCCTTGCTCTGTTGATTCACTTATGTAGCCTCACTGGGGGAAGGAGGGGAAAGGCAGTCAAACAATATGGCGAGGTTTAACTGAGCTCAGACATTAAATCATATAGCTTTTATTGTCACATTATCTTTCATTTCAAAATAGGAGTAGAGCAGATGTTTCTTGACTCCTGTATTCAGTCAGTAGGTCACCACATATTTTAACAGAGCTCCATTGTTATATTACTTGGGTGCATGGTATGGTAATAACTACTTGGGACTGAGGCACACACTTCGTAGTCATACTTACCCACTGCATGAATACCCTCATTTCACTCCTGCAGAATTTTGGCTCCTCTCCTCCCTGCCAGACTACATAACTGATGGGTTTTGAGGGGCCACAGCAAGTGTGATCTTAGGAAAATTATGTAAGCCTTAAGAATTATTTTCCAAGTAGGAAAATGTATACTTCTAATATTTCTGTTGTTAAGAAGTGACAAAAAAAATGAAAGAAATGGGAAAAATAATGTATTTCAAGAATTTGGATCACGGAGGATGATTAGGATGTGGAAACAAACTTCTATAGTCAGAAGAATTTGGATCCTACCTTCTGGCTGAGGAAAATCTTGTTAACTCAATACCGGCTGGGAAATGATAGTAAAGGTTACTGGGAAATGGCTTTCTTCAGTCCTTTCTGACACGGCTAGGAAAAGCAGCCTTGATTTGGGATGATGCAGAGTAGTAATACCTCCTAGTTTTTGCTGGTGGCTATGAATATGTAATAATGCAAAATCTGAAAATAGCTGTGAGAATCATCTCACAGTGGTTTGTACAACTTCTAGATTGTTTCAGGCATTTTCTTTAATCATCCTTTGCACGTTGCTACAGTTCCCACTTGTTGCACCTGCACTGGCTCTTAAAGGGTGGGAAAATGGCATTCCCTTAAGGCAGGAATCCCAGTTACCTGTTCTGGAAACATCAAAAAAATGTGGCAAATTAGGTGAACCAGAAACCTGAAGGGGGTAACTGAAACTCTCTTTTGACACTCCTTAAGCCACCTTTTGCCTCAACATGTGAGATACATTGTTTGTGCAGAGCAAGTTTTCGCAAAGACTGTGACTGTCACTCTAAAGCTCAGTCACAAATTGTCCCCTCAATTGTGCATTTATCAGATGATCTTGCCTTGCACTGCCGGAAGTGTTTCAGGGTTAACTCAGGACTGCAAAGTGTTTGATATAACTTAGAATTTTCATTAAAAAGGACACACACAATATGGAGATATGATTTTTAAATTCTTTTCTGTGAGCATTTTCTTAAGTGCCTCGTAGTGATACAAACAAAAAATCACAACTGCTGGGTATATTAGTTTCACTTTCACAACTCAAAACAGGTCTTTAAGAAAGCCATTTATTGGTGCTTAAGTGAAGCTGTCTGACAACATGCTTGTATTTGAACAATGATCAAATTAATTTGGAGTTTAAAAACTTTCATATCCTTTTATTTCTGAATGCAATTCTCTTACATACTTTCTCCACTTGCATTTCTCAATATAACATTCATAGATAAGATTGGGTCAGTAAATCTGCTTCAGTCTGAAATTTTTGTGGGTGATTACCAGCAATGAGATTTGGTCTGCTTGAATTTTACCTTCATAGTGACTCCTGTGGAATATAGGCCCCCATCACCTGGACAGTAAATGCATACTGTCTGGAAGGAACTAGTACTGTGAATGTACTGAGACATCTCCATGATAATTAGAAACATTTTCTGTGTGCTTGGACACAGATTCCAGTGTTTGCCCTACAACTAGAAGTTAGTTGATAATTCTTTTTATGCTTTACATTGCCTATTTTTCCCTTAGCTTTCTTAATTTTGCGAACTCAAGTGGAAAAGAAACTTGCCTGTGTCACTCAACTGAATAGAACAGATTCTGAAGTAACTCTGGAGTGTAATACAGTGTTATCCTTCTGAAGTCGCATTTCAAAGTAAAATCAGTTTTAAAACCTTTCCACTTACGTGTAAAGCAATAATCATCCGTTTTAGAAGCTAGCAGAAGCTCTAAAATTTCCAGTAAAGTGATCCTGGAAAAATACTTGACCTTCACATTTCTTTCCTTTAACTTTCCTTCTGGGAATATAGTATGCTCTAATGAACATGGAAAAAGGCAAGTGTCAAAGGGTGCCAGCAGCAGCTAAAGCTTTGCAGCAGGAATGCAGCTTGTGGTTGCATTAGAAGAAATTTGCAGTCAAATCCAAGATTTTTTTTCTCCATTAGTTGAAGTGCTGGTGCACGGTCGTAGTCCTCGAAACAGTGTGGAAATTTTATGTGAAGTAGCTGTTCTTCTTGGGTACATTTATTTGTGTGTGAAGTTCTTTCCAAGTTATCACACCACAATCAATGATGAAGTGCTAAGCAGGATTTGGCTGTGCTCAAGAATCGCATGCTAACGTGAAGTGGGCTCTCTGGAGCTGACTAATAATCCCAGCAAGAATCCAAATGTCTTCGTACTAAGCAGGCTGCATGCTTTTCAAACCATAACTCAGGGCTGTGAAGGAATGACATAAATAAAAACACCAAATTCCTGTCATTAAAATATTAGAAAAGTTTGCTAACAAACTTTTGGGACCAAATTAAGTTACCTATTGACTTCAATAAGCTCAAATACTATATTTGTACCTCAGAGGTACACTTCATAAGAATGATCTGGAATAGTAAATTTGTATCTGTTGTGGGGCTTTGTGAAATTTGATGATCTATTATGAAAAGGAGAAATGTGAAAACCTGTGGTAGAAATCAGATGTTACTGTAATGCCAGATCATCGGACATCTCTAGTGATCATACTCATGTATTTTACTGTTTTGTAATAGAACCAAAATTGGTGTAATGCATACAGGATTATGGATAATCAGAACTGCAACTAGGAGGTGGAGCAGCCTGATTCATAGATGACAGTGACTGACAACAGCATAGCTGTAGCAGCTCCTGTTCCTCACTGGAACCTGGGGACTACCCACATGGACAGTTAGATCCTTTAAGTCAGGGAAACTTGAACGGATTTTGATTTTTCTATAAAATCTCTAGCTGTGCTTGCAGACCAGAAGCAGGTTACTGTAGCTGCCCCACAATAATGATTTTTGTCTGAGAACTTCCACAAAATTTCTTTTTTTTATAGCAACAGTTTACATTTCACTTGGAAATTTCAAGTATAATGCTTTGGTGTAATTTTTTTTGTATCGTGTGTTGTGAATCAGTTTGGTCAGGGTTATATTTATGTGACTATGTACGTATGCATATAGGTATATAATAATGCTAAAAGTTTTAATAATGCTAAAATCCAACCTTTTCCTAACTCTCGAGGGGAACCATCTGGAATCACCGAGTCTGGTTTCTTGAAGACAGAGTCCTGAGCTCCTGGACAACATTCACCATTTGGAATGCTGGCAAACAAGGCAAGAAGCTCTACAGAAGCTTGTCACCAGCTAATCAGAAAAAGGTGAGCTAGAAAGAGTGGGTAGCATCTATACAAACCCACTTTCTTCTCTTTCATATGCCTTTTTGCTTCGTCTAACATAATGTAGCAAAATTCTCATAGGATATTTTGTCCCCAAAGTACTAGCTGATGATTAAGATAAATTGGGGAAATTCTCCATGATGTATTTCTTCTTTTAAAATGCTGTATTACTTTATTTAGAGCGTACGGTCTGTAGGTAGTGCTACATGTGCACCCGTGTTCCTGCTTGCTGGTGGCTATGCACAGTAATAGTTAGACACACCATATAACTGTTTATGGCCTGCTAGTGTAGTAGCCAAGTACCCAGGGTGAGTAGAATAACTCTTTATTTGGATGTTGTAATACTAAACTACCTTGTCCAGGATTATTCATGTCCAGTACATATACATGAATAATATTTGCCCAGTTCTGAAGTGGATACTGGACAGGTCCCTATCGGATGCTGATCAACCTGGCTTGTATTATGAGGACTAGTTGTACTGTAACTCCCTTCTGAAAAGCTTGATTGTTTAAAAATAGGGGTGGGGAGCAGGGTGAACAGGCAAGTAGAAACTATTGTACATGACTATCTAATTCACAATCACTTGAAAATGTGGAGGTTACTTATGTTTGGCAGTGGAAGATATTTCTCAGGAGAGATTTGTCTGAGAGTTTAAATACCTTACTTTTATAGCATTTTCTGTTGTGTAACAACTTTTTTTTAGATAAAGGCTTTGGGGCTAATGTCAAATGGCTGTTTCTTATCAAGAGCCACAGAACATTCATTTTATTACCGAATGTGTTTTCTTTTCTTAAAAATATGGATGGGAAGACAAAATGACAAATGTATATGTAAACCTGATTAATGTTATGGCCCTCAGACCACACACATATGAAAAAGAATGGAAGAAATTTGTATACCCGTAGTTGAAATTACTGAATAGACATGGGAGACGCTCACAGCAGAAATATACAGCACAAGAATTGAACCTGAGTTTCCTGCTTGATATTCCAGTGCTATCCCTGCTTCATTGCCATCACGTGGCAGTGGGTGAACTGTATGAAGAAGGAAGATTAAATGCTGTGTGTCTCCAATCAGTTACTTCATTCAAAGAGGACAGAACTGTCCGTTAAATGTATTGAGTTACCTTGGTCATGCAGTACAGTGTGCACATGACTTTGGGTGGAGTTTAGGAAAATGTTCTATTTCATCAGTATTTTGCAGAGTACTTTGCAAGTTCCACTAACTTGCTAGCAACCATTGCACTTTTCTGTCTGCAAATTTATAAGAATTAGAAAATAAGTTCAAAGAGAAAAGGTGGCAGCTTGTCTGGTAGATTTTTGAGATGTTATGGAAAAAATAGACACTGTTGTTTTTGTAGCAGTGTCTCACCATCTTAGGCGTTGGGTTTTTTTGGTTTTGTTTTGTTTTCTAGCTTTTTTTGTGCCAAGCCAAAATGGAGATTGATATTAAGATAGAACCATCTCTCTAGTTTGGGTTACATCTGCCACCTACTTCTGTAGGTGACTCATTCAGGACTTCACATCCTGTTCAGCAAACACAATGGTAATTTGAAGATGTCACTGCAGAGTTGATAAAAAGGACAAGAGAAAAATAATATTTTTTTTTTGCCACTTTTCTGCCAAAGAACCAAAGTTTACCTCTCCTTCAGTAAGGAACAACCTTCATTCCCCGGGATGCTAGCACCGGCAGTGTGCTTCTAATTAACTGGATTTGACGTTCTTTCCAGCTGACCTTTACATAACGTTTGCTTTGGCAGTGTTGCAGGCCATGATACTGTTTTGCTTCTGTCAAGGTTACATTTGCACATATTCCAGTATGCTTTAGTTTGATACTGAAATATTGCATTGAGCATTAACCCACTAAGTACTGGATACTATACCAGATACATTTAGCAAGCTTACATGCCAGATGCAATTGCACATGCCAAGCGTGACTCATTTTGCAAATGTACTTCAGAAAACTACTGCTGAAATAAAGTCACAGTCTGATCCTTAATACCTTATTTAGAGTACTCAGATTTTATCCACTAAGTTGGACGTGTCATCTGAAGTATTCAGTGGTTTTCTCAATAACCAATGAAGATAAATAGTTTCAGAAAGTGACTTGTATCATCCCAAGTGCTAGTAGAGATCTAGCTTTTGGATAGCTAATTTCTGATTAAGTTAGTATTATCTGTAATGAATAAAGCCCTAGTTTCATGTAGTTGTTGAGGCTCGTTATGATTGCCATTGTAACTTCCTACCTTTGCCAAAAGCGAGATCCCGTCTTTCCATCTCTGTCAGAACTGAAGCTTAAATGATATCCTAATGTTTCATAGTAAGTTATTGGCAAAAGGCTGTAGAAGTAGTTAAAATATCTCACTTGTCCAGGTGCTAATCGAAGGATTATGCTGCTGGATTTTCAGGAAACAAATTCATAGAATTTGCAGTAGTTAATACATGGCAATCTTCATTTTATTTTAAATTAAAAACAGGAAAAGGAGGCTAGTTAAACCTCATCTTATACTTTTCCTCAAAAATCCTCCAGGTATTTTGTGACTAATCTCCAACTCTTGCCAAAGACTCTAAAATCTCATATGAACAAAGATTGTAAATAGTTGTTGCTTCGTCCTTGCCAGGCCTAAACCAAATAAAATACTTTTCTTGTATCACCCTTAAAAGACTACCTTAACAAGATTTAAGCTTTCGTATATTTTGTTAATTATGAGAACACTAGAGATTCAGTATCATTTTGAATCTACAAGTAGAATCTAGTGTTCTCTTGTAAATGGAGGCCCTGGGATATGAATTAATCAAATATATAACACAGAGACCTTTAAAATACAATTCCAAAAGCCCCTTAAGACAAAATATGATGTATTACATCAATACAAATACCATTTTCTCCTCTGAAGGTCCAGTTGTGTAAAACTGTGATCTTAGAAGTTCTAATACCCTTTGAAATGCAGGTAAAATTGCCAAAAAAAGCAGTATAATCTAACTAAGGTATTTAATTCAACTGTCTAAATTTAATTTCAGTTGGGTTTATACTTTAAGTTGGTTTAGACTCTTGAAAATTTCACCTATGCTCTGCTTCACCGTTGCTGCACACTTTTATTGAGATTCAGAATTTCATTAAATGTCATGAGACTGATTTTGCTTGGAATGTTGCATCACAGCAGTGTTTTCTAAATTGGCACAAAGTACCTGTAGAAATTTTGGGACACATACTCCTAGAATAAATAATAATAAAAAAAACCCCAACCAAACAAAAAACTATTACATACAGCTTGTATTATTTTGTAATTGTGGAAAAAAAAAAAAAACCAACTCTCTACTAAATCTTCAGGAAGAGAATTAATTAATTTGAACTGTTAAGCTTAGGGCATGTAAGAAAACATGTTTTTCAAAAAAGAATGCTTCTGGTATTTTTAGAACCCGATAAACAAAGCAGTTGTATTTCTTATACTGACTAGGTTTTTGTGGGTTGTCTGGAAAGTATAAATATGTTGCGTACTGAACAGCATTGTTTCTTAGAAAACAAAATTTTGGCAATTCCAGGAAGCAGCAGTCTGTGTATGCTCATAGTCACTAACAAATTATTAGTCTAGTCTGTTTGGAAAACAGTCTGAATTTGAATTATGGCTATGTTAAAAGAGAAAAGGACACCTAAGCAATAGTCTCTTTTCCTCAGACATATGTATGGTGAATATTAAAATAATGCTTTGTCTCCAAAGAGTTCAGGCAAAAATCCAAGGCTCAGTATTTTTGCTAAACAGCAACACAAGAAAAAAAATAATTATTCAACTAGTAGGTTTTTTATGAATTAATTACCAGATCTCAGTATTCTTAGGGAAATTCTGTTTCCTGGCTGTCCCCTTCTTGATTCACGCAGTTGACAGTGGTTCAGTATTAGCGTTTCTGCAAGAATGAAGTCGAACAGACCTTTTTTTGTTTTTTGTTTAAAACACATCCGTCTGCTCTATAATTTGCAGCTGAAGATGGAAACCAAATGTTTTTGGGATGCTACATATGCCTGGAGGTTTTCTGAGCTGTCTTGTCTGCTCTTTTATTCTCCGTCAAACTTTAGCTAAAAGGAGAACTTCAGCATTAACATTTTGTGTCATTTCCGATAGCTGAAAATAGTGCTCAAGTAGCTACTAACAAAAAAGGAGGGAGAAAGGACAAAATAAGCATCAGCTAATTAGTGGCATGGAAACAGTACTAGTACACAGCCAGCCCATGAAGTTTCTCTATGACAACCATATCCACCAGTGGCAAACTTGAAAGCTTCAAGAAATATTTTGTTCACCCTTTTTCCTAGCTCATTAACCATTTAGAACCATCTCTCGGTTTCCCTTCACCTTTTTCTAAGAGCAAAATCACTAAACCATGTACTTCAACTGTGATTCTTCAGCTCACTCACAAAAGCAAGAAATGTGTAAGTTTTGTATCATTTTAACTACTCTAAAGTATATGGCAGTATGAGAGACTGAAGTGGGGACATGTAAAAAGCAAAGAAACTTAACGGGAAGAATATCACACCCACCTTGACTGTGTAGTGAAAGATAGAATGACAACATGAAAGCGAGTTAAAAGAGAGCGTACAGAACAAGAAGTGAGACATGAAATTTGAAAGCTGCAGTTAAATCCAGGTAGAAAGGATCTTAAAATGACGTGGAGTAAAATAAAGGCTTCATTTTTGACTATAGCAAATACTTCATGCTGAAATAGGACAGGGAAATCTCCCTGCTGCTTCCAATCAGGAAGATGCGCTTTTTGCAATGTCCGTTTTGTCAGTACAGAGGCATGCACGCTTGGAAAGCTGCTGACATAACTAATGCAGTTATCTGTTCCAGAGAAACGAGACGCTTGCAACTAGTTCCTACACTGTTACACATAAAGGCATTTGTGTGTAATAAGGGAAATTTTGTATGTACAATATTTAGAAGCTCATTTTGCACATTGGATTCTGGTATTAAAATTCTCTTGAGCGACTTTTTATGTACATGTGCAAAGGGGGATGATGCTGATATCTTTAATGGAATAGCGTCTTTAAATGGAGTTGTGAAATATGTGCTTGGAATTTAGAGATACCCACAGCTTCTGTCATGGCTATAATGCTAAAGAGGTGAAATAAAAGCAGCACCCTGATACTGAAAATCACTCAGGCTGGGACGGAGTTGCTTGCTAGTTTCCTGGTTCCACTTGTGGTGTGCTGGAAGATGTTTATGCCTCTGCTTGTCTCTTCTGTTTGTCATTAACTGTATCTATTTAAACTTGCATTATAATGCTTTTAGTTACTTTGTTTTGACAGGAATGGCCAAAATGGATTTAACTTTTGTGGAGATGTATATTAACACGCTTCCAAGGCTTTATATAAGTTTGAATGAAAGAATTATAAATAGGAGAATCAACAGGGTCACTAGAAGTTTCAAATGGGTGAAGGATGGATTGCCTGAGATGTGGACGGGATGCAATAGGGAAGATCTGCTCATACAGAATTTTGTAGAGAGTTTGCAGGTTGTCTTCTTTAAAGAAAAATTTTGAGACCAATTGCTGTAATGAGGAGGGAGAGGAGAAAATGTGCAGATGACCATTTATCAAAAGGGTTGTCCATTTTTTCTATCATGCTCTACTACGTTATTCACTCTCCCTTGTAAAACTTGCCTCTCATATCCTTCCAGCTAGAACAGGTCTGAAGAATTTGCCATCATTATGTTTTGTTGTTTTCTGTAAGTGATCATTACAGACCTAAAGTAGACCAGAGGTGAAAATAAGATGAGGGAATAAAATCCTATGAAGACCACTCACCACAAAAAGACATTATTAGGCTGATGAAATCTTTCAGTTTTTCCATTAGGAAATCTGAGTTGAATGGGAAGTGTAAGGAAACATCCTCTGCAGCAGCCAGCAAGGCAGTAAACAACTCAACTATGAAACAAACTTAATTCTTGTGTAATAGTAGCAGAGCTCAAACAGCTAGGTAATTACTGTTGTACCACAAGCCCCCTCTTACTGACTTATTTGGTTGTGCATTTGGAGTAGGATTAATCTGCTGCACATTAATCTCCTTTTACCACAGGGAGGTCTGATAGGCACAGCCTGTGTGTCCCTTCACACAGCTGCTGTGTTTATTAAAAAGAACCAGCCAGAGAAGTGCTTTTATCTTCTGCAAATGTGTCTTCCCCTAGCAGAGGTTTTTTTGGAGTAAATATCTTATCTTTCAAGACATACAAACTTTCTCTCATGAGGGAGAAAACTATTTATCCTTTTTCCTTTACACTGTTGTTAATGTGTGTTGCAAACCATATTTATAAAAATCACTTACAGTAATTATTTAGCTTGTATAAAACAGATATCTAGAAGTCTCTTCCAGTTTTTAGCTGAGAGAAATAGCAGTCTTTTTTCCTTATTTTGGAATTATGATGATTTTCATACAAGTGATGTTCTATACAAAAATAAGTTATTTATATATTTTTAAAATAAAGTGTGATCTGAGGATTCCATAAGCTTCAATGGTGTCATATTGTTAGAGGCATTGCAAAAGAGCCATTTTGCTAGAAGGAGGGGGGAAAAAAAACATCTGGAGAGTGCTTTATAGGTTTACGATTCCTGAATTCCTTCCTGGGAGGCAGTAGTTCATGTATGGATAGATGGTCTTCATAAAAGATACGAGAAAGCAGCCCATTAATGCAGGAAAATAAATAGGTAACTCTGGGTTTATCCTAATAGTATAAAGTAAATATCTCTCATAAGCCTGATGCCTGGAGTTCTCCTTACAGGATAAACAACTGTGTGTAAGTCCTGTATTTAGACTCCAGACATAGATTTTCTTTAATAGGAAAATAAATAATGTGTGTCAGAAAAATAGTTGACTTGCATTTTGGCCACCCACGTGGTGTAGAGTCTGGCAGAAAAATTGCCCATTCAAGTCTGACCTGTTTTATAATGCTGTAAATATCAGATTTAAGCTGGCTCAATCCATTGAAAAATTGTATGTGGAGATACCTTAGTGGTAACTCTAAAAAAAGGTTACAGTCATTTCCATCTTCCAAGGGAAAATTGTCACAGACTTACCTGTCAAGTGTTTTTTTCACACAGCTGCTGTTACTGGGAGTTTTGTGTGCTCGATTGTCTGGGGCCTGGGTGGTTAGTATGGCAAAGGCAGCTTGCAGAATTTTTTACACATGGTAATATTGTTATGGCACAGAATAAGAGGAAGTATTATGATTATTGGTAATCTGGTGATACAAGAACTATCTTTGGTTCTCTAACACTGTGCATATCAAGAAGAAATCTATGCACTAGTCGGGTGTTTCTGTTAACTGTATCATAACATGGTGAACAGTGTGACACTTTCCAGCACAGATCTTACAGCTGAATTCTCAGTTACTGACATGAAAGTATAGATAGAAATTCACTTTACCTTATGTCAGAACTTTTGGTGTTTTAGTTTGGTTTTTAACATCTACAGCAGTGTGAGCAGCTGAAAAAATAGCTTCAATTATCACAAGATGAGTCAGTGTATTGGACTCTATTCCCCGAACTCTGTTGGGTTGACAGTGAAGACAACCTGCTAAATTTTGTTTATAATGAACAGAGCTTCTAGGACAAAAAAATCTTAGTGGTGGAACTGAGAACTGCAGAATATTGGGAAATTTTAAAGGTGGTTAACACAGAATAAAAAGTATACAGCTAAGTAACCTCTCTTTCCACTGTGGCTTCTATTTGCTTCCCTTCTTATACATACATATATATACACACACATAAATAAGATGGGTAGAGGAAGTCTTGGGATGTAGTTTACTGCGCTCAGTCTGCAGTACAATAAAGCATTACGGTGGTCATGGAAATAGGGCCGGGGATGTAAAGTGTATTAACTTGTGTTTAAGAGAAAAAAGAAAGCCTCAGAAGGATCCTGTTTCTTAGTCTTTGTGCTTGAAGGAGTTGCTTGTGTTTGCTACTGTCTAACCCAGCCTGCATCAGCCACAAAGACCTTGTACAACGTGTAGTAACTTCCTAGTACTGCCCTGAACTCCCTCCTTTCTTTTTATTTCCATTATAATGCCTGAAACAGGGCTAAGTGTCCTTAGTGCAATCCCTGTATCAGGAGCATCCAAAGCAAAAGTCCGTATCTGCTGGCCTGTAATGTGATTCCTTTAGTCATAGAGCCCCAAAGGGAAAATTTAATGTTTCCTCAATCTTCTGTTCTTTCTTTCGGTGCCTGTTTTGAGGCAACCTATTTTCCAGGTATGTGTGTCTACCTCTAAGTGGTTCCAAAGACTATCCCTGCCCACCCCCTCCACTTTACTGGCTATATTTTCCACCTTGACTTGGCACGGTGGTGGCGCTTCGCCCTATTTGTAGTCCCTTGATGGTTTTATTCGTATTCTCTTTCCACTGATGTTTAATGGAAGAACTGATATTATGGTATTTAAGAATTTGGACAGAAAACTGTTCCGTTGGATAGTGGAAATATCTGCAAAGTATTTTTGATGTAAAACCACCTTTTATGTTGCAAGAGAATGCAGCTTTATCTGGCCATTGCCTGAAAGGACATGGAACAAATCAGTTCCTCTGCGGGTTTTGCCCTTGGGCTGTAAAGGTGGCGCTGCAGCAGGGGTGAAGTAGCAACAAAGAATGCAAAAGTTCGGCGTTATGAAACCAGTGCTCTTGTGTCAGTGTTTTGCTCTGCACAAACAGAATGAGGTCACTTTAGGTAAAAGAAAACTATCGCACCCACAGGAGGAAAATGCGTGAGAAAGATTTGTAGACACATAAAGCAAGCCAGCATTTTGCAGCTTTCTCTAACTTAATAAATTAATAAACAGCTGTTTGGCTTTTCAAATTTTCTCAGCAGTAAGTGTTGTTAATCAATTTTTAATGCAACAATTAAAAAGATAGGAAAACTGCTCTCTAGCTTTCACCAGAATAATTGATTTCTGCAAGACCTTAAATATCTTAACTGTTCTGCTTCAGTGTAAGAGTTCTGTGTAGATAATATGAATACATCCAGTGGAAGTCAGAGAAAAACACCACTCTGCTTATTTTAAAAAGTCTTCAGAAATGTTACTGGCAACCTAATGGTTCAAAAATGAGGCTACTGTGTATTTTGGATTGCAGGCATTTATTCTGCCTGCATATTTATGAGGAATGCAAATAAAAAAACATCTGAAATATTTGGCAACTAGGGCTGCAAATAATGCTTCCATAACTTCAGTAAGAATAACCAAAATGAAGCAGTAATTATATGTGTTTAAACACCAAATCTGCTGAACTTTTCAGGTGAAAAATACAAAGTCCTAAACCATAGGAATTCCCAAACTTGGTGTGTTATGACTTAGAACTGAGGCTGGTATCACCAGAGCATCCAAAGCAATAGCAGCGCATTGCTGCTCTACTGAGGTATCCGGTGGTAGATTATGTGCTTGGGGTGGGCAGAAAGAGCAAGGTTTGCATTATCTGATCTCAGGTGTTTAGTGGAAGTGCCAAAATGAGGAGGCTAGTCTCTGGTTTTAGTTTACTTAGCATATCGCTGAGGATGAAGTTGATGATCTCACAGATGTTTTCCCTTACACAGGCAGTAGCTTAGATCACCCTTTCTCACATTCATAAAACATAATGTGCTCACAGATAACTGCAAAATTTGCCCATCTCCTTTAGATACACCCAGAAAGGATTTAATGAACTTTTCAGCTCCGGAGGAGGACCAGGGTGCGTTGCCCTGTCCCTGTGTTCATTCACACGCCTGTAGCATTGCTTCCATACGTACCCTACAGGTGAAATGTCTGCTGGTAGCAAGGAATGGTATGGAAATGATCTGCTTCTGTTTTGTCAGGTAACTGCATTTTGTGATGTTGATGAAAAGAAAATAACAAAAGGATTCTACACTTATGAAGAATCTGAGGTGAGTTATAAGTACTCTTGCATTCTTTACTGTGATCTGGAAGTGTTCTGGGAAATGTGATGAAAGAATACATCGTTGATTTTAAATATTGTATAGCAACTCATTTTGGTAAGGAAGCTGTGACAGAAGACTAGAGAGCTGGGAATTGATGCTGGAGTGCAAACTATGGAGCCAGAACTATGGACCTCACACTCACTGAAGTCAGTTTAGAAAGACAAAAACATATATGCTCTGAAAGGATTCTGATGATGGGGAAAAACACAGCCTTCACTGACAGTTTTTGCCCTTAAGTGGAAGTAGAATTTGGCTTGTGATGGATAAAGGTCAAATATCTATTAAAATAAAGAAAGCTTCTGTGACTAATTGTAACCTATCTGTGTATTATAGTTATACTGTATCTGAATAAACCTGTTAGGTTCCTTGGGAGCCTAAAATTGTACGCAGCAACGTTTCATTCCCTAGACAAGGAAGCATGATATTTGGGTGGCAACAAACAAACCATAGAGAAAAAGAGTCTTGTATCAAAGCAGTATTAATTTAACTCCAGGTCTTGAGCTAACAGCTATCATTAAAGTTTCATCCAGGATCAGTCCCAACAGTTGGCGAGGACAGTTCTGGGTTTCCCTGGGCATTGGATGAGATCCCGTGACCAGATCCGCCGCCTTCCGCGAGGGCGATTTGACGTTAGGGCTCAGCCGGTCCGACTGCGCTCGCCGGCCCCGGCCACCCCCCGCTGCTTTGTTTAGAGTGGGTCGAGCAGTCCTGCGGCTAAAGGATGGCTTGATTCACTTAGCTGACCTGGCAGAAAAGGAACCCTCAAAATAAAAAGTTTTCCAGCAAGTTATCTTGTGAATCAAATTACCCTGAGGTTGCACGATCCTTATATCTGATGGGAGCAGGACTGAGGGAGGGGTAGAGGGAGAGGAGGGGCACCTCCTCAGATACGGCTTGTGGTTAGGCTAGAGTAACTGTACAATCAAATTCCATACGGGGAAGCTAACGCGTGCTTTCAGCTGCATGAAAGCAACCGGAGTTCAGGATTTTGACCTGAAATGCTGAGGAGTCACGAGCGACCAGTGCAGTAATTCTGTCAGCAGAATTATTACAGATCCTGTGCATTGGTCTTCCTGACAGACCCATCCTCTCAGATCGTTGTAAAGAAGTTTGCACTGCAACCTGTTGTGAATCCTTAGAAGATTCTGCAGCTTGGATCCATGGTGAAGTCCCAGCTGGGTATAAGCCATTTAGCAGCTCCCACTGAGAGGGAAATATTCTCTTTTATATCTGCTATTGTGCCTGCTCTGATGCTTCTCTGATGGCACTGTAAGCTGATGCAGCTCACTAAAGTAGCAGAAAATTAATCTGCCAAAAAAATAATGTATTTTTTATGAAGAAGGCTATTAAAGCAGCATACCTTGCAATCGGAGCAAAGAGGGAATCATTTGGGAAAGGGCTAAAAGTAGAGCTTGGAGGTGAGGAGGAAGCAGTGGAGGAGTCGGACCTTCTTTCAATAGCAGAAAGCTCTCAATTCTGATCTGGTATAATGTGTAACTTTGTTCAAAGAAACACAATTGTATTGAAAAATTATGGTAAGAAAATCAGGGATACTCGAAACAACTGACAAAATAGTGAGTAGTAGCATGTGACCAGTTGGACTACTTAGCATGAAGTCTCAAAATAATTTTTTGCCTTTATAGTGTTTAGTAGCTCCTGAAACTAAGCGAACAAGTAACCCTGTGTGCCTCTCTGCTGAAGTCTACTGCTTTTTCTTGCAGGAGAGACCAAAACCAAAAATTCCTGTATGTCACTTCAGAGACGCAACTCCACCTTTCATTATCTGCGTGAAGCTGGTGAGTACCACCGTAAGCCTCAGCTTTATGTGCAAAATCAGTTTTTGCTCCTTATGAAATTTAATTTCTATTTACTGTAAGTAGCTTTCCCCAGAAGCTTTTATTATGCAATTGAATGGCCTTTTTTATCAAACTGATCGTTCAGAGTATTTCAGGGATTCAAAACGGCAGTATTAAGTGAAGTAGTATTAAGAATAATAAAAGGTACAGCTTCTGTCAAAGATCTTGGATCTGTTTTACTTTCTTGCCCAGCAACATTATACACACAAATGAGCACACCCAGTCAGCCTCCTGGCCTTGTTTATTCCTAATATTTTGCAGCCCTATGTATGGCAAAGGCTTTGGTTTTTAAATCAGACCTTAAAAGCCATTTTGTTTGGCACTGCCAGTTCTGAAGCCTCTTCTGTGCCTGACTGTGGTATCTTTCTTATTTCTACTAGTTTAATTGACCTAATAACATAACTAGAAGATGATAACCAGCAGTTATTTTGCAGTCATATTTAAAATAGCAAAGCACAGTGTATGGGATAACACAGAACTTTTAAAGCAACATGGCAAATACATTCTAGTTGCAAACACGAGTGAAAAAGTCTCTAACAGTAACTAAAACCTGTTGCTACATATAAACAGTGACATTCTAACGCTGGACTAGATCTGTTCAGAGTTTGATTAGCTGAATCTCATCTGGTAGAGTCTGCTTTTAACTTGGCACTCCCGACTTTACAGTCAACCCTGAGATCATGAGTTGCGAAGCCAGACTGAAAGTACCTTAGGGCATTATCATGTACTGTTGGTTGATAAACTCTTGGATAAGCTAGTGATACTACAGCCAATTTAATATTTCATACTACATATAATGGTGGGTGGAAGTCCCTAGACAAAACATCTGTGCAACCTGTTATAAAGCACATTTAACTTGTGAAGCCCTTACAATGAGACTATTATACAACATCTTCCCTGAAAACTCTGGTCCACGACTTCAGTTTTGGTTTCAGTGTATTTCTCCACTCACGGCCACTGGGAGTGTTCTACTTGCTGATCACAGAACACTATAGGCCATGGTATTGTCTAAGTAATTCACAGTATTTTCTTGGGAAATACAATTTGATCTACTTGAAACAGTTTCAGAGTTTGTAAAGTTGCTTCTAAAATCTCTTTGAAGCAGCTCACCTTTTAGGAGAACTTAAGAAAGTCAATAGCCATTTGTGTGGAGCCAAATCTCTAGAAACTGCAGGCAAGTTATCTCCTCTCACTTCATGATTAAATTACACAGTTGACTACTGTGAAAGTTGTGTTACAAGAGCTGATGGCAAACACCCCCTCGTGCAGAGGTAAGGAAAGATCAGTGCAGGTGGAGTTCTAGCAGCATTATACACTGGGAAAACAAAATAGTGGCCAAACAGACAAGAACAATGCTGATAGTAAACTGGCATAACAACACAGTGAAAGTCCATAATGGAGCTACCTCTCTACAGATTTTAAACATACTGATACCTGTTAATAATATGAACCTCACAGTACACCAGTGTCATTATACCATATTATTATTTTAATATTACAAAGACAGAGAATCGGGTTGCTAGAAAAACAAGCTTATAATAAAGAACTGAAACAAAATTTTTCTGTTAGCGGTGCCTAATACCCTGCTATCACCTGAGGAACCACAGGCAACGTAAGAAAGAAATAACAACCGTAAATAGATGTGTACCAAAGTGTGGGAAGTGTAAAAGCCAGTGGAGACAGAAAAGGAATCAGAGGGTCTCAGGAAGCAAGCAGCAGCGCTCAGTCCCACTCCAGAACCAAGTCTGCTCGACCCTCCTTTTCTGTACCACTGGGTTTCACAGCTGGGTTTACAGAATGGTTTTTAGCAACCTCTTTCAGCCGCTGTCAGGCTTGCTGTATTCTGTTACTGTTCACAGTCATCGTGGAGACTGTCAGAATCTGTGAAATCCCACTCTTACTACTTGCAAGGTTGTGGCTGGATTGAAATGGCCACAGTTTTCAGTAGTAGTTTTGTCATGGAAAGTAGTCTTCTACCAAAACAAAAGAAGCTGATAAAGGTCTGTGGTTTGAAATATTCAGGTATCTTGTCTGCAGCAGCAGCGTTTGAGCTTTGAGACCTGACCACTAAAAGAAATGGTTTCTAAATGGGTTGAGAAGAGCAGAGTATTGAACTTGTTCATTCATCTGTGTTGATATTGTGAAGGCCAAGTACAGTGCTGAGGATTTGTCTTCCCTGTGTTTATCGGTTGACTTTGCCTTGCTTTCTGTGCAACCCACACCTGAAGGAACACCTAAAGACAAAATTTCCCACTTGCTTTTCTTTAAACACCTTTTCTGCATTTGTTCTTCCAACACAGTTTTTGAAAGTGGGAGCACAGGAAAAAGTAGGATTCGGGGCTAAGTACATAAAATATTAAGACTGCATCAAATGAAAAATGTGGACTTTTTTGCTATAGCTGTCACTGCTTCTCTGATGCTATTCACCCAGATTTATCAAATCAAACTGTGCAAAAAATGCTGTTACAAGTTGAAGTCCCAGGCTGATGTGAAAGACTAAATCAGAGACACAAAATTCCCCTGCAAAAAGGCTGCTATCCTTGTGCATGCTGTGGGGGGGAAACCAAAACTCCTGTGTTTGAGAGGTTACAAGTGACATGTATTTTCAGAGTATTTAGGGCAAGTAGCTTTACCCTGCTCTGTTTCAGGTCACGCAGCAAGCAAACATACAAAATCCCCAGTGAGCGTACAGACATTTCTTGTGTAGACAGCTGTCAATGCAACAACTCCAACCTAGCTCCATGCTGCATGGAACTGTTGGAAGTTTATGTAAGGCAGACGTAGCCACAGACCCTCTCAGCAAATTTCTTTAACAAAAGTCATTAAAAAATTCCTAAACGTCCAAGACTTCCAAATTTAGCTTTATTATTTACCAACATAAGTTCATCACCATCCTTCTGAAGAAGAAAGTGGCCTGGGGCCTTATTGTCTTTTATTTTGCTGTTCATAGTAGGGGATTACTTTTAGTTTTGATAGAGACAAAAATTGCATGTTTATATGCAGCTCTAAGAGGGTAATTCGGAAGATTAGATATGTTTATGAAGTGGGTTGTTTGCAAGAAATGACTCTGCTGGCCATGTACTTGGAGCAGTGTTTGCTTATTTATGTTTTTAGGCAGTTCCTCCCTTGCTAGCATTGGCATTACTTGGTTAACATATAATTTTTGTAAAAGCAGCCACCCTACATGATCTTTGCTCAGTTTGCTTTTTAAAATGGCTTCACAAAGGGCTGTAGCTGAAATTCCTCTGTGTGTCTGCGTAAGTTTTTGCTGAAAAGAATAAAAGTGGGGCTTTAGCTCGTCAAAATTGTGTAGCAGCCTGCAGTACCACTTCACCTAAGGGCTTGAACTGTGTATTTTCTCTCGCTTTGAGGTAAAAGAAAAACACTCAGAAATCATGTATTGTGCCCTGTTTTGGCGTGGATTCCAAGTGCTTGAAATGAAGGGGATTTTTATTTTTCTGTCTCGGTAATTAAACTAGTTTAATTGTATCGAGTTTTCAGTAAATTTACTGTTAGACCAGTTATTGTAAACCCTGCCTTGTTCTGTCACCTCAGTCTTGTGCTCTGGGAATGTAAGATTTGCTTTTAACTCTCCTGCTGAATTTAGCATCTGGGCTTTTTTATATACGTATTCTTTTAACCGTTCTTTAGAGCAGGTTGATTTTTCAGCAAGCTAGATGCAACTGTTTCATACCTGATGTCCTAACCTGCAAAATCTTGGGTTTATGAAGTCACTAGTGGAGGCTAAAGGTTGTAGCCAGAGCCTACATTTTTGAGTAGAATTCCCTGTTGATGTGAATAGGAAGTTTAATAGATGGACCAGTGATGGTTTGGGACCTTAACTGCATTGCAAAACTAGGACCCAGCCCTTCAAAGTATTAAGTACCATCAAGTGTTCTTGATTTCAAGTAAAAATTATAAGTACTCAACATCTTTCCCAATCAGAGCTTTATCACTCAGATAACAATCTGGCCACCTTAGGGAAGTGGAGCCTTTGTGCCATGGGCCCTTTCCTGCCCTTCTCCAAATTATTCATTAGCTATTCTTATTTTTTGTTATAGTTAGTAAACATCAGAGCTCAATTATGAATTTCATGACTGGTGGTTATGTGTTGGCGTTCTGGATCAGAGTATGTCATCTCTGTATTTTTTGGCATTGCTGGTGACAGTGGAAGAACACGGCAGGTGGGTGAGAATCGTGCAGGTGAAAGGGGAGTTCATCTGGGCTCCCGAGGCCCGGCCCGCGGCTTTGGGCGAGAGGTCTGTAACGCACGCAGTGTGTATCCTTTCCGATACAAATTCAGGCAGCAGAAACAATGCAGAGGTTTGGAGGAGACAAGTCAGCTTGTTTTGTTATTAGATCCCTGCTGATGGAGCTGGCAGTGTTCCTCGAAGGGAAGGCTCCCGAGCGCTGGGGCATGTCTGAGCCGTTCCGCCGGCGGGTCCACGGCGAGCTGGGAAGGGGGACGTACTGTCCTCCGCCTGAGGCAGAAACCTTAAGTTTCTGAACTCGGGTTCATTCAAGATCCCAGAGCAATTTTTTGAATCCAATTATTCTAGCCAAAATCTAGTGTTCTACCTCCTTGAATTCCAGAGTTTCTGTTGGACTCTGGTTTTGTAACTTCCTGTCCTAAACACTTGCAGTCCTGTTGTGCATTGTGAAAACTTCAGTATCGCCGCTCTGGGCCAACCAAAAGAACACTAGCAATCTCTTACCTACCTCCTAGAGTATTGTGAACTTTAATTCCTTTTTTTTTTTTTTTTTTTGGTGACATTCCTTAAGATCTGTAGAATTAAGGACTCCAGGACAACTAAAGTAGAAATGCTCAGAAACACTGAGGTTGGTGTGTTTTCTTAATGACATCACTGCCTTGCAAGATTGCTCATGGAGCAAACCTCCCGGGTTCCTGTTCAGCTAACATAACTAGGGCTCAAAAGGAAACACCTTTAACTATGCAAAGTATTTCAGTTGCTTGATGAAGGGTTTGTTTCACCAGCTAAGGTAATCATTGTTCAACATCTACAAAAATGACTGTTTTGTCACTCAATCCCTGGGTCCATTCTCTGAAAACGCCTGCAGTGGAAAACAAAATGTGCAGGTAGCTGTCGGCAGAGCTGTGCTTAGTACAGCCCTGTGTTCTAGAGAGCAGCGTGAGAATGAGTTGTCTAACCTGCCCTCCCGCTGCCCCCAACGTATTAATTTGAGCACTAAGTTTTCAACATACACTTAATTTTTGAATGGAAACATTACTGAGCCTTGGTTTATTTATGTTTAGTTCCGCACATGGGACTTTCTTCTGTGCTCTAAAGAACCAAAATAACCAAAATGTGTTACAACCCAAAATGAGTTTGGTTGATCTAATTCTCTTTTTCTTCCCTCACAGGATTTGACAGGTGGAGCATTTGAAGCAAACCTGAACACGCTGAACTTGAAGGAAGGGGTGGATTATTATCACTTTAACTAAAAGCCAAGGTATGGCAGTCATACTGAAGCTGTGTTATTCTCTGTGTACCTGGGTGTAAGAAGACCAAAGCGTTCAGAGGTTTAGAGTTTTTTAGAAATTTGTGCTTCATTAATCTTTGTGCTGAGTAACCCCTAAGGAAGGTCCAACTTATGTCACAGCTAATGCTATCTGCTCATTTTACTATTGCACGCCACTTGTTTACCAAACTTGGTTTGATTGTTAAATTGTATTTCTAATTTAAATAACCATCAAATATAGGCTGTAAGATTACAAGAGGGCTGTTACCATAGGGAAGCCTTAAAAATGCATCAAGCAAAGCCGGCAACCACTGGAAGTGTAAAGAGAGGTTTCTGTCAAACACTGCTTGGGGCCCTCAGCCCTTCCCTGCCCCTGGCTCGTTTCCTGCTACTGGGAGCAGCAGCTGGTGCTGGCGAGGGGCAGCTCTGCCCGGGGCTGGGGGGGCCCTTCGGCCACAGCCTCCTCCCCTTGGGGCTCTGCCAAGGGCACAGTCGTGGCTGCAGCCTCAGCTGGCAGCCAGCTGATCGCAGGTACAGATGCTCACAATTGGCACTGGGCTGTCTCAGGTTTTTCTGACTAAGCAGGCTTTGCCAACGCAACTTGCGTTTTTCTTGCAGCAGGGACCTGTAGGTATGGATTCTGCAGAACCAAGATCTTTCAAGAACGTTCTAGAAACCTTGCTTTTAATGACAGCGTAGAAACCTGGGGGCTGTGGGATCAGGAGTTTTGCTTCTGCAGGAACAGGCGGGAGCAGCCCCTGTGGTGTGTGCGGCCACGTGGCCAACTCGGCCTGTTGCACAGTATTGTGAATTAAGTGCTGTTCAGCAGTTGGTCAGTGAATAACACTGACCCACACTGAATTCACCTGCCAGTCCAGGTTGCAAGTATACTTAAGAAGCATTGAATAATATAATTCATAGTTACCTTCTTAAAAAGGAAAAAGGCTCTTTGAGACAGATAGGTTGTAGTTTGGGAAATGAACACCTGCAGTAGAAGGTCGCTGCAGTTTGGAGCAGGTACTTCACAGAGAAACTGGCTTGTTTAGTTCCTCTGCCTAAATTTTTCCATCCTTTCAACTTCTCATTCACACACACAGCCACTGTTCTACTTGTAGTGCTGGGACAGTGGGATTTAATTAGAACTGTCAAATAACACAGTGTAATTAAAATATCATGTTGCCTGTGTGTTTGTCCTCCCTATCACGTTAGTCTTACTAAAGATAAATGTTACAGCCATTTCATTTTACAGTCAATAAGAAATGGTCTAAATTCCTAGCACTTGTTGAATGTATTAATTCACCTCTCTTCTTCATGGGAAAAAAATAAAGCTTCAGTCCCTAAAGCTGGTTTACCACAAAAAAAATATTTGCTTGATTTAGTTATATAAAGAGCTATTAAGAGAGGCTTTGACTTTAGCTAAAGTGAAACCTGGAATTTTTGTTCGACTGTGACACAGGAATGACAGACTCAGCCACAGAGCTAATTTATGCTCAGGAAGGTTTCATTGTCACTGGGCATTGCCATTCTTAGCGCTGACAATTATTTTAAGAGACTAATGCAGCAAGTCAGGTTTAATACTTGATGTGTGTACAGCAAGCACAGGCTGAATGGCTCCATTCAGTTAGAGAAGTATAAATCATTGACATCAAAAAACCCCGAGGTCAGTTGTGACAGAAGTATGAAGAGAAACCGCCATCTTGTGGCTACAGATAATGACTTTAAAAACTGAAAACATAATGAATCTTTTGTTGCCTTCTTATGGCATATCTGCACAATGCTTTAAGACGCAATCTCTGCCTCTTATGCTGTTAACCAGTGCACTTCGCAGCTCGTGCTGAGAATCCCGTTTGTGAGGATGCGGCAGCAGAACTCCTCCAGTCCTAACGGCACCGGAACCAAGAGCTTCCCTTTAGAAACCAGCAGCCCCTGCCTGCAGCATCACTGTGCCGAACTCTGCAGGAGAGAGAGGGAAAAAAAGAGAGGTCACACGGAGTACGCACGTATCATGATTTAACATTATCCCAATCATGTCGTTAACGAAACTAAACGAAGAAAATACAGATGCACAAAGCTGTAACATTTACTTTTTGACTGCCCCTTACTCAATTTCAGTTGTACAAATTTTAAAGGAATGGCAGGTGTTGATTTCACCTTTTCATAATGTTATACTTTGGCTTCCTCTACTGTTTCTCCCCGGTTCTCAGGGTCTACGAGCTCCTGAAGAAGAGCAGAGTGTTGTGTGAGCACACGGTGGCTGCTAGTGGGGACATGGGGACAGCTGTGAGAAATGCTCCGCGTTCAGTATCGCTCTCAGAGTGAGCTCCATCTCGGTGCAGGTGCAGGCTTAACTTCCCGCTCAAAGTTACACTAGCTATTTGCTTATGTTAAAAGAGGAGGAAATGGTAAAGTTCCAAATTCAGCAGCTAAGTTCCAGACTGCATGTGATACTATTGGTAACAGCTGCATCCAAAATACCTGTCTGTATATTTGACTATTTCTTATTATTCTGTTTATATTAGAGATGGTTTTCTCCTAACTTGTCAGGCTTCTCTCAGCTTCCAATAATTAGGGAGTTGAAATAAGTTATTTTTGAGTTCAGAAGTTCATCTTGTGACATATCTTTATTTTAAACATAACATTTATCTTAGCTGACTAGAAAACCTTGAAACAGCAATGCTCAGGTCAATTTTTGCTCTAAAAACAATTGTTGTATGGGCAAGAGGTTCTGATTCTTGTTTTCCAAAATTACAAAAATGTTAGTTGCAAGTTTCATAAAATTGTAGTAAAAGCAGAAGACTGTAGACACGATGGTAAAACTGGAAGATGAGTAAAGAAACTGCTACGGGGACAGCAGGGTGTCTTTGAGGGTTATTTATAGATATTTTAGTTAGTTATTAGTCCTCTGACCAATTTTTAAAATACACATTTCAAAAATCCATATATATTTTTATATCCATGACAACTCAAACCATAGGACCTACTTACATTAGGAAGCATCTTCAGTGTAAAGGATTATCAGAATATTACAGAGGAAGAACTGGCTGATGTGCACAAGGTAATGCCACAGCGAGCCAGTCCAAAGGCCTCTAAAAGCTCCATGAGCGAAGATCACCTTTAGACGCCGCAGCTGTGAAAAAGGCTAATGCAATTCTGAAGTGGAGCTGTGCAGGGCAACAACAAAATAATGCTTTGCATAATTCTAGTAATGAAAATAAACTTAATGGTGTTCAAGTATTTTAGATAAATAAAGGGAACGAAGATCCACCCTACTAGGAAAAACTTTAGAAAGAAGACTGCACAGGTGATGTTCCTGAATTCTAAAATAATTACAAAGGATAAAACTTTCTAGAACTACGAGGTAAGAGTCTTGGCCTTTCTAATTTTTAAATTGATATACCGCTATTTTTAAACTTAATCAGTTTATAGGATAGATTACATGCTGTGGGTGCTTGTGACCCTAGGGAAGTAGCTTGTCATGTTAGCACGTGTTCTCTAAGACAGTAATAATTGAGCCTCCTCATTTTTGGACAGAGAGGAAAGGAACCTCTCAGAAACCCTTACCAAAGCAGAAGATTCTGTACTTGTGAAATACAGAGCAGATGGGCAACTCGAACCTATCGAAATTAAATGGGACCTACATATGGATATGCCGTCGGTATTAGCTTTTGGATTATATTCTTCCTCTTGGGCAGTGTTAGATTTCTGTGGCTTGCACAACCACGTCACAATTTTGTTGTTGATATTGACTGGGAAGTTTTTATCCTTTTTATTTCCCCAGAAAGGGCAGATGAACAGTGTCTGGAACATCTGTACCGCATTATTTCATTCTTGCATTTTGCCCAAGTAAGATGTCACACTACATGTCTGGAAGGTTTTCAAGAAACGAGACTGGAAGGGCTTAAGACAACAGTCTTCAGCAATTCCGTATATTCTCTGTAGTTAGCTGAGAGGACGTTCCTCCTGGTGCACACTGACACATCCATGACGCAGTGGAGAACTGCATCTGTCGCACAGAAGGACGCGGTAGATGGGGTGGAACAACTGATCATCACTGTGTTTCCTTAACCCCCCCCGGAGCACGGTTCCATACTTCACCTTGGACACCAGCTGCGGTTTGGGCACTTTCATGAGATCACAGAGACAGTTGCGTTTCTCTCTTACTACTGGCAGCTCAGCTTCCCTGCAGGAGGAAGTATTTTCCAGTTAATTCAAAAAGGAAAACCTGAAGTTGGCTACATGCATGCAGCTTCTCAAGCTCTCCATGTCAGTGTTGTATCGCTATGTATGCATCTATACTTTCATGTACATTTCACATTGTAGAAGCTGTTGTGTCACATTTTAAGACTAATGTAACATTTTTATAGCAGCTTAAGCCACACAAACCATAAATACGTCCTCCAGAAGTGACCAGTTACTAGTAAAATGTCCAAGACTGTTCTCTTAGGTTTTTGTATGAAAAACAAAATAACACTTATTCATACGACCCTTTTGACTAGACATTCACTGATTTATTCTCTAAAGTTACAAGCTCCTTTTTGCTTAAGAAGGTTTCACATTAAGAATTAAAATAAATGGCACTGGATTTGGAGAACATTGTACTATTGAAAGACGCTTGCTCCTGTAGTCGATAATCCAGACCTAAAACTTGTGAGTCTTTCAAAAAGTTTCTGAAATAGCACCATGGCTATGAGAATTTCTTCAAGAACTGCCAAGTTACAAGAAGCTCCCAAATGCCAAAAAATCCATACAGACAACATTCTTTTCCGTGTAAAAATCGACTACTCTAACTGGAATGCTGTGAGACCACTAGTATTACTCACCAATTCAGAAGATTTATTTTGTTTTTCTTAAGTAACAACTGTAAATGGGCTTTTAAAAATTTAACTCTTAGCACATAAACAGAGTCCAAAACTACTGAGAAAAAGCATAAAGGGCAAGTTATCAATAACCTGAACTTTTTTTTTTGATATCTTGGACAATTTGCCATATTTAATACTGGAAGCCTTCCTGTAGCTAAACAAAAGTTATTTATAGAGTAATTTCTTTAAACGCTGAATTACAAATTGTATGATAAACTGTCTGTAGTTCCAACAAGGAACAAATATGCGTATGCCAGTAATTGTCATCTTCCTCAAATATTAATTCTCATTTGACTTCCTGATGTTAATGCTTATTGTAATTCAGAATTTACAGTGATTGTTTCAGCACCGAGAGCGCTTGAGAATAACAAGCAGCGCTCTCTGACACCCCGCAAGGACTTCAAATATCTTCTTTTGTAAACACGTCAAATCTACCAAGATAAAACAATTAAGTTTTAAGTGAACTAGCTCTTCATATTTAATCTTTGTGCAATGGATGTATTGTACCAGGGACCTCAGTCTAAAGCAGGCAGCCAGTCACACCTTACAAATGACAAGGTGAAAACAGAACAGTTACGTTTCTGAAGTGTTTTTAGGAAGTATTTTGCTTTGTTTTAGTGACCCATTTATGAGTAGAGCTGTACTACCACTGCTGCTTCTGTAGCAATTTGGTGTGTACCACTTCTAATTTTGGTATTGTAAACGTCCCTTTGTGACAGCAGGAATGTAATCCTACACAACTGCTTTTGTTGACAGATTCTGCCTGAAACTTCTACGCAAGCCTGCTCTTAAATTCAGGTTCCATAAGCAAGCACTGAATCACACCAAACACAATACTAAACAGCAATATGTAGATAAGCAAGTAATTTTAACAGGCAAAATTGTGATAACTGATTCTTCAAATCTGAGACTTCCAGTACAAAATGAGAGTATCAAATTCAGACAAACGGCAGCAGCCACCCCTTACAATGACAAACTGAACTTTATATTCGGGAAAAGAAAACTATTTAAGATCTAGCACAGAAATAAACTAGAAAATAAACAAAAGTTAAATAATGTAAGCATGCAGTCTGACAATATGTAAACCACAACCTTAAGGTGTATTTGTTCTCTGAACACGTCTAGGTTATTTTTATTTCTATGAAATGTTGCTGAAGACAAAAAGCCATTTAATAAAATGACTAAATAAATTATATATTTTTTTGTAGCTGTCTATTCTCATGTGTTAACTATGACTACTGTTTCAGCCAGAGCGTGGGTTAGTAAGACCCATGACCCAGGAGAGTCATCTGTAACAAGGAAAATTGTTTAACATGGCAGCAAAACTAATAAACTAATTAGTATCTTAAAACTCCGTATTTCCTCAAATTTCTGAGTCATGCGGTTCTTTCATAAACTTTTCCAGGTGCCTGTAGTGCACAATGCTAAACTCTGCAGCACGGGGAATAACAGTGCCAAAATTATGGTGAGTTTTCTCTCCTCCTGGCACTTTGAAGGTGCTGACAGACCGAGTCCCTCCCGCCCCAGGAAGGCACCTGGGGGACTCTCGCTCAGGAAGGACGGGACCCTGCTGCCCCCGCCCTTGGAAGACACTAAGGTCACAGGTAACAGTAGGTAAAAAAATGAATTATGTTATATATACATGGTTGTTTAATTCATGCAGCGTTATGCTTGGGAAACATCTAAACTGTTCCAATTCAAATATTTGCTTGAATACAACGTTTGTAGCATTTTGAATAATTACATTTCATGGGAGATTTGAGCTGTTCTGCTAATTCTGTTGTTTTCCAGCTTGCAGAGATCCTTCCTTTCCCAAAATCCTGCCAGTGCTCATCAGTGCCAAGAAACTGTCTGTGCAATTGAAGTTTGACTGTTTGCACAGCCCCGTCTCTCTCCATTTCATGGAGAATTTCCAAGATCTCCTCCCTCTTTATGTTGTTAGAAAAATACAGACATTTTACTTTATCTAGTGATGATTTTATACATACCACTTCCACTGGGACAATATACTAGATAGCTCTTTAGAACAGAAGAATTATTTTCTGCAATGCTTTTCTATCCCAGAAGCAATAAATAGCTAAAAACTACAGTATCCTTTCCTTTCAAAGGCACTGACTTTTTTTCAACTTCAGTGGTACAAAACTTATTTCAGCTCTTACTACAATCTGGCAACAAATTCACTTACCAGTTGGTATCGCTGAGTATGGTCATAACCTCATCCATAATGGCAGGATCAGCTACATCACTGTAGGTTATCAGCATTTCATAAACCTGACTGGCTGTCGTCTTCCGTATCTATGGGGAAAAGGCAGAGGAAGCTTCAGTGAAGTAAGTGTCCAGAGTCGTGTCTGGAGGAGCCCAGCGCCAGTTCCTCATCCTGACAACCATTTTATGGTGGACACGTTGCAGGGCTCAGAACTACACTCTGTTCTTGCCTCTAACAGTGATTAGCTGCAGGAAGGGAATTCATTTCTAGCACCTCAAAGAAATGAATCCTACTACAGTTGGCATATTTTCCCTAAACTTTTCCAGTATTTCAGATTAAGAAGGCTACTGCTCTGTCTGTCCCTCACAGGGAATTCAACTGTTAGGCCAGTCTCAAACAGGAACATTTCTGTTCTTGAAATGACTGGCTGAGCCAAAGTCTGGCTCTAATGTTGGTTGCTGTAAGCTCACAAAACGTATTTCCCAGTCTGGAGAGTGTAAGAGTCAGCAAAACTCTTTAAAAAAACTGCTGGAGATAGATGATGACGTGAGTGACATTAGCTTTTTACACTCCAGTTTCCGGAAGCAGTTAATTTGCAAGTATTTTTCCCAGAGCACTGTTTAATAGAGATGTTGGTGTGCATACAGAAAAAGCCAGCTAGGCTGGTTTCTGAAGTATGAGGTGTAGAAATACACTAAATGGAAGACAGCAAAACTGCAACAAAAACTAACTGCTTTTTTTTTTTAAGAAAGCCTGATGATGATTAACCAAAGGAAGGCGAAGAAATTATAGGATTATTTCTGGAGTAGTAGAGCCAAATTCAGTTGACCCATCTGTAAATACAAAACATATTTATGATGTAAAATACCGATAAAACATGAAATTGAAATGATCTCTCTTCAGTTCTTACATTGTGCCCTTCCTGTAGCAAGTACACACAACATAGAAACAGTTGGACTGAAAATCTGAAGTACTGAACTTTGCCAAGTACCGTATGATTTTAACCTTATCAAAAAGTAATCAGCAAAAGTAATCACTGTTAGAATAAACAATGGTGATTTGCACTGGCCAGACACCAGGCTCTTCAGTGTGCTCTCAAACCACTTTAAGACCTCATGGGTTTTCAGGTTCTTTCTGTGCACCCTTGCAATCACTTCTGACAGCCTTTGTTCCTCCTGCACCGCTCCAGTACAGGTGCAGCGTCCTGGCCGCCGCTGGCAGCTGAGGTGCTGGTCTCTCCCTCCCTCACAGGAGCACCCACGTATGATCTTCTCCTGTACATACTGAGTAACAACTTGGGTTTAGTGCCCTGCCTTCAGTTAGTTCTAGGAAAAAGGTACAATTCTGATTGATAGACTTTCCCGTGTTTCACAAGTTTTCGTCACACCTGACAAAAAGAACCGATACCTTCTTGAACCAGAACTGCTACTGTGGTGCTACTGTCAGAAATACAGCAAAACTAACAGTAACTCATCTGACTGGAGCTTTCCCGCACTAAACTGTGAACAGATCTTCACTGTGCTGGGTGCTGCATAAAAGAAGCAAGCAACTTATTTAAGCATCTAAATTGCTTCTAGTTTAAAACAGCAAGGACAGAAGGTGGAAGAGGAGCAGATGGAATAGCCAGGTACGCTGCAAGTATCCAGTAGCCTGTTTCAGGTGGCAGCATTGCACAGAGCAGACCCTTAAGGAATATAAACCTATTATATACAATAATACGTTTAAGCGATTGCTGCCTTCATGCACTTTAAATTACTTTCTACTTGTGAAGTATTTTAAATAATACATTTGATAATATGCAATGTCTTCAGTACTTACGACAGGAAATGGATGGCAAAGAAGAAGAAACAACTGAAAGAAAACTTTCTCCCTCATGTCTCCTTGAAATTGAATCAGGCCACAAAACCTAGAAAACATAAGGAAAAAAAACAGATCTTGTGTTATGACTGCAAAAGTACATTTTGAGGATCAGAATGAAGATGTGTATCACAAAAAAGGGCGGGAGGGGACGCTTTGCTGCCCCCAGGAAATGTCAGTTCCGAGTGCTGTGGGAAAGCAAACACTGAGGTAAGTGCATGAAATCCTTAAGGGTTACCGAGATGCCCCACGTCTGTGCCAAGTACAAACATGGTTTTAAAACTACTGACCAGCAGCACCAAAGCCTGTGCTAAACACGTGTGAGCCAAGCTCTGGCCCCGACGCCAGACAACACAAGCGCAGGGGAGGCTGGTGGGGGTGTGCTGCCGTTCAGCGTGAAAGGCGAATCAGCAACATGGGTACATCTCATTCTAGGCTTTCGTGCACTCCGAAAATATTGCCAATAAAGAAATGGAGTAAGAGTCAATAAAATCTTCGCTTGACATCGTTATACCTGAATAATTTTGCCAAGTTTCTGCCAACGAACCTTTGTTCAACTTGGCAATGCTTTGTCTTTTTCCTCCTCCTCTCCTCACCCAGTATTGTCTTTCCTGACTGCTACGGTTTGGTTTGCCTTCTCTGCTATTGGAACTGAGGGATTTCACCCGAAAGCCAGACAATAATTTTGCAGATGTTTTCAGCTCTTTCTAGTGCACATCTAAGATCTAATCTTACACATATTTTGCATTGGCACCAAGTCAAGCTCTCTACAAGCAAAAAGCAAATGATTCGCTGCATCTTTAAGAATATCAGCATTTTACAAGTAGTTAAATTTTATCAGATCCTTCATATATTTTCACCCCAATCACCCAGAAGTACACGAAACTCTCACAACCTTATATTACATGCATTTGTGTGCATTTTGCATTTAAATTTCACATGAAATAGACTTAGCTGTTACAGCTGGTATATACTACACTTAAATTTTCTTCACTTTTTATGAGCAGAGAAAAGATTATTTAATCAACTCACACTCCAATGCTGGAGCGAAGCTTCCGGATGTCTTTGGATCTTTTGATCTCTTCTTTACAAAGGGTAAATAACTTCACTGAAAAGGGATGGCTGAAATGGGAAAGAAAAAAGATTGGAAATAGATTTCAGTAGAATTTCAAACACATTTAATGATTGTAAAGAAAACTAACATTCAAAGGCAAGGAAAGGCACAAAAGACATGCCTCTTGCACACCCTGCTTTAGGTGAAGATACAGGTGAGTTTGGCCACCACCTTACTGGGCCTCTGTTTTGTTTTGTTTTTTAAATAGGGAAAGAAATAAATTAGTATTAATTATTTGCATTCCTATTACCTGTATGGTGAAGCATGAACTACATTTATCCGGTCAGATTCAGCAGATGCCTGATAATCACCTAGCCATGGCTTGTGTTTACAACAAAGCATGGCATGATCAGAAATACTATGTCAGGAATTAGAATATTCTATAGCCAAATAAAATTTATTTAGTCTGTGTATCCTTGTGGTGTCCTGGTCGCTCCCTAGGGTCTTCAACCAAACTTTACATAAAAGGGGATGAATGTTGTTCTTAAATACTCTACCATTTCACAGCCCAAATTCCTTTAGTGATTCCAGACAACGTAATTAAACACAGGGCTTACAGTTCTGTTAAGTGTACGAGTCATGAAGCCATCTTTAAATATATTTAGCAAATTCTTTTCTTTTTCCACACAGTCTGGGAAACGTGATTCTCACAGCTCTTTCCCAGACACTCATACAAACACAAGTATTGTTAGCGTATTCCAAGGATCTATTAAAGAGAAGTAAAGAGGGAATATTGCTTTTATTTCAGTACAAATTATTTAATCTTTTACTTGCTACACTCAAAGCTGAAGTGCCATTGATGCAAAAGAAACTATTTCATATTTGTCTAGTAAGCACAATCGCTTCTAGACTGCATATTTTGGAAACCTCACTATATTGTTTATGTAAAGCAGACAGCAAAAATACTAACATTTATTTTCTGGTACCATGATTCAAAGCTGTGGATAAAAACTACCCAAAAGCACAGTGTAGCATAATCTGTTGAAAACCAGAACACGTAAAACAAGATGCTTATAGGAGTGACAAGATGTTTTGTTAAGTTAATGCACCTTGTTATATATAGTTTTCCAGACAAGAGTTAGGGTTTTTTAAGTACTTTAAAAAAATTCTTACCAAAATACTGGCATATACTGGCAAATATTGACTTGGTTAAAAAAACCTGAATAACAAACCATGGAATCATTAAGCTAAAGAATGCTGAATATGGCTGTCTCAGTATTGTCCAGAAAACCACACTAAAGGAGTAAACAGAACTGCCAGATATTGAGGCTTCCTAAGACACTTCCAGAGCTGAGAGTGGCTTTCAGGACCAAAGAGGCTGGGGAGGGCTGATTTTAAATACCTCCATCAGATGGGGAAAGAGCAAGCTCCTTGCCATCCACTGCCTGCGGCCACGCCAGCACCATGTCCACATGTTAAGGGGTGTGATAAGCACAGAAAGCACGCGTGTAGGAGACCTGTCCTGAGAGTGGCAGACACCTCACGACTGACTCTGTGTGTGTGTGCAGCCACTGACTTGGCTGGGTAGTTGAGGAATGAGCGTATCTGCTCTCTTAATACTAAGAGGAGGCATGTTTTTCTTACCTTCATGAAATTTCTCCTTCTCCCACCCCCAATTACACAAAGACACTGTGTGGACAACTAATTACAATACCTGCAATGCATGCCTGGCTATCAGCACAGAACAACAGCAACAGAGTGAATTAGGTGAGATTTAAATTGGTCGAACAACTGGGACATCGCTGAGAAGTACAGCAACAAAGAGGCCAATTGGAATAAGAGCATCTGGAATAAATTTAATGCACGTAACCTTATGTGCAGCATTTTCTGTTTAAAACAGATGCACTCTCCTTTCTGTCATTTGCCAATTTCACATTTGTAATAACTAAACCTAACCTATGTGTGATCTCAAATGACTCAAATAGCTTGGCCTCTTTAAAGGAAATTGAGAAAATTCCTTCTCCTGTGTGGGCACAGTGCCAGCAGAAACAGAGTCGGCATCTGGGGAAAAGGGATCAGTCTAAAGTCTTTACATTATGTAAACTGGGCGCACGTGGTACTGCAAAAAGGTGCAGGCTTTTTCCTCCTGAAGGCAGACAGGGTTTCACCAGTTCAGCTGATGTCAACTGGGGTGGCTGTGAAACCAGAGGATAGCCATTGCCGTGCTCTTCACTTTATGGTTTATTAGGCAAATATAGTTTTTAAAAAAATCTACAGGAGCATGTAATACACAGAAATCATCAGTCAGAGATCAGTGGGGACACGTACCATCTTAACATACTAAGAACACCAGAAAAATATCTTACATGTATAATGCATGCACACTTCTGCTGCACATGTAAAATATACACACAAAAGAAAGAGAAACGCCACTTTTACTTTTTACTCCAGAAAGCACGACCCCCTGAATTGTCGTTCCAAGGCTATTCTGTCCACGTGGGCCTGAGTACCAGACCAGTCCTACCGTCCTTCCTACGGAACTGGCAATCCACCTGGGCTCCTGGCAGACTGAGCACCTCTGGTGATCGTTCACTCACGAGACCGGCGGAATGACTGCACGAGCCATGACCAGAAAATAACACTCCAGTGCCAGTTCTGCAAGCGGCTCCAGATCAATCTCCTTTATTCTCCCTATCTCTTGTCCCACTACCGGCAGAGAGCTGACAGTTACCATTGTCTTTTAAGAGTAGCCACTGGCGAGTTTAAAAAAGCCCAACATGCTCTGATTTACTTATGACAGCTCTGTTTCAAGCACGTTGTCCTTGGCCTCCAGCAGTCTCTCTAATCATTTAACACTCTCCACATTATTATGAATACGGCTCTAAAAATTCACAAGGTACCCGAGATGAAATCAGGAGGTTTCAGGTTGTGCTACCTCAGGGAAGAAATTACATTTCAACTGAAAACTACCGCCCTGTTTGGGGTGGGAGGGCACACAGGGCAGGGAGGAAATAGCAGGTGAATGACAGATTGCAGTTTCACAAATGTTGTCAGCCAGCAGACACCTGTACTGCTGCCAGAAGAAATGGTTTTCCCCCCACCTCCCTCATTTTGGCACAGCTTGTGAGCACCCAGCAGAACAAACCAAGGAACTACCTCAAGCTGAATTTTACTGGAAGAAGGGTATTTTTAACCTGGAACAGTTTCGTAATGCCATTTATCACGTAGCAAGACAAACCATTCCTGCCAGTTCAAGGGAGAGGAAAAGTTTCATGCAGGTTTATGCCAGCATCAGATGAGTAGGAGGTAACAGCCTGAAAAATGGCAGGCAGAGCTTTTCGTACTACAGATTCAAGCTAAGCCAAGCACAACAAAGAAAAGCTGCTGCTGATAGTCTTTTGATTACCCCAATCATACTAAAGTTGATTCATTTCAAACCCCACCGGACAGGACACTTTGCTTCCCTGCTGGCAGGTTCAGCAGGGCCCTGGCAGAGAAATGACCCACGCATGACAAATAAATCTCCCTTGAAACACAAACATTCAAAATACGGTAACTGAGGAGAAACACCCAGTGGCTCACTTGCCCTCCTGCACAGACCTCACAAGACCAGCCATACAGGGAGCCTCCCAAACACTAAAACTCATCTACAAAACTACGCCAGAAATGTCAAGCTGTGTATTTTAAACTTGATGCACTATGTGGGTCGAAGAGGCAGGAAAATGCACCCCGGGTTAGATCTCTGCAGGGCGGGAGTGACACCATGTGGCAATTTGCTTTAACTGGAGCACTGAGCTCCTAACAAGTGTCAGACTAATTCAGCCAACAGCTATTTATCCTGTTTAAATCGAGCAGCGTAGGATATTATCTGCTCTGGATTGCTAATGTTTCATTAGGAAAAAAAAAAAGTCCAGGATAGTGCACAATATCCATTTACAACTTCAAAACGCACTTGCAAATACTTTTTTATAGTGTGACAGTTGACTAATAAGCAGCTGATACAGGCATAATCCTGATGCCAGACATCCTACAACCCAAGTTCTCTTGCTAAAACTCCACTCAGCCCAATGTGGTAAAAAAATGAGGGAAGGAGATGAAATGGGAGCAAAACACCCCAAGGAATGCTAACGCTTCACTTCCGGCTTCTCAGAAAAGTTTTGTCATTTGCTCTATGACAAGAGAGAAGTTTATAGAAGAACAGAAGCAACAGGGAAGTTGTTTACCAGCAGTAAGACTATCCTCTCTAAAAAAAAAAAAAAATGCACCTCATCCCTCTTATTACGGGCATACTTAATATGAAAGTATCTGAACCTGCATGCACACATGGCCTTTTCATGCCACCAAACAGTGTCTCAGTTTTCAGGTTCATTCTGCATTGTATTGCTACATTTTTATAGCACGCTGCTTTGAAAAAGGAGGAAATGCTCCCATTCAAGAAACCAGGCCCAAAGTCAGACTTTTCTTCTCTGTAATAAGGACTATGTGGCATCCAACAGTGCAGGCGGGCAGGCCTTGGAGCCAGGATCAGTGTTTATCCATCTGTAGCTATACCCAAACAACATTGCCAAATTAAGAAAATCCAAGTATTGCACTAAATAGAATTTTGGGTTCCCCAATCTACCACACTGAGCTGACCTGCACACAGGCTCTTACAGCACCCAACATGCCAGGCTCACTTGGCTCTCCATGTAGTACACACAGTAACCTTTTTATGATTACCTCTCGACCATAAGGTAAACTGTTACATGCAGGAACCAGATCATCTGTCTTCAAACTTTATAGAGCTCTGGCCTTCCAGAGTTTTTGTATGATCATGAGTTCTTGTGCTTCATGACAGTATTTCATTCCTTTGCCACGAGACACTGGGCTGTATAATTATTACTTCTCTTTTTTTGGATTCATGATCAAACTGGAAGCAAATACATTTGGGTCACCTTCAAAATCTTTCCTCTTTTCCCCCATAACCCCCCTGGATTTTATTTCAGGGCTTTTTAATAAAACATTATAATGGCACTGCAGGATTGAGTTTGAGTTTCACTTACACAGCAAATGCAGTGATGCTACCACATGCTTTCTGTTTAGTGACCCATGACACGAAGGCAGACTTTACCTGGGATTTCCACCCGTAATCTACCATCTTCCCCAGCAGGGAAGACTGGAGCCTATGTGGAAGTCCCAGATCACTGCCATCATTACCAAACTGAATGAGCAATATTCATTCAATCTGTGAGTACTTGACTCACTTTAAATTCCCATTCAAAAAGGGACTGACAAATTTGGTTGAAGAGAGATTATCTAAATACACACTTCAAAACAAGAGTAGACTCAATTAAACTTTTAGAGCGATAAAAGCTTTTCAAATTTATCTGCTGCGAACAATTCTTGAATCAGTGGATTCCAAATTCAGTGTATGTGCTTGTAGGATTCACGTTGTACAATTCTGCAAATATCTGCAGATGTGCTAAGATGCTACCTGAGAGTTTGTGGAATATATTTTAATATTACTGAAATTAAAATAATTCTCTTCTGAAACATCTGCAAAAAAACATGATTTCACATTGGAATATCTTATTCATGTTTATCCATTTCTGAACTACATACTTTCCAGAAGACTGAACTTGGTGTGGAAAAGCTGGGACACACCTTCTTTATGATTCTTACTAGAATCTTAGTTAACTTATTTGGAGATACTCACATTCACAAAAGCAGTGTGATTTTGGAAGCGACAGCTTGTAGGTACACTATTTTGCAGCATCACAACAGGACACTGCCATTGCTAAAGGCTCACGGTACAGTGAAGAACGTACTCCAAGAAGCATGAAGTGAGGAAACTAGTAAAGGAAAGAAGTTAAATAGATCTGCTAGTGGCCCACGTCTGCCAGGTGAAACATGCAAATTGAATTTGATTAACGTTCTGGTTGTTAAACAACGAACCAATTACCAACTTCTACACTGATATGAGAGTTGAAGATTTTATCAAGATCCTTTCAAGGCTATCTGGTCCACAATTTGTCAGAGCTGTCCCACTTCAGGAAAATTAAATTATATCCATATACACTCCCACTCAAGAGTCCTATGTACCCACACCTAGAGCAACAGTCAGCGGCAGTCAGCGTAAGATTTAAAAGGCCTGTTGTATGGTGGAAAATAAACAAAAAAGACTTTCAACAACTTACTCCTCTTGCATGGTAAATATATCAAAACAGCCATTTGCCAGCATTTGGTCCAGCATTGTCAGGAGAGGTACCGACACCCTGATGAAAGAAAATAATTTAACAATGTAAATACACTTCTTGGCATACATTTACACACTATTTTTAATTAGAAGCAAAGAAAGAAACTTCCTATCTACCTACACATATTTAAATTAGAATAATTTACACAGAGGAGGGTTGCTCGGTAACTTCTGTGTGTTGGCTAAATCATCCGCCTTGGCTGAGAGCGTGACATTCCATTACAGCCAAAAGGAAAAAAAAACCCAATTAACAACATGCCTGGTTTAAACTTGCAGGGTCCTGAAAACACAATTAACAGTAGCAGAAAATATTAATTTATTTTCCAGTATATAAATGACATATTCTACAACAGAATTGTAACAGAAGTTACACCTCACTACAGGTAATGACCAAATGAATAAGCACACGTCAACTGTATTCCAGTTGGTCATGCTTTCAATGGCTGACACAAGAAACAAAATAAAAATAAAATAAACCTGAAAATTATATTAATAATTGTGGGGTGTGTTCTCTAGGGAAAATTTTTTATTTTCCACATGTTTGATAAGCAAGGCTTAGAGAAATTAATCTCATTATGCAGAATGAGTCACTTTCAAAGAAAAATCTTCACAAGAAAATTATACTTCAAGTATTTGTGAAAAAACACTACCTAAACAAAATGCAGACTGGACTACACTGAAAAGTGTGCAGCAGTATACAAGCTCCAATATTGCATTATATAAAAACTGGTGCTTATCACATTGTGAACAATATTAAACTACAGTAAATGCAAAATATTCTACCATCACTCCTTTGTTATATGTTTTACCAAAGGTACTGATGTACCAAACAGACTTATTAAAACAAACTTATATGGCTCAGGCATACTTCATCTAGGCATATTAAAAAATATTAGATGCCCAGATACTTCAAATAATCCTGCTGTTAAAGATAAAGCAAAAGAAAAACATTACCGGTCATTCCGCAGGTTGTCTTCAAAGACCTTTAGCAACGTCTCACAAAAGCTCTCCATAGCACTGGAATCATTCTGGATTTTCTTCATGTAGTCAAAAAGGCTCTGGGCAGAGTATCTGAGCTACAACAGAAGGAACCTCAAATGAGGACTCAAGGATTAAACCCCGCTGCAACTCACAGAAACGGCGACTACACAGAATCACGCTTATCGCTCACACCGGCACTGTGAACACACTCTTCCAACAGCAGCCGAGTGTATAAATTTAATAATGATATTTGACAGGAAGATGTCTATTTTACTTTCATTAATCCTTTTTCAAGGAAAGGGGTTTTTCCCCTGTTAAAGTTTTGCCATTGTAGGAAAAAAAGACCACTTTAAAGGTTTAATATTTTCTTTCTCTCAAAATAAAACATCCCCAAACCGCTGTGATTATCCTGCTTTACTTCAAATAATAATATTATTATGTCTCTGAAAGTTAAAGAGTACACAAGAAGTTCAAGAGGCAATATTTATTAAACAAGCTGATGTAATTGAAAAATGCAGGCAAGCTCTTGGGCACATGGTGCAGGCCACACAAACCAGTGGTAAACTCAGGTTAAAAATTCTAAACACCTCAGAAATAATGACTCTTGCCTGAAGTTTATTGTGTTAATCAGCTCGTTTAGGAAGACGGCAGAAGGAGGTTTGAGCACTCGTGCCCGTGGCTGGGCCGGCGGCTCAGCGCGGGTCAGGCTGCGGCCCCTCACAGCCCCTGCTCGGGGTGGCGGTTGGGGGCCCCGGGGGATTCCCCCTCCCCTGCGGGACCCCCCTCTCTCCTGCAGGAACCCCCCCCGGCAGCCCCCAGTCCACCCTGCAGCGGCAGGACAAGGACTGCAACAGGCTACATGAACATCACTACTAATGCTAAGATCTTCCGTTTCTGGGAGAGGTAGGGATTTTAGTTTCCAGGGTCATCTTTTCAAATACTGATTGACTTCCCCTGAGGACAAAAAGAAGAATTTGGTATTTTTTGTTACAGAAACTACCTCAAAAGAAAATACCTCGTTGAGGGTAAACATAATCAGATTTCCGAATTTTCCTGACTCCAGTGTGAAGGATTATCAGTCCTGCTGGGGCTTGGTCAAGTTGCTTAGGGAAGGGGGCGGAGGGGGTGCCCCCCTATAAGAAACTGGCTTCCAATGAAGGAGGCAGTGGGAAGGGTAGATGGGGCAGAGCAGTTTTGAAATATGAACTTCTTTCAGTTTTGGTTGCAAGTGTTAAATAATATTTGTTGAGTCAAGAGGTGCCTGAAAGCAGTAAGTAAGCCTATTCAGTCAGTGGAGATTTTCTTTCTGAACTCAGATTTTGATAGCTCATTCACAGGTGCAATTTGTTCCCTCAGAAGATCGACCCTTTTATCAAGGAAAGAATCATAAAAAAAAAAAAAAAAAATTAGATCAGTATGAGAAGTGCCACAAGTGTCTTCCTGAAAGCAAAAGAGAGGAATCTCTATTTAAACTTTTTATCTAATTTAAATTTTATATCAGTAACATTTATGGGTGCATCAGCACAGAACAATAAACCTTTTAGCCTTGAATCAAAACTCTGAACTAGTCTTCAAAAGCTTTAGCCTACCTGTAAACACCATAGCACAACAATCCATATTACCTGGAACGTACCACAGTCTGCTATTTTAACAATTTGTTCTATAATGAAAGATCCTGGGCAACGCAGCAGCAGAAATATTTCTTTAAAAAGGTCAAGCAATTTATAAGAAATTATTCTGTTATTTTGCATTTCAAAATGACAGTATAAGCTCTGTAAAAATTGTTTAAACATTTGTAAAAGCTACATCTACTAAACTGAAATACAGAATTGAACTGTGGTTCTTCCATATGCCAGAAGTAACATTGGTATGTCTCCCTGTAAGCTGAGTATTATCTGTATCCTTACACTGAAAGGTCTTTACAGGATAGACAACAGTAAGGAAGAGAGATTTCCTGAAAATTTAAAACCTGATTCATTATTGTATACTACCCTTTAAAACAATCTGTGCATTTAAGACCATTACAAATAAAGAATAAATATCTTCTCTTAATACCTTACACTAGCGGAGATCAATTATAAGCAGAAGAAAAGTTATATCTGAGTCAAGTCTCAGGAAAAGCTCTTAAAACACATATGGTTAACTATGCAGTTTTCTCTCCTATTTCTTTTGTCTTTTAAACTACCTTGCAGATCCCACACCATTTTTAAAGAAACCTTAATTACTCAATGATTCACCTGTAGATTTAAATGATTGAAAAGGCAAGAATGGACACAAAAGAAAAGGGCCAGCATAGCTATGCATAGGATGTTCCAAAGCTGTGCAAAACCAAGACAGAGTAGCAGGATAATCAAAAAAACTGTCTAATTAAGACAACATTTCTTCATTAGCAAGTAAATAAACAATACAAAAGTACAGGTATGGATAAGCCATCACATACTGCTTGGGAGATTTAAAAATGGGACATTTTCCAAACAGTCAGCATAGACCATACAAACTTTTCCAGAAGAAACTCCAACATAACAAGATAACATTATATGATCAGGATAAATTTGTATTTCCTCCTCAGGTGATCGCTCCTTTTTTCCCAGATAACCGATGAGGACAACATCTGAACTACAACCTTAGCTGCTTGTGAGTATTTGCAGAAAAGAGCATTTCCAAATTTCTTCCTCGCCAATTGAGAACTCAGAATTCACACTATATCAAATGTGTGACATTTACCTTCCCCTGGGGTTACATGAGGACTGGAGGAGGAAGTTAGGAGGTTAATGGGTTGGAACTGGGACAACTCTGAATAAGAATTTAAGAGGAGGCCTGAGAATGACCTTGTTCTTATTAAACATAGTAGAAACAGGATTTGCCAAGGCTTGACTCTCCCATCATTTAAGCCAATAGTGGATACTTCAGTGATAGGCAATGCACGATAAGGCGATCAGCGTTCAAAGGGACCATTCATTTGATGATAAAACTAAAGTCCTAATGATTTTACCTCCTGAACCAGGGGAAAAGCATGAGGAAGTGTAGCTACAGCAAGGGGAGAAGGCAATTACAGCTCTGGACAGGCACGTGGTGTATAAATAAGGTGCCTGCACAACCTTCCTGAAATTGCATCCTGGTCAGCTTGTTGCAAAGCCGAAGTACTATGCTTCTAAAAACAGTCTCAAGGCAGCAAGTGGGACTGATACAGCCAGAAGAAAGTTAGTTTAGGCACCTAGTATGTAAAAAAGCATTCAAAATCTCAGATATCCATCAGCTATAAAGAGGCTAAATCCACATAAGGGTTCTGATTCTTACTTCACAGTACTATCTTGGACAGACCTGATAAAAAAAGCCAGTGGGGAATGATGAAAAAGGAAAAGACTGTACCGAAGATGTTCAGTAGATTGATATACTTGGATGACTGTCAGTGTCCCATCTAACCAGTCTCCTTGAAGCCCCAGGTATCTTAAAAATATTCAGTCTTATGCACCACAAATGGAAGTCAAGTGAGCAACTACTGGGGAAGCCTGGACAAAATCAGATGTATAAATAATTGCTGAAGGCTGCAGTTTTCATAGAAGCATTTCAACAGAGCAAGACCTACTCACAGAGTCAGAACGTTTCTGTAACACATGCAGAAAAAAACATGTTACGCTCAATAAGTAACACTGATTTGAGATCATTTCTTATCCTGACAAATTTACAGCACTGAAGTGGCAGTAGCCTATTTCCCCAGTAACTTTAGAAAAAAATGCATGAGATTCAAATTTTAGCACAAGCGAAACCATGTCTCCCTTGTTTAACCTGCAACATTCTTTTTAAGATATCAAGTCTTTGGAGGCCAGTAACTCTAAGACTCAAGTCAGTGCTATTTTACAAGAAGTAGGAATAGCTTAATTCCCACTAATTTTTTCTTTAAAAAAAGAACGTGAAAAATTATTCTCAAATGTATTTTGCTCAGCAATCATCAACAAAGAAAACTGAATTTAGGGCCTGTTCTTTCAAACAAAATATGCATTAATTTGCATACAATTTGTCACAGTAACCAGATGTTTTAGAACATCCTCTACAAATGTCCCAACATTTTCATTTGTAAGAACTAACACTGCTGTTCAAAGCCCAGTATTTGCTCTGAATGGTGCAGACAGTCATAAATAGCACTGGCAAACAATGAGTCCATTTTGAGGAAAGTAAAACTTAAATTGTATCATGTATATGGCACATAGATAATGTTGACATCCATATGCCACAGATGGGCTTTAATTCTGGTCAGGTGCTTTAACATACATATGCATCCATCAGATAGTTTTGGAACTGGATACTCAAATTGTTAAAGGTCTTTGGCATCTCAAGTTGGAACCCTGGTACTAGTTTGGGAGACAATTTTCAAAATAGGTTGCTGCCTTTTTTTTTTTTTCTTCCTTAAGGTTTTACTTAAAATTTCTATAACATTTTAAAAAGTAATCTTCAGTCTTTATGGGGGGAGTAGAAATCACAGAACATTCTGTGCTTTAACAAAACTTTAAATGTAGTGCAGTTCAACAATAATGAAATTATATAAAAATTGTATCCTGACCCCTGGAACTACAGGGTTTGTGAACTGGAGAAAGAACATCATTGTATAGTTCTCATCTCCATATACTGAGAGGATTTTTTATGCAGCCATAAGAAATATGCATCATTGTGGGCCAGATATATAATTAAAAGATTCTTTTACACAGAGAAAGTGCCCTTTGAACCAAGGCGATGTAGCAGAATGCCAAATCCCAAAGGGAATGACATCTTCTGTTTTTCCAGATTTACTTCAAATGCTCATGCTATAATTCCTTCAGCAACCATGCTGTCACCAAAACGTTTCTGAGATACCCCACACAGCCCATTTCAGAAAATCTCTTTGAAAAGGAAAACAAAGAACTCCTCGTGCTAAATATATGCAGAGCAATTTTAACTATGGAAAAATAGCCATTGAACATGGAACTACAATGGAGCCTTTCTCCTACTAATTCTCCGAGATGATTTAAAGACAAATTAACATTTGAACTCAGATTAGTATACAAGAATCTTCTAACTTTCTAACTTCTGTGTCCACTTGTGCATGTGTGTTTATATTTTTTTATGTGAGAGAGGGAATAAAGGAGAGATCACAAGAGCCCACGCAGGTTATTGCATGAACATGTATTTGAATAATCCTTTTTCTTGATCCAAGATTTAAAAAATTTGCTTCTTTCATATGGATTTAATAGGAACAGTTCTTGAAATTTTCTATTAATGTTTTAAATCAGTCCCTGGATATTCAGTAAAGAACACTATGAGCTTTGATAGAATGGTTTGAAACAAAAGTCATTAGAAGACACATCAATTCTAATTTATATATCACACTTTAAATATTAAATGTAATTCACCACACACTGTGTAATCCCAAGTGTAAGCACCCCATACTTTGAGCCTCTCTTGCACTTCTATCTGGCTCAAAAGAGAATTAGGTCATCTTGTTTCTAAAGCCAAACCCCTTAAGAATATCTTAACCAGAACAATCCTTTAGCATTAAAGAAAAATGCAGGGTCACAGAAAGTTAACATTTCAAAATCATATTTTGAAAAGAGTACAGAAGGTTTCCCTTAAATATACTGTCAGATGGTAATAAGTGAAGGGAGGTAAAAGTAACTGAACTGTTTACACTTTCCAAAATCAAGCACAACCAGAACTTAAAAAACCCCAAAAGATATTAAAACGTTGAATAAGAATTTTCCTCTGACCTCGGCTAGCAGTCAGAATGTCTGTTTCTCCACAACTTTCCTCCCTTATTATACTTATATGAATAACTTTGGTTTTGGTGGAGCCTCCTTTAATTAGCTGTGTTTGACTAAAAGCTGAATTTGATGTGCATGTCTGCTATTAAAAAAATCTGTTAGGAGTTACATTGTCTATCCGGTAATTATTGTCACAAACCAATAAGCATATGTTTTCAAGGTTCTAAAACAGCCATTGCTATATAATTAGTTGCTATTTTAGAAACATTAAAATTCTCAAAATTGGTTTAAATACATGAGACTGCACAGACACCAAATTGTCAGCTACACGAAACCCAAAGGCATACGGACATCTCTTGATCACAAGTGCAGAAGCCATGGCACCAGGCAAAACCCACCATCTGGGCACATTCTGAACAGCTCATGGTAAAACTGAAAAGTGGAAGCCATGGGAGACAAGCTTGAAATGATTACCTCCTTCCTTCTGTGAACCCAGCAGGAGCTGTCCTCTCTCCACAAAACCTGTATTTCCAGACACTTATCACTTTTCTACTGGCTGTCTTAATTAGAGACAATCTTAATTAGAAACACCCTTATACACTGTTGGGGTGCTGACTCATTACCTCCTCTTCCTGTTGCAGGTCCACTACAATTTAAAGATTTAACTGACAGTCCAGAATATTCTGCTAGTGGTCTGACATTTCTCTGTAGTGTCATACTGAACAGCGTCCTTACCCCAATAGTTGTTTCCATGTATGTTACATCTTTGGCTACATCAAATAGCAAAAAAGTTAGAAGCCAAATATCTTGAAACCAATAATTCTGTGACTAACAAGACAAGCTGTAACATAAGGATAGAAGGATACACTAAAATTACAATAAAGTCTGCAAGATTTTGGCCACATAACAGACTACCAAAACCAGTGATAAAGACTGTTCAGACACAGAAGAATGAAACAGAGATTGCAAAGCTCATAGGATTCAGGCAGCCATTTGAATACTTGTTTGTAATGTAACTTCTGGCATCTCTTTGGTACTTTTGTAGAAATCATATCAAAATTTAAAAAAATCTAAACATACTGCTAACATATATTGACAACTGTTAACACCTTGCATCAGGTTACAAATGAAACAAGCATTCATCTCATTTAAAAAGAGCAATCACCTTGCATTTAGCCACAACATTTAGCTGAAGGGCTCCTCCTCTGTTAACTGCTAGAAGGGTGAGCAAATAAACCTAAGAGTTGATTGAGCCAACAGGCTGGAACTCTCAGGTTCCATCAGGCCAGGGAATGAGAAACAGTGTCCTTACTCCTTGTTTCCTGCATGCTCAGTAAGTCAAGAAAATAATACTTTTAAAGATTAAAAATATAAAGCCCATCAGGTTTAAAAGTGTGCCTTGTTTTCTTTTAAAAATCTTGTATCTGAAAATCTCACAGAAATAACTATTTGCAATACCCAGTGTCACAGACTGAACGCTTTAGTGAGCAATTTTATCAGGTAAATGCATTCTTCTACCAAACAGGAAAACCATCCTGCTTTCTTACCGTTGTCTCTGTTAATCCACCAACAGACACTGAGAGACCCAAAAGCACATAGTATTGGTATGTTGGCAAAGCCAAAAGCTGGGTGATTCGAGGGAAAGCTTCTGAAGCGGCATTCCAGTTTAGAGTCTCTTTCTCTGACCTGGGTAAAGGGGAAGGGAAAAAAAAATCATGTTGTATGTGTGTACTGCCTTTCTTCTCCATACATTCCTATAATAGCTCCTCATCCTCAAGCAGCATGTCAGTGAAGAAAGTCTCCGAATTACTTAAATTCATCATTGGACTTTAAGCATATGGGGAAAATACAAATCAAAACTTCAGCCACTGACAATAAAGTGAAGCAATCTTCACGTCCTTGTTCTGATTCAGATAAGGGATTTGAACTAGTTTCCTTTCCACGTGCACTTTTCTCTACACCAAGAAAACAAGTTCTCTTTTTTTGTGTTCCACTCTGAGTTCTCTCCCACCAACTGCTAGTCAACAAATGATACAAAGAGACCCAGGAAAGGCTGACACACATGCACCTCACCACTGATCAATCAGCAGCCTAGCAGACAGCACTTTTTGAGTTACAGGAGGTTGAGATTCTGCTGAACAGAATGGGGACACAAAGTTGGATATTCCTCATCCCAATCAAGCATTATAATCACCATTCAGGAATGAGTTGCTCTCACTCTTGCTTTAACTAGAAATTCCATCTGGGAAAATTACTGCAACTAGAGGTTGGTTAAAATACTACTATTCATTAAAAATTATCATTGTGATCAATCAGTGTTTTCCAGCCAGGGGAAAAAAAAAAAAATAAAATCAGGAAGGGGGACTTCCAATAAGTTCCAGCTCTCACATTATGAAAAGAAAATGAAATTATAAACCAGACATTTCATAAACAGCGGGATTACCAAAACACAGCTCCCAGCAGTTCTGTCTTACCAGTGGTCTCCAATCTACTACTGACATGATCTCTACCATCCACCACAAAATCAGCTGACAGGTTCAGAAATTATTGGGGTTGATCTAGAGAAAGACTTAAGTGGCAAGACCATATAAGACCTATCTCCATAGGAAACTGGTTTTAACAGAAACCCGTACTGTAAGTTCTTCTTCTGAATATTTGATATGTTTATGCATATTCACTGGATACCTCAATGAAATTCTGAAAAACATCACCAAATATTCCTCCATACACATCTTAGGTTATTTGGGCACAAAATTTACATCAGGTGTGCGCATGTATCTTTTACTTTCACTAGTTTATGATGTTTTTCAATATATTACCTTGGAAATATCCTCTCTAGCTCTTCTCGATGAGGTATGTGTGGAACTGGTGGATGGTCAAAATGTAAAAGAGTAAGGAACACAGATCCTGCATGAGCTCGAAATTTATCTATTTTTTCAGCTGACTGTTGAGCCAGCCAGCACATAATCTGTTTGCAGCTACAAAGAAGAAAACAGTTAATTACATAATTTAATCAGTAGAATGTCTATTTAAATTGTTTCAATGATATAAAAAATATCCTGCTATGAAAGTACATAATGAACGTACAAGTGATCTAAGACATCAACAGGGTGACAGGTATCATGAAATTAAAAGTCAGAAGCTCAGCATAAATTATCTTTTTCTGTATTTCCTTACTAAGAATTTTGCAAGGAAGACAGAAATGAATACAAACTCATCTCCACATATCAGTACATTCCAAATTAATGATGCAATGCTCTGAACAAGGAGGCAAATTTGTTTTCTATTTAAGTGAACAATAACTGGCAAGCTCCACAGAAGCAGCAAGTATAGACCAAATCTCACAGTTGCACTGTATTTCAAAGGTGGGACTGCCACCCAGTTTCTCTCAATAAGGTTAGCCTCTCTGAAAAACAGATACGATATTCTCACCATTTCTGTGGCTGTAAGCTTGATGCACTTCTCTCAAAAGTTTTGTCACACTCAGGAAAGGAGTAAGTATACAATATATAAGCAATACTTTCTTGTATGGATTGGAATGTAGTTATACAAGATAAGACACAAGAATAGTACAAGTAGCATACATGTTGGCATTAATTAACTCCGCTTCATTCTGAACCAGCAGAAGCGTCACTTCCATTAAACTTGTCATAGCAGCTTCACGTACCCTGTTGAAACAGACACATATTAGGGTAGTTACATCAGTATTTTTTTAAATACATACATCAGCAGTTAAGTTAGACACTGGCAAAAATTCAAAATAATGAAAGCAATGACCACTAAGAGCAGCTTTCATATTTTTGGGAGGAAGAGGAGTATGTACTGCTATACCCCCAAGCCTCATTCTGGGAATTGAAGCCCTCACTGCAGTGAGGGTACAACAGTCATTATAGTTCCAGGCAAGCCCCCTGCCTCATCATCTTATTTTTTATTCCAGCTAGATGTCATCAGGTTTATTTTTAAGAAGACTGAAATCGAGGAATAATAATATTTAGTGTGCAAGTAGATGTATTCAAACCTAAGTGCTCTGTCTGCTTTAATTCATCTTCTAAAAAGGCCAATCCACATTTTGACATTAAGATATTTAAGCATTGTTAAAAGTGTCATATTCCTGTAAATTTTTGATCTTAGTATTTCCAACATTAAAAAAAACAGTGACTCAGAATGGCTTAAATCTCTATGCTAAATAATAATTAGTTTTATGAAACAGATTAGCTAAAGTAATACTAAATTGTGCTTGAAGTGCATCCTCTTTATATGGTGAAGATTTTCTGCCTTCAAAATGTCTAAATATAGTATCAATATTAAAAAAGCCAACAACAGTTTGATTTCAATCAAAAAAAAAAATCAATACGCCTGTTTTGAATCACACGCCTTGTCAATATGTGAGTTGTTAAAAGCAGTTTCTTTCTTAAGACTATGGCAGATTCTCAACTGGTTCCTGCAGAAGACCAGGACCAACACATTCATCACATTAGTCATGCATGGTAGTGTCATCCCTTCTCAATAATAATTTGAATATTTGAAAAGGTACACCTGCCTACTGTGAAAAGAAATACTCCAGTTTCTAATTTCCAAAACCAGCTGAAAACAAGTTGTCCATGCAATCTAAAACTGGGTGGGACATTTGTTGCAATGGTAAAAAAAGGTGAATTACATCATTTTTTCATGAGGGGCTTAATACAAGTTTGGCAATCTTTCATCAAAGTATGTTTTCCTAGTTTTTCATATAGTATCTGACTATTAGATATTCATGTCTAACACCTGTAGACAGATTGGACAAGTCCCAGCAAACAACCTGTCAGAAGAAATGTAAAGTTCGCATATGGAAACTAAAGTTGGTTAAACTTTCCCACGATTCCATTAAAGAAAGACAACAATTACACACCAAAGACAAGGCCTCTCCAGAGAAATGGCAATTCTCCCCATATCTTTCCATCTTAGTCAATGGTTTAGAAGAAACAGAATGAGAAAACATTCATATTTGAGAGGCCACAGAAGTATTAAGCTGCCAACAGTTTGCTATGAGAAAGGATTCCCCTTCCCCCTTTAATTTACATGTTTCTTGACTTGATTTTGGCTGGCATTGCCAAAGAAGCTTAAAAAGAATCTGGTGCTCAAAGCACATTTGAATTTTAATGGCTGTTGGGAATTTAATTTCCTCAGGATTTCTTTGAAAATTTCCACTTTGTAGAGTTTTGTTTTTAAATTAGGGCATAGACAGAAGGATAAACAATAGGTATGGGGAACTTAAGTGAGAGCTGTCAGATGTGGAAGTTAACCTGAATACCTAATTATACTTAGCTAGGTTCTTATCTACTTCAGTATCTCGCCTAATTTTTAAAGCAAAAAGCTTAGTATCTCTTCCCCTTCTCTGACTCCCCACCCTGTATGGTTGCTCTTACATTTTCTTTCAGCTACACCTCTCTCTTGTGTTACTAAATTCTCTGAGCTAGAGATCCATTCACCTCCCTCTTGAGTCTTTGATGGCTGACGAAGGAGGTGAGGGAAAGACAAGCTCCTTCTTCCCTTGGGCAGGCTGGAATGACCTACTCTTGATCCTTACTAGTTTGATTCCTTGTTTCCTCTTCTAAGTTTGAGAAGTCACATACACCTACTTTTCTCTGATTTCTTGTCCTGTGTTATTATTTCCCTGTTGTATGACAATTTTAACAACCAGTGCTGAAGGCTGAGGATCTGGGTATCATTATACAAAAGAAGAAAAATACAAACACCTAAGTATTAACTCAGGCTGGTTAGAGCAGTCTGGATTATTTGCTCTGTGTACTTTTCCAACACATTTGTAAATATTGTAGTGAAGTACCTTAAAGGAACAAGGTTCGTCAATTTTAAAAGCGCTCAATGCTAACATAGCACAAAATACCTTTCTTCTGCTTTGCAGTGTAGAATTTAACACTTCACCTTCTGTTCAAAGACAGAGCAGTTATAACTAACTATTGCAACTCATGCTGGAACTGACGAGATCTCAGTGACTGATAATGACTGGGTAGAGCACAAGCATTGAAGTTTGACAGTAGTATAAACTACCCAATGATTTCTGGCAATGAAACACTCTAGCATGATACATATTGCACAAAAAAAGCACAATCCAACTTTCTTTCCTACCTAAGACAAGAGTTGGTTATAGGGTGTGTTATAGTAGCTCCTGTTCCTCATGGTAATTACAAATGTACTTTATAGCACCTGCCCCTGGGTTCATCTACCTAACAAGCAATCTTAAAGAGGAGAGTGACACTGTAATTATTTTTTGTCTTTTTTTTAAAGCAAAACTGGTGCTACTAAATAGAATAAACGACATTAAAGTCAAGAATGAGTGGGACAGAATTCTAAAACAGATAACCAGAAATTTGAGCCTAAACAAAATGTTCCCAAACTCACAACAATGCATATTTGGCATCATGTATTATTGTACCGGATCTGAACACGGATCAGCATGCTATGCATGGCTGCTGAAGCTGAATACAGCCAGTGCTCCAGAACCAGACTGTTTTGCTCGCAGCAGGGAGGAGGGAGCAGGCAAGTGACCAAGACTGTTTTGGCCGCAGAAAGAAGTGTGATGAGCAAGGAGGAGTGCACACCCTCCCCTGAAAGGCACAGCTCACACCTCACCCTTTGTAGCCTTCCCAAGTCAGCAATTACCATCACAGGTCGCAACCATCATCTGTGAGCTCTGCCAACTTTGCTATAGCCACACCATAGCTAGTTTGGAGCCTTTCATTTCAGCAGTCCTCCATCCCTCCTCACCTGTTGCGTCTCAGCTGCCAGTTACAATATAGTAGATGCCACTCAATTAAATTAAAGGAAATTATGCTTCATGTTCATATACTACTGTTGAAAACACCCTTCAAAGAAGAGGATAGTGATTGAAAAAAAGTCTAAACCAGTTACTTCATACAAACACCCTGCAAGCATATGACTGAAACGAAACACCAAAGCCCTCCAACGTGACTCAGCACTATTAGACAAGAGCTTTTTCAGTAAACCAGGAAAATAAGGCAATACTTTCAACCAACAAAATTATTTCATACCAGTACTGCTCAGGCACTCCCCCCTTCCTGCCTCAAATGTAATAAAAGCATAGCCAGATACTAGATAGGAACAATCTACAGGTTGTTAATTTACAATCCTGAACATGAACCTCTGTACCCTGATATGCTTCATGTAGTTCCCAGACAGGTCAAACATATATTGCCATGTCATTACCATACCACATCATACAAACAGTATTACCCATACTGTTAAATAGTGCTGGTATCTTATGTACAGAATCGTATCTAAAAGCAACATATATCTGCATACTTTCAAACTAAAATCATTGGTTGAAACAATAAAATTAAGAAGTCTTTGTCAAAACCAGCATTTTACTCAAAATCAATTTCCAACAACAGACAATGAAAATTAATTTATCACGTTCATTTGCTTAGTTTATGGCTTCTCTATAGAACAATTAAGTGTTACTGCTTTGAACCTTCTACACAGCAACAAAATTGCCAAGTATTTTAAATTTGCTGATATTGGATTTATTCCTGAGTTCTGACAATTTAATACTTTTTATTAACAAGTACTATTTCAGGCTGGGCATATTTGTGCTCATAAATATACACAGAAAAGTACCCCGACAAGAGAGCCTGTATGTCTCCTTAGTACTCATTTGATCTCCAAGATCCATATTTCGGATGTTTTTCTCAACCTGTAACTACCTTGTGGAATTCTACAGGATGAAGTGAATACCATGAAATCTTCATTGCTGCTCTGTCCACCACAAAGATTGCAGGAACTTCCAATCAGTAAGTGATGTTACATCCCCAACTGAAGCTTCTTTAGAAATCAAACACTAATCCAGAGAAGGACTTAAGCCTTTATAGCTTTGGTTCATCAATTTATAAACTGCATTTGCAGATCACTGTTACTGAAGGAATACCGAATTCAGATGAATGCAATATTATATACTGAATCTTTAATATATTAAGGGAACTGTGAAGACTGAAGAAGATCACAATAATATGATTGCTACAGACTTAATCATATACTTACTCTATAGACTTCACATCAGTAGATACCTTCCTACAGACTTACGATTTAATTATTCGTGCAATCTCATAGCTGAAATCATTGAAACCCTAAACTTACAAAAGAGTCAGTAACACCACAGCACAGTTTATAAAGTTTTTATTCATCTCAGAGTCGCTAGCCTTGAAAATTTGTCACTGACACGTTATGCAACTACTCCCTCTCCTGGCAAAAAAATCCCCACATGAACATACAATAGGTGAGTTCACTAAGGAGTAAATGTGGTATTTCAAATAAATAGAAGTAATGTTTTAAGTCTATGCACTTTTTACAACTAAATACATTGCTGATATTCACTAAAAGAAAATAATGTCATCCACAAAGCCAGAATAAGGCTGAACTTCAGTTTAAAACACAGTAGACCCCCATCTTCCTAACTTTGGAGGCAAGGGATGAAAAAATCCTTGTCAGCCTTTCCTTTCACTTTCTGCTCTTCTTCCCCCAGTCTATTTCTACCTAGCCTCAAACCTCCAAAAATTTGGAGCTATCTATTTCTAACAGGGTTTCAAAAGACATCAATTTCTAATTAGAAATCAAACATGACAATTAAGTTTACATCTCAGTTTGTAAGGCATCTTACCATCCTCCCACATCTCCCCGGCTGTCTGTGGTGTAGTCAGTCACACCATTAAGTAGTGTAGCATAAATCTGAGTAACGTTATCTTTGCAGACATATTCTTCCTGGGATCCTTCTCCCTTTACACCTATTGTCTGGCAAACCCTTTAAAAAAAAGAGGGGGGTAAAAACACAATGCCAGCAAGGAGAAACATTAAGATCATAGCTTTGTTCTGTTGTTTAATAAAATTCCCCAGACATACAGTATTCTAAACACCTGTAACATCTGCCACAAACAGTATGAAGAATCTTTCTGAGCCTGCTGTGTTTTATTTGACCTGACAGTTTCTGATCAGCGTGTGGGTTTAAAGGAACACTGGCAAGACTAAAAAGTCAACAGATTGGTTTTATGCCTGTAATACTACAAAGAGGAACACACTTAAAGTACCTGCCATTTTCTGAACTAGCCTTGAAGTAAGCAAGAAGAGCAAAAGACTAATACAATGTGCATTGAATTTGACATTAACAAATTTCTTTACACTTGAAGACATGGGTTTTCTGCACTGTGACAGTTTAAGAGTATATGTACTATGATATAATTAACACTAACTACACCGTGGCATGTCAACATAGAAAATACTCCTTTAGAGAAGTACAGTTTCTTTAAATCAACTCAATCTTCTATTAAGAACGTGGAAAAAACATATATTCTTCCTCCTCACTAAAGCTCACTAAATTGCAGCTCATGAGAAAGGCAAACTTTAAAATACACTCTAGTCAGTTAATTGACTAAAAAACCCACAACCCCATCAGAATTGTACTCCACTCTCAGATGGGTGATAATCCTCTGAATCAAAGATATATTGAATAATGGAGATGCATACAGTTGCACACTAAAAATGTGCACATCATAGTGTAACTGATTTCAAGAATCATTCTACAAGCTCACAACAGAAAGCAGAATGAACAGAAGAAAGCTTCTTGTGAAAGAATTAAAATTAGACAAAAATAAAGACGATAAACATACTTTGCAATTGCTATGAGAGCATCTCTTCTGGATTCTGCAAAGCTCACGTCTGCAGGGGAAATTGATGTAACTTTTTTCAAACCTTCCAAAACCTGAAAAAATATAAAAATGGAGGTATTTAAATCCAATGCATTATTTATGATAAATGTTAAATTTAGGTATCATATTAAAATGAACTCAATCACATATGAGAACCAAGCAGGCAACAGTGTTTGGTTTCTCACAAGGACTTGTAAGTATGCCTCACTTTTCCCTTTGGATGAATGTTCCATAGCAAAGGGATAAGTCAATCTCTGGGTTTTCCATTAACACAACCAAAGCAGGACTAAACTTTAATTATCAGAACCTATAGCAAGCTAAACTCATGATGATTTTCTGGAGTTACTATGCATTAGAATCCAAACCCCTTTCACAAAGACCTTTAATTATAATTTTTATTATTTATTTGATTACCATCATAGGTTTCATTCAAAATACTGTGTGCCCTCCTCTCATTACAATGATCGTATTTTCTCACCTGTTGGAGCCTGCCCTTTAGCAGAAATTTTGGAAGGGCCCCAAGAGCTCGTGAAAAGCCACAACGAATCATTTCCTCTGTGTTTTGTAGTTCTGAAACGTACTGTGTCACCAGCTCATCTAGAAAAAATACAATTGCAGAGTGAAAAGCAACTACCACATTACCATTACATGTTTGGCTAACAAAAAAATAAAACAGGAAAACATTGTCAAAACAGAGCAGTTAGAAAATTATATAATTCATTAAAATAAAATACAGAATGGCTTTCACTTCCTACAGAAAAAAGTTAAAGACTTTAAGGTGTTCACTGTTACATGAATGAATTCTTATTTTCTAAACATAAAGTCACATTTTTAGACTGACTAATCCTAGTCATTCAGAGAGAGAAAAGACAAAGTTCTCATTTTTAAAAAGTTACAATGCTTTAAAAATCTAAAGAATAAGCACAAACTTCTATGCAAACAGAGGGGAACAAGTTATCTTGTCATCATTTTTCATAATTAGACAAGTATACTGTGTTAGGAAGAAGATGTCTCTGGATATGCAAAGGTCAGTTATTTGACAATTTTCCCCCCCAAAAAAGTCTTAATTGAACTCAGGGTTTAAACACACACCCAGATCATACCAAAGCAATGAGATAATTTCGTATCACTTTTTATATAGAGACAAAAATAAAGTTGGGCTTCTTGTGGGACAAAACTCAAAAAGAAGTGACCACTTTTAAGTAGGGATGCTGTGATCAGACTGTGTGCATTGTTACATGACAAAACAGGACAATGGCTCTACAAACATTAGCACATACAAAAGGCACTCGAATAAACTGAACTGGGCATCAATAAAGGAGGCTCAGCAATGCAGTAAAGCAATAGGAGAAGAAAATGAGGATGAATGAAAAAAAAATAATAAAGTCAGGAATCTATCTATGTATTTCTAGTGTAGTCTTTATCATAGACCTAACAGATGGTACGCACTTCCTTTACCAGATTTTTCAGCTACTGTATTAACCTCTTCTGTAAAATGCAGAGAAAAACAAGGTACTCCACAAAACCTTCTAAGAACAACCAAGATAGCTGCAATAAACACAACTCTGGTTCAAAAAGGAAAAAGGCAGTCTTATTAATCACTTTACTGAATATGCACTTTTAAATCCTCAAAGAATCAGAGACCCAAGGAAGATTACATAATAGTGCCATTGTTTACAGTCATCTGAGATTTAAATGACTGACCAATATTTGCTAGAGGAAAAAAGAATAGTTACCATAAGAAACTACACATTAATCATAACTCATGATTGACTTTTTTTTTTTTCTCTTTTAATCCCTATGGAATCACAAGCCTCAACTAGTTCCTCACATCAGGCAACTAGTTCCCTGACCAGAGGTTAGCAATACCTTCATATAAGCACATCTATTATTTTAAAATTTCTAAACCACTGGAGTGTAAGATAGAGTCTTGAGGCCATATGAAGATGCAATGCTTGCTTAGACAGCAAGATGATCTTAGACAGTAAGACATGGCCAGTCTTCCCTTTGATTGATGCAAATTTAAGATTGACATTTTAGCCAAATGACATGAAATTAAGACATGACAACTAGCAAACAAACAGCTCTTTACTTACAACTACTTAGTAATTATGCTAGTGAGGGTAATGCAAATGTTAATATTCTTCCAAGAGTCTTCAGTTTCATAAAACAACATGGCTTATAAAGTGTCTACAACATTAATTCAACACAACCCATCCTTAAAGAATATTAAAAGAGAAAGTCATCAAAGCCAAGCCAGAACACATTAAGACAGAAAAAATAAAACAAAAGGTGAAAACAGAAGCCAAAAAGTGATTCAGTAACATTGCAGTCTTATAGGGACAGATTGAGAATGCTGAATCACTGAAGTATCTTTCATTAGTGTTTTCATTTCAATCTGTCAAGCCACAGTGAAACTACTTGTTAAATTTTACCAAAAGGTGGGGGTTTTTTTGTTTTGTTTTTCTGTTTTGTTTTGTTTTTTTCCCCTAATCCCCTTGAATCATGTTTAGACCTGCTTTAACTGACTTAGATAAGGCATCTGCGTTGTCACTGAATGGCTTCTGCACTGTAGCTTCCACACATACATGCATACATTGGACATTATGGGGAGGAATTTTAGTAGCGAATTTCACCATAGAGAACATACACATATACCTCACAACATACAGAATTCAATGGTCATGAAATTCATAGTTTTTACTGGCACAAAGATGAAAATACACTTTTTTTTTTTTCTTTTAAAAGATGTTTGCATGTATAATGGCACTTTTCTTACCATGTGTGGAAGAGGCTTTAGAGCAGTACAGGGCCAGCTGACTAGAGCTTTTTAGAACAGAAAATTTTCCAATTCACAATTCGATTCTCTAAATCACTCCTGATTGAATGTCTGATGAAAAAATCTGTCTGTACCTACAAATCTGACTCTAATTATGTCCCTAGATCATCATGGTTACATCGCCTTGATCCCTTCAAGCACAAGACAGATGAAAAGCTAACCCAGAATCCAGGAAAAAAACCACCAAGCTTCATAAGCATCTAAAAGAATTGAGCATACGAAAAGCTGCAGCCACCTATAGGAAGTTCTTCCAGAAGATCCTCTTTCCTTCTTGATTTTGACATCTGGCTGAGTTTTCTGGTCCACTTTTACAGAAGCTTGAAACTTCATCCTTACATAAAATGGGACCTATTAGCCTTTCAACTAATTTTTAGCTTGCTTTCTTTGATGCAGCACTGTCTTCTCTTGACCAAAGTGCTCTACCTTTACAAAACTACCCTTTTCTGAGGTGTTTTTTTTTTTTTAAAACTAATCTGCCTCAGTACCATATCACATCTTCCCATGCTGCCCACACAAAATCAGGCATGCAGTGACAACCTGCATGAAGGAATGGGCTATTTTTAGAAAGTTTTTTTTGGACAAAATTATAGAGATTTAACTATACAGAGAAGACTTAAAAATCAAGATAGGCTGCTTTTATGTATCAGCCATAACTTCTTTGGGGCATAACTGCATGTTCCTATATATGTGATAGGTATCAGGTTCATTCTGGGAAGTACCGTGATAGAAATAACTAATAAGGCATTTTGTTACCCAATTTGGGAATGACTTGGTAGTGGCAAAAAAATAGGAAATTAAAACATTATTTTGTTAAGTATATGTAATTTCACTGTCATATTTAGAAAAACAAGAACATAAATGTTGTTATTCTTAAAATTCTATCTATACAATCCAGAAATCTGTCTCTGATAGACACAATAAAATTTGATACTTGAAACAAAGGAAGATCCAAGAAAACCAGTATAAAAAAAAAAAGATGTTGATTCATATGCCTCTAACAAAAGTTTAAACCTACTCCTGTATTACTGATCCAAATCCAAACAGATGAGGTTTCATATGCACATTTGCAAAAACTCTGGGTCTCCTTGCTATCTTTCTCTTCTTATTCCTAACCAAGTCTTCTTCAAGCTAGCCACGATCTCTGGCATAGAGTTTATCAAAATATGATGTGAAAATGTCTCACTTCATTAAAATTTAGGATTTGACACAAACACATATTCTTTGTTTCTTTGTTTTACTGCATGGAATAGAAAAGTAATCAGTTTTTCCTAATATTCACTATTAGGGTACCTTGTATTCACCTCCAGTCTAAAACAAGCAAAACCCCCAAGACATTGCCTAGACTTTCAGTTGGCTTTATTGTTCCTTCCTGTCCTTTAACATTAGTGATGCTCCTCCCCATTCTATTCAATACCTCCAAAGTGCAAGTTAGGTCCAGCCCAGTATTTTCTGCCTCTAATGTAAACATGAGTCATTACCCTGTACAGCTGGATCAGCTTCTCCCTTTTCGTTGATGTAATATTCATTACACAGTGCAGCCAGTGCAGAGACCGCAGACTCCTGTAACAAAGGCAAAACTGTGAACTTGATATATTTAATAAGGTCATACTTTATGATAACTGTGCTTAGAATTAAAAGGTTAAGAAAAGACAGTGGATTCTTTAAAAAAAATCATTCCATTCAGCTACTGACATCTACTTCCTTTTTTTCCTTCCCAATATTCATTTAAGAACAGTCGAACAGGAAACCTATGTAATTAAAAACTCCAACAGATTCTACTCTTAGTCCTTCAAACACACCAGTAAGCTAAATTAATGTTTAAGACATTAATAGTAATGTATCAACTGTAATTTCAGTTCAGTTGAAAGACCTCCAGGATGACACAGTATTACAAAATGCAGAAGTCACATTACTTCATTTTCAGTATATTGATGCCAGATTCATCATTTTTGTATTTCCCCAGAAAGCTATAGAAAGCCAAAAGGGAAAAAAAGAAAAACATGGACTGAAGGTTAAACAAAAACCCCAAAATATTCAGTATCACAGTCCTTGTGCCTCAATCTTAATTGGTTTAGAAAATTATAAAAGGTGTATTATGCCTGAACCTCCTCATCTTTAGAGTGGTTGCGGTCACTGATACAGAACACAAGACCAATACAGCTGCTATTTCAAAAAACATGTAACCAGTTTTCTCATAAAATTTATGGTTGAACTATAATTTCCAGCTAATAATACAATGCTGACCAAAATTACAATAAATTTGAGAGACTACAAAAACTATGCACCGGTCACTCTATATTAATAGGAACAATACCTATTAATACTCATGCTCTCCAGGTACAAGACATCTTAAATGATAACACCGGAGTCCTGTACAGCCTATTTATTCTACCCTCAAAGACATGTCAGCCTTGTTCTCTATGCAAAACCAAGGACTTGAAAGAAAACCAGTATTCACCTAAATAATATTCTAACTACCACAGGCATTACAGTAGCAAAATATATAGAATTATCTAATTGCTGTAGATCATAGAACAGCTCGGGTTGGCAGGGGCCTTTAAAGGTCATCTAGTCCAATCCCCCTGCAATGAGCTGGGAGATCTTCAACTAGATCAGGTTGTTCAGATCAGGTTGTTTTCTGAAGAGAATGGTTTTCACCTTAAATACATGAAGTTATAGTGGAAGAGTATACTTTATGTCAGAAAAAAAAAAAATTACTCTTCAATGTCTTAAACTTGCCCTTAAACTTATTTCTCTCTAAAATACATTCAGGAATCAAGAGAGAATTAGCATTTACTAAACATACTTTGCTCAACAATAATTCATGTTAACCAAACAAGTCAAAATTCTCTAAAGACTATAATTAATTCCTCTAAGCTTGGGTTAGAAGTTCCAGTTGTAAGACGTACAAACTCTCTGAATAAATAGCTAATGCCAAAAGAATATTCCAAGAATTCAAATTTCATCTTTTAATTTTCTTCAGTGATTTGGATACATCCTAGTCTACTCTGTCTTCCCAGGAAGACTTTAAAAGATGAGCTATCAGATACTTGCAATGGCTTTTTATCTTATTTTTAAAACCAAACAAAATTAAGACAATATGTTATATTCAAATTGTCTCTGTTATGACTATAAGTTCTAACAGGGCAGACAAAACTGGTCTTTATAATTCAGTAGAGCCTTTAAGAGTGCAAGAGCAAACTGTCATGGTATTACTTGGGAAAATTAAGGCAAATAACTGGAGGTGTTAAGATCATGTACATAAAATAGCATGAAACATATCCATCAGTGTGTTTAATGTTCAGAATCAGAGTAGCTTGGGAACACAGTAAAAGGATTTGCAACAGTTTAATGGAAAACTTAAGTACATTGTCCTGAGTAACTCTGGCTGATCATACCAATGTTTTCACTGTTAACAAACATGCACTCAGTACATGAGGGCCTGAGGACATCATCCAGAGATTCTTTTTAATTCACACAAAAGTTCTCTGAAAATACCAAAAGCGAGATATCTTATACGTACTAGAGGTACACCAAAACAGACACAAAACACCGCATCAATGTAACCAGAAAGCCAACAGCAAGTAGCTTCAAGCAACCATCAGTGGCTACTCACCGCCAGCCCGCTGTGGATGCCAGCACCTGTCAATTACTTTGGCCCAACATACACAGAGGAATAACCTTCGTAATAGCTGTTCAAGTATTAATCAAAAATGTCCATTTGAATTTTGAGGAATTAAAAGTTTTTCAAAAAAATAACCCTTCTTACCTATCTAAGAAACAAACATTCAAGAACCGATTAGATTTCATGGAAAATAATCCACCAATGAAAAGCAAAAATATTTCTAATTCCGTATTTAATGTGACTACATGAAGAGGGAGGAGCTATTGTACCTTTATATGCTGTCGTGCAGTGCTTGAAACAAGAGTGAGACTTCTTAGACTGTCATTTATTAACCACTGCCAGCCACCTGAAATAGTAAGGAACAGAAAATGCTATTAATTTTTCTTACTTTCTCATGTTCAACACTCTTTGTTTTACAAAAACCAGCAATTATACATATTGATATATATCCTTGGTTTTGATTCTCACTTAGTACAGCTATTCTGGACTGGTTTACAATGTACATAGCGCAAACACTGCGTCTGGTGATGCTGAAAACTTGACAGGAAAATAAAAGAATAAGTAAACAGCTACAAAACAAATCTTCAGATAACATCACCATCTGTTGCGATATTTGTGTATCTTTTTGATATTTTTTTATTTGTTAGGCCACCCCATCTCACTAATTTTGCTCCTTTGAAAACATCATTAATTAGTACTTTATCTTAATGAATAACTACTAAGATAACAGAAGGTTATTTAAAATATGACATACCGATTATTGGATCTTCTCTAAATGGCATTTTTGATAGTGACAACTTTTCAATTAATGTGCAGACTGTAAGAAAATATATTTGATAATTGGATAAATACAAAAAAAATTGAAATTGCACCAATTTTGAAGATACAACCACATCAGGTTACATTAGGATTAAGTTGAAGAAAATCCATCAATAGAAGTTCAAAATATGTGAAGTTAGAAACTGAAAGGAAATTAAACTTGTGATTCTTACATTCAAAAAATGCTACTGTGCAGTAACTGTTCTCTGACATGAGTTAGTCCCATTATTCATGCAAATCCATTGTTTGGTGGTATGTTTTTCCCCCTTTCATTTAAAGTGCTTACGTATATATTGGCCGTCTTTCTGTTTCTGTACCAGTCTGTAATTGGCTATGTAGTATCATTGACAGTAAACCAACTTGGATAAGGATATTACTACAGCCACTAATAAACCATTCAAATATATATGAAACGTTTTCCTACTTTTTAACAGGCATTTTCCTGGACCTGCAAGGAGTGACATCTATTCACTGCACAGAGCTAGGCGCTCTAAAACTGGATGCAGCTTTATTTCCTTTGATACTTGGAATACAAGAAAATGTCATTTTAAGTCATTATTTTAAATCTCTAAACTCAAAAGAGTTCTGAGCTTACAAAACCACTTTCAGAATAGTATTTTTTTAGTGTTTCAAAGCTGCTTTGGGGAGTAGAGATTAACATGGTAAACACTGCAAACTTTTATTATACCATAGATTGACTGCATTGCTCAAATTAAAACTCAGCACTTAGGGAATACAGTATCTTTCACCTCCTGGTGATCAGTGCAAATAGAACAGATTGGTATACATCCATATTCGCTATCTGACTGCTTTAGAGCTGGTGGAGAGGACAGAATAAGCTACTATATAATGCCACCTTTATGTTTTCCTCTCCTCCCACAACTTAATCTTTCAATCTTACTCCAGGCTCTGTATACAGTTCATCAGCTTCTTCATTTATAACCAACTTACTGGGCTCCAAGTCTACTCCTGAATTCGGTCCTTACCATGGTAATGTCACACAATCAGGCTCCCTGTGCTCAAACTTCATTCAATGCGACACGTCAGCTTCTTTGTTCTAAATATTTATTCTGAGACAAGGTTAAGTACTATATGACTAAACCCAAGTCTCTTAAAGTTCCTCCTCAGTTCTCTACACTTCTTTATGCTCTATTGTGGTCAAGACCATCATCTTCATTAGACATGCAGGCAATTTGTGGAACATTTTCAATTCTGCTCTTATTCCACCCACACAGCTGCGTCATGCCAAAATACTGCCATTTGTACTTCTCTAAAACTAAGAAATATTCAGCTGCTTAAAAGCTAAAACATATTAAAAAAACCTACCTATTCTTTCAGCCTGCATTGTTATGCCACAAGACTGAATTCATTCAAAGACTGCACAAATCCCCTTGCCCCTTTCACCCCTTCTATTTGATCATTCTTCCATCTTGGTGCTGAAACTCCTTTACCCACTATGTTTGGATGGCTTCACATCTTCAGAGCCACAATCTGCTATGTAGCACTTCCTTTATTCAATTCGTGAACAGAAAACAAGTTGGCATCATTTCCTTATCCACCCAGGCTACCTGGATGGATGCTTTTTCCTGCAATGCCCTTCTTTTTTACAGTGGTTCTGTATATAGCAACCTTCAAAATCCATGTGAACAACCCATCATCTTTTATGTGATACCAGCACCTCCACAACCTGTTGTTTATATGGTGTTTATTCTTCACCTTTGTGCACACATGTATCATGATAAAATCATTAGTTATACGATGGCATCTGTCTTAATGGGCAGATCATCTCTCTTCTGGAGAGAGATCTGAGTAAACCAATGAAGGAAGCCAATTCAACCCTGGAGAAAGTTCCCCATGTGCAACAATGGAAAGAAAGAATGTGTGACATAAACCCAAGAACTATCTCCAACTCTTAGACAAACAGGGTTATTCACAAGCGTGCTGGCAACCAATGTTCTGGTGTACCTGTCTTCTGATTGGCCTCCAAACTTTGTATTTTTTTGATTGCTGTGCATACTTGAATTATGCATTCAACACAATATATGCAAAACAAACTGGGAGAAAGTAAACAGAAGAATTAATTGCTGCACATTTTCTACTTTCACACTGCAGCTGTGATACTTACCAGCTGGTCTCATCAGTTCTCCACCTAAACCCCTGCAAAGCAGAAACATAGCCTTCAGAAAATAATCTACCACAAGCAATCCAAGTGCATTGCTTAGTGAGAAAAAAAAAAAAACAACCTCAAAACCATTTCAGAATGAAGGCAGATCACAAAATACCTGCAATTTTGTATTTGACCAACTATAAAACACATCTTGTTAAAATCAACTGTTGTCTTGACTTCAGCATGATTTATACAAAACCTTCCTGAACATTTAACTTTCTTCTTGCAAAAATGCAGTCTCAGTCTTTCCAACTTTTAATATGAATAATAAAAGACTGTCAAGTTCATCCTGGTTTTCTTTTCACTTGTTTCAGGAGCACTCCAAAGCCTGTAGAACTTGACACAGGACTTTTCAGTCATACAGTCTCTATGAACTTCTGACTTTCACAACCGAAAAGCAATTACATGGAGTTTTTTAACAAATCTTCATCTCTGGAACATTAAATAGGAACTTCATTTACCAGTTTCCATTTTCACAAATGGTAACTGGTTTGCTTTCCTAGTGAAGTTTCTTGCCCTTCTCACCCTCTCCTTCCTTGGTAAAGCCTCCCAGGTGATTTTGCATTCATCGCGACAAGCAAGGGAGTAAAAACTTCCAACACATCAGAGAGTGGAGAGAAACAAATGGCTCGATATGCTTCAGATCCTCCTGAAGTGTATGTTACATAAGGATGGTCTCACCATTTCAGACCTCAGGCTTATCCAGCCCAGTTATCCTGTCTGAACATTAGCCTGGTCACTGGCAGCACTCGGAGAAAGAAGTCTGAACCGGGCAGACAGCAGGAAGAGGGAGAAGAGTCCTGGAAATGGCAGGGCCTGTTTCCATTCTTTAGTTTCTCATGTCTCTGAGCAGACATGTCTCCTCACCCCACTGAGCAATGTCTGATGGTTACATGGATATCCTCAAGGTGCTGTGAGCACTGCTCGGGGTGTTCTGCTCAGTGTCACCCTCTGTGGCTTAATTTTTCCATTTTATGAACCTTTGACTCCTGCCCTTCCTTTGGATATTTCCTCCCTCAATTCCTTATTCTCATCTCCCTTCACTTCTGCTGGAATATTTCCTCCCTGAGGTGTGCCACACCTTTAATCACCTGTGTGTATGGCCATGCTCTGGCAGAAACTCCCAAAAAGGGGGGAGGAACAACAAAGGCTTTTTTGTTTATTTGCTTGCCTTTTTTTTTTTTTTTTGAAAACATTTTCTTCCCTCCTCTCCTCCTCCCTCCCCACAATAAAATTAGTAGCTATGCTCAGAAGGCAAACTTAGCAACCCTAACAACTCTTAGAACTTTGTTCTCCAATTTACCCTTTTATATGAGCTTCAAAAGCCTAAACATTTTAAACAAGCTTTTCTATTCCATACAAGTAGGTGCCTCCTGTAACATGCACTAGGTTTTTGACTGCTCAACATTTTCATTGGTTTTTCAGGTAATACAGAGAAGGCAACTCCACAATATTTTCATTTGCCACAGATCAGCACTTCCTTTAATTGGGAAACTTTTGCTTTCAACAATCAATATATTAAGCTCAACGTAATAACCCACATCTCAGTTTATCATTGTAGGAAGCAAGCATAGATTCCACATCCCCATGCTGATAAGGGCTTTGTATTATCTACTCCACCTTCCTGCCATGTTGTCCGCTCTCCAGCTTCTAAAAAATGTAAATTAGAAAACAAAGAAGTGATGCAAGGAGTCAAAACAGCAGCAAAAATAGAAGAATGATGTGGCAAGGCTTGCTTCCTCTTCAACACTTCTTTTCCCTTTATTTTGTTCTCACCCATTCCTTGCCTTTTGTCTGTTGTCTTACTGCAAATGAGTATAAAATAATGATCTTGTAAATTTGTTTGGTGTGCAACAGTCTGCTGATGTAAGGATTCAGATACGGACTTCTGTTCAAACTACAAAGCAAGAACTGAGTCATAAAGGCTGCTCTTCTCCACTTCTTCACACTGCCAATAAGGAAGTCAGGCCACTTAAAGCTACTCTTATGTTAATAATTTGACAGCTATCCCTTCCTCTGGCATTACATCAACTCAATTTAATTTCAGAGTTTAGAGCTTCACTGAGGATTGTTGGTCCCTGTGCGAGAATGAAGAATGGTGACAGTGATTTGCATAGTAAGATTTCCATGTAATGAAGAAACTATAATCAAGTCTATCTTTGAAGGCACTGTGATACCATGTGGTGTTCTCTGCAAAACTTTTCAAGTTACTTCTTGCCTAGACATCACAGTACGTTCATCAATATATCTAAATTTTTCTCCCCTTTTTACAGCTCATACATATTTCAATTTTAAGAACTGAGAATTCTATCGTAATTCTAGATCTTCCCTCAGTCAGTGTTTAGTTTGTCAAACATGATGCACATCTTTTTATTAACTTTATCTTGCTCTAGAGTATTTCACTAAATTAAAAAGATACGGATCTACCTAATTCAGAGATTCTGAATTTTGCTGTACAGTCAGTATTCTCTTTTTTCTTCCAAAGACACATCCACAAGTTGCATCACATTATTAGATGTACCTGTTTCAAGGTTTAATTATTAATTCAGTTTGTAAACTGACTGATGCAGTGCCCAGGTTTCATGAGCTCCTAATCATTCCTTCCTATGTGCAGTTCCACAGCAATGCTTCTCTACTAGAAATGTCTTAGGATGAGTCACAATTTCTTTGTGGAAAATGTAATCAAAATGTGTAATCTCTTGTAGAACCAATGAATTAAGATTACTGACCTAAGAATGCTGGTATCTCTTAAAATTATGTAGGCCTGAATCAGAACCAATCACAGTGCTGCTTTCAGTGCATACAAAAGTTCAACGTACTTCTGTGGATTTTCTTTTTTAAATTATTTAAAACCTGCTTTTTGTGAAAAGTTCAGAATTCATCTTTTAAGATTATAAAAATAACAGTAACTGAAACTGTTTAGCACTGAATAGCATCTACGTTTTCATAAACATCTGAATCTGAAGTTAAAACTACTGGAATAGCTGAAGAGATTCAATTGCAAATACTCAATTTCCAGGAAGCTAAGAACACTTGCTGAAAAAGTATTTCTACCTCCATATGAATAATATCCAATTATTCTTCATGGGAACTCTTTGTCCCAAATAGAGGTATCTTAAAAGGTCCGGGTTGTACACACACTGGGCTTTGGAAGTACTAAATGGCTTTATCGCAAGGTACACAGAGGAGGAAAGAGATACCTCTGAGCACAGATGAAAAAGCCAGTGTATTTAATAAAGCTCTTATGGTCATCCCTCGAAGATGCAGAAAATAAACTATACTACGTGAACAAACACCTATTTTTAGATTACTATAAATTCATATGCTGACCGTACACATTTTGTATTATATTCTAACACCAAAAGACTACAGGTGAAATCCTGGCTCTATGGAAGTAAGAGTTTCCTCAGTGACTTCAGTTAGTGGCAAAAGAATTTCACCTTGCGACTCTTCAGAACATAGTACAGCACCATCTCCTAGAACCATCACACTACTGGTTACAAAAAATAATTTAAACTTGGAAGAATTGTTAAGATGAGTTTTGTTGCAAGGCTAGAATTATTTGCCGATTAAGTTAATATGCCTTAAAAACTTTTATGTAGATGACTGCTAAGAAACACATTTGCCCTGAAACCATCAAGATTAGTTGCAACCTTAAAGGTCTTTGAAATGAGACAAGTTTGTTTCTCTTCTGCCTAGCACCTGTCAACACCTATAGGTGAACTTACACTACTGGAAAAGTTGAAACTCTTGAGATGACAGTCCAACTTACACTGCCTACTATTCTGAAAACCTAAAATTACTTGCCTCACATAGCTGACTGTGTAATCCATGCAGCCAGTCTTCTTATGTTACAAGAATGAGATCAGAGCAAAACTCAGCATGCAGCACACTGCACTAACTGAATCATCCTGTGTGGGAGTACAAACACCATGCATCCTGCCATACCCAGCTCCGATGGAAACCCTGAAGGCCCAATAAATAGAACATTTGCTGAAATACAGAAGCGCAGTGCAACTGCCTGGAAGAAGCCCAGCATATCTATCTGCAGCACTTCCATATCCGTCCCTAAATTATCTTGTTACCCAACTCTGTGTATTAAGACCAGTATTATCAGACTCAGAATTGCCTACAAGAAAGGAAGTTAAAAAAACCAAAACAAAACAAACAAAAAAAAAACAAAAACAAAAACAAAAAAACAACAACAAAAAAAAACAAACAAACAAACAAACCCAAATGTATTCAGCTGAATAATCAGTCAAGAACCTTATACCAGGTGATGCATTTTTAAAGAATCTTAACAGAACTACTATTAAAAATACTTTCTTCTTGAGGACTTTTCATAATGAGAACTAGTACAAGGTCTTAGATGCACTACAGAAATGTATCTGCTACAAAAAAAAAAATACTAACTATGCAGGTTCAGTGAATATATATCATAATACAAATCAGGCAGATCATTAACACTGAGTTTAAACTGGCAGACTGACCTCCTGTCCCAAGTAAGACTGCTTAAGGCAACAGATGCCACAAGTTTTTGTCTTAGGTTTTTATATATAGAAGCAATGTTTAAAGCAAATAAAATATAGCTCACTTTTTATAACTCTCCAACCCATATAGTGCAAAACAGGCACAATGGACAAATACTGTGTTTAAGTGGCATGGTTTGCATATGACTTGCTATAACTAGTACCCATTTAATACAGAAAATCAGGCTCACTGCGCAATACTCAACTGGAAGTGCACATGCAAATGCTTAAACCAACCAGCTCCTCAAGACAAACTAGTGCTTCAATTGTGTCAGAACCGAGACTAAGGAAGGAAGTACAAAGTGATGTGCCTGGACTTGCATTCCCTTCTTTCAACGTACTATGGTAAACCCAGAAATGGACTTCTACAGGAAGACAGAAGATACTTGCATTTTTTAATAAATGTTAATACAGTAGAGGACAGGATTTTCTACAACTACTGTAAACAAATTTGATTGCTCCAAGTATACTCAAAATTGAGAGACTGTGCAGTGTAACTCAATTTTGGACTGCTTCCTGTCTGAAGGATAATTCATGACCATCATTCAAAATCAGGTTGAAGACATTACAAGAGTTGCTAAACAAAGTAAGATGGTTAGTTAAATTAAGGTCTCTATTAAAGCACTTTGGCTTTATCTTTTTTGACTTGATGTACTTATGGATTCAGTGCAATCCTAGACATTAGACAATCAAGAAACTCACAACCCATTTTTCCAGCTTAAAATTTGTAACTTACAACTTTTAAACAACAACAAAATTATAGCATTTTTACACTTTACTTCCTTTTCCCTTTCTCACAGACCAACACAATTTCTGAAAACAGCTTGATCAAAGCATTAAAATCCATTCAGTCCACAAAAAGACAGCTATTTTGTTGCCAGAAGTGAAAGCAAAATACCTAAATAACAGTTGAGACATGTGGCCTGATGCTTTTTGTTAATGCAGTTTAAAAACTAGAAACACAAACAAAACACACAGGTTTTCAGCATTCCTACAAGATGTTGTTACACCGAAAATTCCCGGTAGCAATTTCTCAAATGGAAATCTTTGGAATATTATGTGCAATAATTACTCATCACAGAACAAGTTTGGCTTGTTTCACTAAATGCTTGCCCAGCAATACTCAAATTGCTGGTTTGTTTTTATAACCTAGTTTATTTTTCTTGTCCTATTTTATAATATTTTATGCATGCCGATATTTTAAAATATGGATTATAGTAGACATCTCTGTCTCAGCCTAAGTATTAGAGTAAATAGCAGTGAATCAATTTTGCTTGGAGTTGTATTAGAAGTCTTATCTAGAATGCAAACATTTCTGTAGGCATCTTATAAATACCATTAAGTGCAAGAAGTGCACATTATGACAAAAACAAATTACACCCAAGCTCCACCCTGACATTAAAGAATTTATGGGAGCCAAGACAGCCACCCACAAAGACACTAATATACAGTATCAGCATTAAAACCATCTGCCAGTACAAGCTAACTTTGGAGTGGAAGTTTCACATCAGTATGCATGACCCTCAAGTACTACATTTTAACATTTTTTCCAGAAAGTTTCAGGATACAAAAACTTACATAAAAATTCTTTAAATGATAATTATTAGACAAAAAAACTACTTAAGCTTTACTGTTCTCAGATATGTCATGTGCAAAGAAGTGAACTGAACTGTCCAAAGCTCAAAGAATTTGTCAGTTATAGCAGCAAAAGACCCCTCATTCACATATACAATCGTTAGGGAACACAAGTCATTAATTATGTTTTGATTTCCTTAAATTTAGGAACAAACTCTGAAGTCACATACAAGTTTTCAAACACATTTACTTAGCTGTTACCTAATCAATCTCCCTTTATTTCCTGGAAGTGTCAATAAATAGGAAATGAAAACAACTCAGTGAAAACTCATTTACATTTTCTTTGGCACAAGAGTTGAAAAATTGCATTGAGCCTTTTGTAATACTCCTGGCCTACTCATTACACAGGATGAAGAAAGTAATTCTAGCATTTAAATAGAAGCTCCTTTAGAAAAAAATAAATAACTTTTGGACTCTAACTTATTAGTTAAATGTCATTTCTATAGACTTCTTTGAACCATACAAGTACTACAGTACAAGTGAATAATAGGAAAGAAATCCATTACACACTGCTGAAGCCATGGATTAGTGAGCATACTGTGCTCCACATTCTTTCACTGTCTCTATCTCAATTATCGAGACCGGTCCTTCCCACTTTCCCATTAATCTAACGTGCCTGTGAGTCGCACTCTCTCAACACCACAACCATTATAAAACAACATCAGCCTCTGTAATAGGTACAAAAGCCAAAAGAATGTATATGCTTGTGTTTGATGAACTGGGAGAGACTGGTAGTCTATGGTAGGTGTAAGTAACTTGTACAAACCAAAAGATCCCCTAGGATTCTACTGTTTTCCTTACTTCTAATTGATACTTTCCAATATGTAAAATAATTATTTTGCCTCATTTTCTTACCTGTACAGTTGACGACTGCAAAGCTGGGGAGGGAAGCAAATATTAATATTAGCAGGGGTTTTTTGATATAAGTGTTTTCATTTTTCCTCTTCACATGCAACGTCTATATGCTGTGACTTATGCAACACTTTGGATTATTTTAAAAGTAAAATTCAAAGGAAAAGTATTTTTTAAAAAACATCTCTATATCCATTTGAATTTTACATTCAAAGAAAATCAATTTAACACATTTATAAAGCACTAATTTTCTTAAATCCAAATCCTAGCTGCTCCTGCACATACCCTGAAAGCTAGTTTGGCTTTTTAAAACACATTTGCTTTAAACAGTAGGCCCTTTTAAAATGATGATATACTGAATTGCCTGAAAACTGAAAATAACTGAAAATAACAGATTGCAACCGAAAAAACTTAAATAAGAGTTAAAATATGACTGAAAAACATTATCTCATTCTTAACATTACAGTAGGCTAACTTCAAAAATCGGAGTTTTTCAAATTTCTATGTAGTAAAAACCTGAAAAAACAGATTTTTAAAAAAAAGGACCTTAAAATGACTTTGCAGATTAATTATAAGAACAGACAACAGCAGAAACTGGGAAGTATCATAACAAATTAAGGCCACTGTAGGAGTACAGAACTGCTGATCAAGCTTTCAAGCATTTCAACACAACAAAGTTTAACAAGGACAAAGATGCTTTTTCAATCTGTAGCAGCAGCTTTCACTTATGCAGAGAATTAACCAAGCACCTGTGTACTTTAAATATAAGGGTAAATGGTGAAGTCTGACAACTTTAGCACACTGGAACTGGTACTAAAGGTACTACAGATACTGCAGAAAATGAGTAGGAGCCTGAATGCTGAAATATTGTCTGTTCCATAATGTGAAAAAATAGGAGCCAAAAGGGACAAGTTAGGCAAAATTACCTCAGTAGAAGCATTTTAAATTGCTATTAGCAGGACAAGACTTAATTTGTCATAAGTAGAGATAAAGACAATGCAACAGTTGAAATACAGCCTATGCCTTTAAAGTTCAAAAAACAGGTAAATTATGAATGCAAGGATTTAGCAATGAAATCTCAAGAAAGTAAAAAATAAATAAATAAATAAAATGGAAAGAACAGAGAACAGACTCACTAGGAAATCTCACTTGAGCATGGTCACATTAAGGCAACAGCTGTACCTGTATCTGCAAGGCCAGTCAGTAAGTACAGAAAGGGAGAAGAAACAAAGGGAAAAGAAAAAGCAGAACTCCATGCAGTTTTTCACAAGTGTACCTGACAGCATCAGGGAAAGTGGCTCAGCTAAGAAGCTGGCAGAAACAGAAAGGGACCAAATACAAAATTATATTGGGATAAGACACACAGTCAAGGATATCTAGCTATCAGACAGTCTGAAGTGTGTGTCCAAATTCGTATTTGTGAGACTGTTTAATTTTGGCAAGGGGAAGAGGAAGATGGAGAACAACTGTCTTAACTGTAAAAGTTTGTTTAAAAAATAATATAACATACAAGGTTAAAAGATACATTTATACTTGCTACAAACCTCTGGATGGATTTGCTTAAGTCCCTCCAATGATTTTTCATTGAAATAATATGTTACAGATCTGCAAAGGTATACAAAATTAAGAGTGGTTTCCTAATCATGCTATGAATAATTTTTCTTCCATGACTTCATTGTACTTTCAAATAGAAAAATAATATTTTGATTTCCAAATTATGTTCAACAGAAATACACAGTATTTAATTTTAAATAGTTCAGCAAACATAAGATCTTCCCTTATGTAGAAAATTCATTCTTAAAGGCCTATAAAAATTAGTGTCACTTCCTAATAACATTATAATCAGTAATACACCAATAACCCTTCTCAGCTCAGTTTTATTTTTGGACTCCAACACTTCTGTGATTTTTCCATCCATTTCAAGTATTTCCTACTACTAAAAATGCTCTGCATCTTTCTCTAACTTTTCAACTTACTTGAAAAAGGAATTCTTAAGATTAACACAAATTCTTTTGATAGACACTGATGGCAAATACAATTCCCATTTGTCAATAATTAAAGCCATAAAATTCAGTGCACATTTTTGATATCTGTTATTTGAATTAATCTCAGTATATTTAACTTGTACAAACAACGACAACATTAGACTTGTTAGGTGTCACCACTTTAGATATCTTTATATGACTGCATCAGAATGTTCTCAGAAGTAAAAGTTTCATCAGAGTAATTATCCAACTTTTAGAACAAAAATGACCCAGAAAGTCTGTCTTTTTAAAATATATTTCTTCAGTGTATGCATATCTATGACTCCTGCAGAAGTGTATTTATTTTCATTGAAGTTTGCACTTTGGAGTCTTATTTTCCACTGCCTTGATCTTAAAACAGCTGCTCATTCCAATTTAAATCACACTAGTATAAAATTCTACTGCTAACCTAACTTCCAAAATCTAGATTTTGTAATAAAGACTTTTCAACCATTTTTCACATGTGATTCTTGTGAAGGAAAGAAAAGGTAAATGACTAATTTCTTTAATCATAACATTAAAGCAAAGACATCTCCCAAATAATTTTGTCAATTATTCTGGCTACATCACCTATATGTAGTAAGTGTGTGTGTACATACACATATGCCCATATATATATCACTTGAATCGGTTCAACTCAACAAGCTGCTTGAGTAGATATTTCTCTGAAACTGAAGATGAAAGACTCCCCTCACCAGGAAGACACCATACTTATAGGGAAAGGGGGTTACATCTATATTTAAATGATAACTTTGAACTCTTCAAGTAAGGCAGCAAATGATCTCACTTTCCTGATGATGAATTTAAATTTAAGTTTATAACATCACCAAATAAAATGTGAAGGTTTGGCATGACTGATCAAAACAAACAAAAATTAAATGGAAAAGTTGTTCAGTAAGATGGAGATTTCCATAATTAGACTCAGGAAGCTTTCAATAGACCAAACATGAAAGGAAAATTTATAGTCAAGATAATATTGCATTTATACCTCTTACTCTCTTCTGCTAGTTTACATAGTGCATGGGTGATCTCAGCACAGGCAAGAATTGCCCCATGGCGTGTGTGCAGATCTGTGCCCACTGATAAAGGCAGAAGTCTTGGCAAAACTGAAAGAGATTAAATTTTTTTTTTTTTTTTTTTTAGACAAAGCATAGTGACAGATCACAGTTCTAAATGTAATTATGTCTGCCTAGAAATAACATGGGAAAACTGTTTCTGGAAAATTAGGCCAATGTATACTGGCCATTATATGAAATCCAAGTTTTAAAAAGATTAGTAAATTCTGACAAAGCATACTAAACCACACCAAAGAAATTTGCACTCATAACTAGCTCCATGTTTAGAGTAAATAAAAGAATATACTTGCTATTAGGCATTGGACTGGCTGAGCAGTAAGAGAAATGGGGCTTGGACTTCCATGTAAAACTGCCACCCTCCCAGTCCACTATAGGGAGGTAGGCAAGATCTGGAACTACGCATTCACCTGGGTATCAGCTGCTGTCTTTCAGCCATATTAAAAAGCAGCTGGTACATCCTCAGAATCTAAGTGGGCTGAACAAAGGATCCTGAATTCATGCTAAGAAACATCTGATTACACAAATAACAGACAAAAAGAAGTTCTTCTGAAGATGTCCGAATGGACAAGACAAAACAGGTCCCCCCACCCTTTACAACATCAAAGTCATATCAATAAAGCAAAAGCTAGGAATCTGAGTGCTAGCTGCCTGAATTGCTGCAACAGAACTACACCCATTTATTCTTCTTGGAACCAGTAGGGTCCAGCGTAGCCAGATAACTAAAGTCCAGTCCCCAGATAAAAAAAGATCTAGCAGCATTTTCTAATTTTTGCATAAAATCTGAAAACTCATAAAACTACTAGGGCCACTACACTGTATTAGGGGAAATCTTAATTTTTATTAAGTCGTGGTGCCTGTTTAAATCTTCTTAATACAATTTTGCTACATTAGCTAGAGCGCTTGATATGGCATGCTATGCAGAACTTATTTGTTACATACCCACATTTGCCATGTATTCAGGAGCCCGTGGAGTAAGGTTATGCAGAGCTTTGGTTGAAAGTTCTCGAATAACACTGAAGATGTAAAAAAGAATTTTGGGATTTTTTTGGGTTAGCAATTTTGTAGAAGTAATGTATTAAGAAAAAAAAAAAAAAAGACAGGGACTCCTGTCCTTGAACAAACAAAGACCCCAGTAATATTAAAAATTACAGTACTCTCTGTCCATCCCATGCTTCCCCTCATCAAAAAAAGACAAGAAAACAAAACAGTGGACCAAACAGACAGCCTACAGCTAGCTTTTAGCTGTATGAATAGAACTTATTGCTGAAAGAGACAAAGAAAAATCTAAGTGTGGATGGTAGAACCTGAGGGTTCATTCTATGTATTGGCAGGGACACTACAGTAAACTATTATTATTTCTCATGATGCAAACTATTATCAACACTGATATAATCTCATTTGTGTTATATGGACACATTTTAATCTTCATGAACACTGAATATGACTAAGCACCATCTCTATGCATGAAATCTAGTTCAATTATGATAATTGTATGGTGACGGTGTTTACCCCTCACATATACTATATAACATATGAATGTGTTTTATTAATCTATTAACAGATTGAGGTCATGGCAAAAAGACAAAATTCATGAACATGTTTTAAGTGACAATATGCTCGGGAGTTACAGATGACATCAGCTACTTCTTGTCCAATTTCCTTCAGTCAACTTATACTCTAATAAAAGTAAAATTTATAAAAATAATCTATGAAAGCATGATACACAGAACAGCCAATTCCTGGATGTTAATAATTAGACTTCATGAACTTACCTATCCCAGTGGTTAATCTTCATGTTAACTAAATGATCAATCATTGGCTGTGTATACTCAGGAAAGCCAGCAATATACACGCTGAAAAAGAAACGTCCATAGAGAGAGAGTACAGAATCAACATCTGTATGCATTTTAACACAAGCTACTCCAAAGATTTAAATCCTCTAGTTTTAAAGCAACAGAAAAAATTACTTAAACAGGTCTTCTCCTAAATGAGAGGCAGCTGAATGAAATAACAGGAAATACTTAACCATCACTGAAAAAGACATGAAATCACTTTTGTAAAACTTTCAGACTCTTTATAAAAAGTGCTATACATACAAAAAGCAAAAATAAACATTCATTTCCCATCGTTACATTCTAGAAAATCTAGATGTGTGTATTAATTTATACAATTACTTCAGATTGAACAAACATTAATGATGTAATCCACAGTAAAATTAACATAAAGAAATGTGTTACGTCTTCATAAATACAACTGTCCAAAATTGAAGATGGGTTTTCAATTTGTCCTTTTTAAAAATCAAAACATACACAAAAAGTCAATTCTGACAAAAAATGTTAGTGTTACAAAGTCAAGATCTAAAATATCAGGGAACACCAGAATTAATCATCTAGGTAGCCTGCGTAATTATTGAACTTTACAGACACACTTGCTTTCCATTCGTCAGCAGCAGCAACTATTGAAAGCTAAGGTCAACAGAAGTCAAGTGAAATGTTTTTTCAGTACATCTGATTTATGTTAAACAATCTTGGAAAGCTAAACAATGAGTAGAACACGTTTGTGTCAAAACGGCATGCACAAGGGGACAAAATTAAGGAAAGAGATTACCTTAATTTCACCTTTTTATTTCTTTTGAGTGATTAATTTTGCAACCATAATAGTGTTCCATTAATATATGTGTGTGTAATTAGAAGCAAAACAAAGACAAAAACCTAATACTGTTGCATGTTACCATTCTGATATCTATATAGTTCATCAGAAGAGTAGGAATCCTTAAATACACAGCACAGACCTCAGTCGCTTGAGCCAATACAGGATATAGAAGAACTATCTACTGCTGCTATGAGCCCTAGAGGGGATTAGACAGTTGGTTTAACTGGTTGTTGATGCCAGCAGAGAAATGGTAACACTCATTACTCTTTGATTCCTTTCCCTATTTTGGAAGAACATACAATAATAGGCACATTTCCCCTGCCATATTTGAGTTCTCCTCTCTTCTTCGCAGTTGCTTTTTGGGTCTCAGTTTTAGCACTCACCTTTCTTTCCAACCATTTTAATCTGAATTTCCTTGTCCAGCTCATCAAAGTTGATCTCTTTGGTCATGTCTGCAGTCCAATCCCCCTTTTAGTTTTAGTTTAGAACTATCTTTAAATACAGCCCTCATCTTTTGTACCTTGAGTATTTAGTGCAAGTAGGCTTGAATACGAGCCCAGCCTTCCTGATAATGTTGCTGGTAAGATTTTTGTATCATACTCTGATTAAGAAGCTTCTTCCTTAACTCTGCTTTTACCAAGCCCAGAACTCCTGGAATCACAACCTCTTCACTCTCAGTTCATACAAAATGGGTTTCCTCTACCTTCCATGCTCATAACTAGATTGTGATATTTGAGCTGAATCCATCAAAGAATATCAGCAAGAAGTTTCAATAGAGCACCCAGCATGAAAAACTTGCATAAAAAATATTTAGATATTTAGAAAGGATACAAGTAACTATTTATACACACACACGTATCTCATATATATATAAAAATGTACATGATACTGCCTGTCTATCATAAATTATTAATCAAACCCAAATTCAGCTGTAGAATTTGACACCTCTTTTTTGAGCTTTTATTGATCAGATGAATCTAGTAGTACCAACCCTTGCACCTGCACAGCTTCCTTGCACATAGCGGCACTGTGCTGGCATACAAAGTGTCCCAGGACTGTTTTATCTGGGTGGGGGAATGACAGCTGAAGATTCTAGATCTGAAATGTGAACCTCAAGCAGCTTTTTCCAGCTACATAAACAATTACACCACCTTAAGGCATACCGATCAGAAAGGTCCATTCTTCCTACCACACTGCAATGATACATGTTTTCTGTGCAGCCAAATATATGCTTATGTATTTTTCCTTTGATGTTACTCAGACAAAAATAAGGAAATAATTAAATATTGACCCAAATAATTACATCCTGCTTGAAGAGCAAAGTGGTGAAGATTTTTAAAAGTAATAGAATGAATGAGATGACAAATACTTTACAAAGAAGAGTTTGACTAATAACACTGAACATGGTTTCAAGGAATCGTGCTACTAACTGCATAAATTACATGCACACAACTTGCAAACATTCTTTCTGTCGCACAATTTAAAGAAAGGCACAAGAAAGAAATCAAGAGTAAAAGAATTTTTACTTTTATACGTAACACTCCTACAAAACCCCTGGAAATCACAATGAAAGGAGTAATAAATAAGCATTTGGAAAAAAAAAAAAATTACAATTCAACTCTCAAAATGTAAGGAGAACATAATTACTCTCCAAGCCAAAATTATAAAAGTGAAAAAATAAACACTGCTGTGTCGATTTTGAATATTTTCAATTTTCTACTAGTTCAAACAGCCATTTTCAAAAATCACATTGATGCTCTATGGATCTAGAGCAGCACTGAATACCAAGCCACTGCATTTCCCCATCTCAGCTCAGTAGGCGGGAGCTCTGGGGAAGAGTGTAGGAGGAGGGTGTGGACCCCAGGAGGAATGACAGTAGGTAAAAGGTGAAGATATGTACAGAGTGAAATGATTATGCACAAAAAGGACAATATGGAGGCGGACAGATTAATTTAAAAAATAGACGAGGAGAGGATAGAGGGTTCCAGTGCAAATTATCTTAAAAAACTGCTCGCTGGAAGTCACAAAGCTGGCAAGGGAGCATAAGCCATCATATACCTGTTTGCTATTTACGTTCCCCAAGAATGTAATCTCTTTAAGCCTTTCTAACCTGTTGGCTTCTGAATAACAAGCAACTCCACAGGGCAATTTATCTGACCTATCTTAAAATGGTCTGAATCACCTTCTGTAGGTGCCTGTCTCTTTGCATTGGCTATGAGAGAGGCTAGACACATCGGCTAGACTGTCTGTCTTAGACAACTAAAGCTAGAACCCAGCCCTCAGTCTTTTTCATCTTCTCACGAGGAAGTTCATTTTAGTCATCCTGTGCACTCAGCTTGCCTCTGAATTCCCCTGACTTCAGCATTATTGTATTTTCAGATAGCTGACCAGAACAGAAAACAGTATTCCAAGACAAGCCACTGATTTATAAGAGCACCACATGAGTTTCGGTATTTCCCATTACATTCTTTGCAGTCTCCATACTACAGTGATCAGTTTGCTTTTTCAAACATTACTAAATACTGTGGTTAGATTTTCACTGAGCTATCTATGAAAAATATAAGCACTCAAGTTAAAAGTCTACGCAGAGAACACAAATGCAACAACTTGTGTGAAGTATTTTTTTAAAAGGGTTTTAGTTTATTTTCTTGCCCACATCAGAGTCTATCTGCCATCATAACAGCCTCTTCTTTTACTGCAGCTCTTCAAAATCCCCTAGTGTTCTCTAAGCTTGACCAGTTTAGAGAGTTTTGTGACACCCACAAATCTCGCCTCTTTGCTGCTTCCTCTATGTAGACAAGGAAATCATGGTCACATTTTCAGTGTGTCTTACACGTAATAAGCAGTTTGATGCAGAAATTAGAAAAATCAAATTTTAATTTATTCAAAAACAACAGTAATAAACATAATGTTCAGTGAGGTGAAACAATCAGACAAATACTTCATTATGTAAAAGAGATCCCTCATGTTTAGGAAAACGAATGCTTGCAAACTTACCTTATAGTCAGATAACAGTTAACTCTGTTACCAACAGCAAAATAATCAGCTGCAGTTAGAATGTCTATGCCATGTGGAAAAGTGCCCTACAAGTATCACAGGGAATAGGGAAAAAAAATAAGGAAATATTTTAAAATGTAAAATACTTTCCAAATAGGCAACATTATTGAAAACAAATCTCCTACTACTCTCCAAGCACTGAAAAAATACAATTTAATTTCTAATTTATATTAAAACCACTTGTACTAAAGATATAGAGGATACTGGAAATATAAACAGCAAAATACCTAGCTTTGCTCAGGAGCCAGTGATAAACAGTCAAAGTAAATAGCAGCAGGTAATAAACTATGCAATAGATATCTTAACACCTTCAAGTCATACCCAAATATATACTTGGTGAATGCATGACTACGTACACAAAAAATTATTTCTCTAAAGGAAGGTTTAGGTAAATGTAAACATGTTTTCAGTTTATGTGAAGAAACAATTATCTGATGCGAGTTTTCTGAAGTATAAAATTAGAGATTTAGGCACCAAGAAATACATCACGTATAGAACACATGGGAGTTCAATTACTTCTATTTGTTTTTACTTGCACCTATGTTTTATGACTTATTAGTGAATTAAAAAACTGGGATTAGTTTGTTTTTAAAAAGGACATTGGCTCTCAGCAAGCCTGAAACATTGAATCCTACCGAAGTATCACACTTCTGACATCACTGCTCAAAACCTATGCTTTTAGAAGATAAATTATCTTTCTAAATATGCAACTGCAACCTACGAATTTGCCTTTTTATATAAGCAATACACTTCAGATAGTCAGATTTTTGACTGGCTATGACTAATTTAATATTGTATTACGCAGCAAGGTTGTGTTTTGGAACGGAGGAGGTAGCATAGCCTCCACAAGCCATAATTAAGTACAAATGGAAAACAGGCAACTGAAAGACACTATGCTCGCTTACAAAAGGGACAATCATATGATATTTAAGCAGTAAGGCTATGTGGAAGTACAGGTTCTGGATATGATACAGTTTTGTTTGTTTACAGCTCACTCATCCCTTCCACATTAGCATACAACCATGCAAAAATAGTAGAAAGTATCTCTAGATCTAAGCCCGAATAATTAAACTAGTATAGACTGCAAGCAGTGGGAAGCTGTGAGCTACTGCAGAGGTCTTATTCTGGGAAGCATAATGCCAACAGTCCAAAAAACCAGGGCCTGGAATCTGACTGAACCATGAAGGACAGACAGCATATTTATAACTTATCCAGGAGGCAAGCCCTAATAAATCAAAGTTGAAATGAATGCACTCCCCAAAAGCCTAATGAAACACTGATTAGGAAGAAAAATGTACACATGAGAAATACCTCAGTATGATTTATAGCCAAACAACAAGACATACAATGAAATACGTAAGAATGCATACTGTATAAAAGTAAAATCACAGCTAAACAATTTCAATTATAGCTGCTAGCTGGACCTTGCTATTTATGACTTGGCTGTAAGTGTGCCAGTTTGATGCCATCTCACCAAAGGTCGGGGTGCCACAGTGCATGTCAGTGAGACAGCAAAATTCCTGACACCAAGTTCATGAGTACAGAGGTCGTGGCCGATGGGAGAGACAGACTTCAGAGGAAAAGCCAACAGTTTCCATTCTGTCAGAACACTTTAAACTTACTACTCAGATATAAAAGTTTGTCTTATGAGAAGTATGTGCATTTCTGAAGAATTATGCTTTAAAAAAAAAAAAATCTTTAAATTTTTCCATTTCCATTTCCATGAAGTTTAAGTCACAATGGCTTCTTTTTCTGAGGCCATAAAAGCAAGCTCTTGGAATCGGGGCACGTTGAATCGCCAAGGTGAAGCAGGCAGAAACCAGGAAGTAAGCAAGGACAAATTTTTTCTCCACCTATTTAATATCAGCATTGTTACTTCAGATGGAGAGTATGTTTTAGCTCCTTCCAATTCAGAGAAAAGGTGTCTCTTTCAACATGTTACATCCAGGGAAAGAACTACAGAGAGTGTATCCACTGATTAAGTAATCATTTTCTCAGGCAGTAAGGAATGGTTCAGTAAGTAAAATGTCTGAACTACTACAGGAACCAACTGGAGACTGGTAGCATTCTTCATGGCGTGAAAACTTACTATTTCACTGATAACTCCTCCTTAACATGCTGACATATAAGCTAAAATTGTTGTGTGTTCTATTAACACCTGACAAATTTCAATCATGGGTCAAAACAGAGTCAATAAGGAAACTTTCTGGTTGCAAACTAATGTAGACTGTACTCTGATTAAGAAATAAAAAACTCCACAAAACTTTTGCTACATGGAAGCATTTCTAAATCTGCAGCACCCAGGAGCCCTACCTCACCTGGAACTGAAGTCACAGTAAGGTGTTTACTTCATTCAGTACCTCATGAAGTAGAATAAGGCTGAGTCGCTGTGTGATGACTAACCTCTCCAGACCAGTAACTACAGACCCAGGGAAGAATCATGCCGGCTCCAACTTATCACTGACCTAGTCAGGTCAGGTCACCAATAATACCTACCCTCTTCCTCCTAGTCTTCTTGCATCCTTTCTCCTCTATTAACCTAATTGTATCTAGAAATACACACACCAGTTATAGACACATTGCTTAATACCCATAGTTCTAAAGGAATAATATCCTGGCTCACAACACAAAGATCTTCAGGAATGGTGTCAGGGAAAGCTAGACAGCATTTTAACAAACACCCCTTAAAGAATGGCTTATTGATAACAAAGTTTGCTTTAACCATGCTCACTTGCCCCACTCATGTGACTCATGTCACAGGAATTCACTGAACCATTTGCTCCCCACCATTTTTCCCTTTAAGTTGTATTCTCAGCTTTATTAATTTCTGATGAGAAACCAGGAAACTTTGAAATCCCGGTCTTCACTCTATTTGCTCCTCCTCCAAGGTTGCAAATCAAAGTTATCTGAGTATTTTAGATACTTAAATGTTGCTAAGTTACAAGGGAACCTACCTTCTAGGGTAGGATATACTTTTGTATAGGGAAGCACTTACATACCTCCAAATTAACAGTTTTCACAATTTATCTAGATGGTAGCATTATGGTACAACAGGAAAAAAACAAATTATTGAGTTGAAGACTCTTAAGCTTAACTCATTGTTGCATCACCAACCACAGCAAAGATGGTGCAGCACTTCAGCTGTTCTACTTCTATTAAAAACTAGAAAGTCAATGAAACAAAAAAAACCCAAATTTACACTTTTCCTGCTTTAAGAGCATTGCTGTTTACAAGGTGTATAATGGCTGTCATACATGCTGATTTTGCCTTTCAGAATGACTGAAAATTAGCAGAAAGCTCATTTTCTTTCAAAACTAGATTACTAAAATAAAACTCCCATCTCAGAAAAATATTCCACAAGAACTTGTCTGTTGATAACGAAAATAATTATTTTGTGACATCCTTTTACTCAATTTCTCCAAAGCCACAGCATCTAATTTTGATTTTAGGTACTACATGTTTACAGTAACCTCCAAGGCACTAATGAATGAAGATTCAGGAAAGTTACCATACCTGTCTCCCAACATTCTCCTGGAAGGCAGCCTAAGGAACAGAGAACAAACATACCAAAACGAGTCAGGTTTGCTTTTTGATAAACACCAGATGATGAATTCAAAACACACAACAATATAAATGACCCATGGCTTTTCTTTTTTAAATAAAGTAAGCTTTGTCAGTAGAACAAGCCCACAGGGCTTTTTTGTTTCTGCGTCTCTATGTTCTGGTGTTCTTAAAGCTGTATGTTGCACTACAGCAGTTTAAGACTGCAAGTTTATTAAACTAGTCACACCCACAAGAGTGCTTTTGAGTAGTGACACAAGGCTTCGCTCTGGAATTGAAAGTCAGTACCTGTAGACAACAGAAATTGAGACAGCTCGTTTTTGTCTAACTACTTCAATGTAATTTGCTAATAGTAGGCGAAGTTTGATTCTTTGCCAGTGAGAATTTCAAACAAAAAATAGTGAGAATGCAATACTTATTTGAAAGACACAGATCTGAAGGCATGCTAAAACACTGAAATTATAAAACCTGAAGACAAAAATTCACGTATGTTACTTGTGTTTTGCATTAAATAAACTCAAAATCTTGCAAAATGCAACAAATACAACCATAAAATTAATCTCTCTACAGAATGAAATCTACTTAACTCCCTATGCCCTAGCTGAATTTTCTCCCTCCCTCAAAAAAGCCAATTATTTTTTGTTCCTTAAAAGGATATACAATCATAAGTACTAATAAAAGCTTCTGTAAATTTTAACTCTTTTCAAAGAGGAGAGATTGTCATTATCTGAACACTTCTCTTAGGAAATGTCACTCTATCTACAAACACAGATCTCCAGCAACACACAGCACTTGTCACCTGACAACTTGTATTTAACATACAGGGGGAAAAGTCTCAATCTTTACTGAAAATGCCACAAGAACTTTGACAGACAGAGTGGTTTTATTTCATACATAAATACAGTACACATGTGGTAATCCACCTGTAAAAACAAAAGGTTAAGTTAGCTCACCAAGGTATCATACACGACATATGGAGCAAGCACTCACAGAACCCAGGTGAAGCAAGCCCTAATGAAGCCAGAGTCTCTGAGTGCATTTCTGAGGTTATGTCTGTTTAGGATAATGACAGCAGTTCCTGTAGACTTGCCCAGGCTAGTTCAGCTCCTGCTCGCAGTGTATCCATCGCAGGACACGTAGCACAGGCTGACTCCAAACCACTTACCCACCACCTTGGCAGGTTCTGGAGCCCACCTTAGCCTGCTCGCAGTTGCAGCCGCGCTGCCAGCAGTGCCCCTGAGCTAACCAGTTTAGGATTGCCTCGGGTAGCACTGCATGGGCTACCCTCCGCAGTGGTGGCTGCGTAGATACACCCTTGGGCAACACATAAAGCAGCCTTCCAGAACAGGAACATGAGCTGCACTTGTTCCTCGTTGTATGCTGTAGCCCAGCTTCTGACATGGGGTTTTTTCACTCCTTACCTCTCTACCAACATACACTCCCAGCCAGGATTTGCCAGGGCATTGTTTCATGGCACCCCGCATCATTTATTTCTCTTTACTTACACGTTAGCTTTAGATCCCCTTTTATGCTATTGAGACACTTTTACTCACCACAGGGACATTTCAGCAAGGATGATGCTCTCAACTATCACATCCAAGGGATTTAATAGTTTAATCACTGCATTACAATTTCTTTTAAAAATGTACTGCTCAGACAGTGCCTTAATGATACAAAATCTGTAAAGGCCTTTTTTTTTGGTAATTAAACCAGGAACTTTGATATCCAAACAATTTAAGTCAAAACAGTGAAAGTTTAATTACATTTACAAGACAGCTGTAGGCCCAGGACTGAAGTATACTGTGGCAAAACCATTGGCAAAAGATGTATAGGGGCCTATAGACAATGTTGCGGCAAAAAAGCTATTCTACCCAAACATTTCACGTGGTTTGTTTACTTTATGTAGGAATTTTAAAATTCCACTGCTATATCACCATTTCATATTTTAACTTAGAAAAACAATCCTGAAGGTCTAAGAAATGGTTCAGCAGCATGACAAAAATACTTAGCATTCATCTGGTTCATTCTAAACATCTAATTTACTTGTTAATTTATACCTATTTTATTACTTTATGTATTAAAAAACATATAACTAACCACTGCTTACAAAGATAAATCTTAGTATTGCCTTACTATAAATACATTTGTTGATTATTTCAATTTAATAGCCATGGAGAAAAATAATCAGTTTGTTATAGATTCTCACACTTGTTTTATGAATTCATAATCCATAGAAGTTTGAAGAGAAATATGATAACTAGCAAATTCCTGTATCTGTAGCTCAGTAAATAGAAAATATTCCAGTTGCAGACTAAAACTGCATAATAATTTGATTCACAGCTGGTTGCTAAGGTTGAGGGAGGCTCACATGTATCACCACAAACGTCTCAGCTTCTGCATTGTTGTTGTGCATTTTAAAAAGCAAGAAGGTGCCTCTTCTGCAAATAAGTTTTCAGCCAATTACGGGGAAATTTACAATGAAAACCAAGATATTAAAACAAAAACAGAGAAAGCCCACAAAGAAATGTAAAAACAGAACCCTAGCATGTTTAGAGTCATATTTGGAAAATTTCACCACTGTTTTAAGAAGGCTTTGCAGCTTTCCAGCTGTGATAATTTAAACACATTTACTGTTCTAGGAGAAGAGCATCTAATCCCAATTTTAGCAACAAAAATGTGAGATGTTAAATTATTTTTCCTGGGTCACAAGGAGTACACTGAACAGAAAAAGTTGCAAGGAAAACCACCCCGACAATATTATTCTGTTAAAGCTATGTGAGAGAAAGTAAAACAGAATATGAAAATAATTAAACATAGTATTCATCCAAGTGAAAACAAAATTTTCTAGAGCTCATTTAATGCTCACAGAATTCCTTCCTTGCTCCTTCATCACTTTTTTATTGTTTCACAAAAGATTTTTTCTCATAATACTTGGGGAGTTTTTCAGTAACTGAAAATGTTACTATTTCAATCATACTTACAAACAACTGCCAATTCCTAAAAGATGCCAAATACTTCAACTGTCTTATCATAATAATTTTTCAGTTTTCATACAGTCTCCTTCTGGAGATGGAAAAATTGGATGCAAAAATCTTAATTTAAAGATTCCATTATACCAGAACGAAGATGACCAACTAGCCTTGTAACCTGAATACTTTGCTTTCCCACGAAAACTGAAAAAGTACAAAAACATTCTCTAAATCATGATTTTAAAAGCTATCAACCAAAAGAAAAAAACCCTCTCTTTAACATGTCAGAGCAGAATGGAGCCCAATCTGAGATCACTTATTCACGTGAATTTTCCTTCTAATTATTATTCATGAAAGAATTGCAGAAGTCAGCTCAGAATGCTTTGGGAACTCTAAATGAACAGTCTTGTTTTATTCTCTCTAACCTCAGGGTTCAAAATATCTCTATAAGCTATTTTGCTGTATTGTTGCTCTGCGTTATTATATACCGCATATTGTAATAGATGGAAAATCTAGTAAAACTTGTTTATTTAAATATATATTTAACTGCAGCAATGATTGGAAATAATTAGGACTCCCAGGTATTTTTCTTCAAAACTGTAGCAATGCCTGGTAAACACAAAGTATTTTTTTGCCTGCCATTCTAAAATAAGAAAACAGGTTTCAGTACTTTCATAACTATCCATCAAAACAGCAAATGAAAACTTTGACCAGGTCTAAATTAGAAAGTACTAATGAAAAAATTACTTTGACTGAAAATAACTGAATTGTGGAATGCTCGGTAGCTTGGTTTAAAGTAGAAGTAGAAAGTGAGAAGAAAATGTATTGTATTTTGTACTAATTTGAATATGGAAGCACAGTCTGCATTAAGCTTATGGCATTAGTAAATGTATCAGGTTCAGCACCATATTCCATGGTCAAACTATTAGTTTATGTTTAAGCACAGAAACACAATGAAGATTACATATGACAATTAGATCAAGCCACTAAAGGTAAGCAGTACCTTTGTAGTAGCAATCACGTTAAAAAGAATTCTCCTCTTTATATATATTACCACTGGTTCCTGGGACGATGAGTAATTCACTTTTCACTGTCTGTACTCCTTAATGTGCAGTTTTTGGGAAAGCAAAGCTACCTCTGTTTTCCTCTAAGGATTTTATTTGAATAAAGTGACTTAATTAGCCAAGAACAGAAAATTCTACAGTTCCTAAAATTTTGGAATTGAAATGTGGGGGAAATTAGCGTGGCTCATGTTCATTAGTTGTCCAGTGAAGAATATGTTATATCAGTACTCGGCATCTTAGCTTCCATGCTTTGGTTTTAACCTATTTAGACAAGTGATTTGTGATATGATTACACAAGCAACTGACTCACTTCCCCAGCAATTATGCTGCAGCTTCATTCAACAGTTTAAACTCTCAAGCAGAGCTGCGGCTAGGAAAAAATAAGGATGATATCCAGGTATATCTGAGAAATCCTTCTTATGTTGTAAGTGCATTAACTTTCAAATTTTCAGTCAAAAAAATATGACAGACTTGTTAATTAATTTGCACGTTGCAAAGACTGCCTTTTTTGAAATTTTATTTTGGTTTGGTATTAAATGCATTCACAATGAATTTAGGAACAGAGACATCTGCTTCTTTGACAGACACTGGTCCCAGGTTTGAGTTAATACAGGTACAGGGTGTGAGTTTTTTACATTTGTGTAAGAGAGTTTGTTTTATCTGTTGAAATAGACAGCTCATAATTTATTTTTTTTTTAAGAAAGCAAGTTCAATATATACAAGCAACTCATTGACTTAAATTCTCAAAGATAAGTTGTCCACCTTTCTTCTCAAATTCTATAACCTCTCCTCCATATAGTCCCTTCTCTTAAGAACAATCACACATTCTTTTCAATTTTCAACAGCATAAATATTTTCTACAGAAAGGTTCCACAGAATATACTTTGGTGTCAGTGCTACTAACTAGATAACATAATCTGCCTGATGGATTTATCACTTTATTTTAAAAATTCCCAGTCCTATAGAAAGAGCTTTATACAACTGAAAATGTATTTGAAGGACATACTGAAGGAGAGATACTCTTCTAGAAATTTTCAGTTTACCACAATTACAGACTAACAGTTGATGAACCATTAGAAAAGTAAGTATAACATCACAAATTTTAACAGCTTAGTGACTTGAAAAAGATACAGTGCTTGTATATTATGTATGACCCTTCTGTCTCTGATATCGTGACTAGAAAATGCTAAACAGCTCTTTCTTAGATACTTTATCTTAACCATCATGACAACAATACAGCAGATCGTGGACTGTGGCCATAAATCAAGATGTGGATCTGTGGATTATGTAATTTAAAATCTAAATTCACACCATACTATACTTTTAAAGATTTTTTGAAAAGCACATTTTTGTTCACAACACAATATATTGCTTATATACTGTTGTTCTACATAGCTAAGTCTACAAATTATTAAATTAAATGAAAACAAAACAAAAAATAACAGAAACGTACAAGATAGAAAGTGGTAACTTACAGAAGCAGCTCTTCTGCAATTAACATCACGATCAAATACTGCAGCAATAACCAATGCACTGGGGAAATACAATATTGAGTATTAGTACCAAAAATATGAGAAGGTATGTGTAACACCATCATTTCAACATTTAGATTTCTAAGCAGAACATGTAGCATTTCCTCTAAGGAGTGTATTATTTATAAATACAAGCGTAAACGAAAAACTGAGGTGAAATAACCATGTACTTCCTCGTTTCTCTAGTTTGCTGTGGATTTTCCATAGCATAAACAGACCACTGTCATCTTACTGTATCAAAGCAATCTAAGGAGTATGCAAATACATTTACCTGCATAGAAAAGTTTTCTATATTAAATATAGCAGGAGTTTAAAACTCGGACATAACTATCTTCTCTAATGTGAGACTCCTACAATGCAATTTTAAATTAAAACTTGGAAATACAGTTTCTCAATAACAAAATGCATGGCAAGTCTTATGTAAGGCTTAAGCAAAACTAGAAGTTAAGCAATGGAAACTTACAGCTATCTCTACAAGAACAATCACATCCTGTAAGTAACAAAAATCAGAAAACAATATGCAAATCCTGATAAATGTGACCTGCCAGATAAATTGCAAAGCAGTTTTCTTTAAAAGGTGACCTGTAGATACAGAGGCATGATTATATGAAACTATTTCTTTGTGCATGAAGTCTGGTAGTCTGGTAACCCTGCACAGTTTAATTCTTCTACCTCAAAGGAACTGCTTTTAAAAGATGTGCTAGACAACAGAAGAGAGAGAATATATCCCAGGACACAAAGTCTACAGCTTTAGAAATCCACCTCCAGCATTCAATTAACTTGAGTGACAAATAAACATCACTTCAGGAGAATCATTTAAGCAGAAAATTATTCCTTTCAAATGCTGAAACTCTTCATTACATTATTTATTGACTCCAGGCAAAACATGAAATAAATACTGGCTGAAAAGTAAATCCAAGATAGCCTTGCTTTAGCATAAAGATATTAATTACACTGATAATATCAAGCTTCCCCAGGTAGTAGCTATCAGTTTTCTATAGTGAAGAATACTGTGTTGTTAAAATTCACTGAAATGCACAATCAATGTTGCCTCTGTAATTTCAGTTTATCTCCATTAAGGAAAACAAGAAACAGAAAGCAAGAATGAAATGAAAATAAACCTCAATAAATTGTTCTAAAGACAGTTAATGCTTTCTTATTGCTACTTGCATGAGCAATTCCTCTCTCTGACACAAAGACATTAGGTGATTATAAGACAAAAGGAGGTCATCCAAACGATAGCATTTGAAAGAGTAAATGTTGAGGAAGCATTCCATTAGGAAATAGCATATATGGCTAACTGCTAAAAAAGTGCTGGGTTAAATATATTATCTTCATACCAGGTTTGCTAATTTTCTTCTCTGGCATACAGAGAAACTTTAAAATAATTTTAAGAGGACAGGTAAGAAGTTAAATGAGATGCTTCTGTTACCTTAAGACAATCATATATAAATAAAACAAGCAAAACAACATACTGTCTGTGTGATGCCACCTGAGTTATTCAGTGCTGCAACTGAATACTACGTTCAAGAAAAACAAAACAATAAAAAAAAAAAACACAGGAATTTTTCATTGCCCCCATAGCCCCATTATATTTATAAATCATATTGTAGTCACTGTTTTATGTTAAATATTTTAAACTTATCAAACTACACAAATAATTTTTTCAAGTTAATTCCTATTTGAAAATGCAGCCACAGTCTGCCGTAACACAGGGATTAGCAAGGACAGCAACATGCCTAAGATGAAACATGTCCAAGGTGTCTTCACCTGTCTGCTTTGTCGTGGGAGTTTATGTGATACTCCACCAGGATTTCCTAACATAAAGAAACTGTTTATGTCAAACAAAGTGGGATATTTTTTTAAGCCAGTTAAAGAATCATGTCTTGACTTGCCTGAAATGTACCACACCTGACTACTAACAGGTAGAGCAAAGAATGGCTTTGCATCTTTCAGTCTCTAAGAAACACTTTTTGTAGTTCCTTGAGGTGTATTTAGCCTGTATGCACAACAAGCAATTAAGTGTACAACACAAATGGACTTTAAAAAAGCAAGTTGCAATTCTATCAGTCAATTCATAATTCTTCCTTTCTTCCCTCTCTCTTCCACTCTCCCTCAGCTACTCACTTAACTAGCTTCAAGGGAAGCTAAAAGGACTCAAAGTATGTTACCGGCTCATTTTCTCAGCCCAACACCAATGTCACTACCTTCCCCCAAACAAGGCATAAAGAATCGGAGAGCAGAGGCCAGCCAGGTGAGACATCAGAATACAGAAATATCAGTTTACCCTCTCCTTATAAGCACCAGATGTACCAGACAATAAATCTGAATTTCCTTTATCACCTGTAGCAGGCACTTCTATTCTACAGTAGTCTCAAGCAGCAAGAAGCTTATATTATTGCTAACCTCTGAGAATTTGCTACTATTAATTCAAGCATACCACCCTGAAGCTGTGGGAAGAAAAAAAATAAACTCTCAAACCTCTTGCCAATTTGGCACAAAAACAAAATTTTCTTCCTGAGCCCAAAAAAGGAAAAAGTCTAACTTGTAACAGGTCAGAAACCCCTCCTCCCTACTATACATTAGGGAAGGCATGATAACAATAATCGCAAGCAAAATAGTTTTGAACAATCCCAGCAAGTTAAAAAAAAGGAGGTGAGACCAGAGTCAGACCCAACTCTGTTGAGAGCTGCTGCTGCTGGTAACAGCCCTGTTCACACCTCTTCAGTCATGGCAGTACCCCACCTGGAATGGCTACACAGTGAGCTGGATGATGAAAACAGATCGAGGCTCAATTAATTTTTCTTTTGCTAGGTCTTGTTTTTTTTTTAAACCAGAGAAGCTCCCCCCATTCACTTTATTACATGCAGCTGTGCTACACTCAGCTGCAGGAGCAACACAGGTGAAGGAGAAAGCAAAAGTGCCTGCTTCAGCCAGCACTGCTAGGGGGAAAAGCCCTTCAGACTACAGTTTCAGATTTAATTCCTCCTCTTTATCTAGGAAGGAGAAGGTCTGAAGAAAAGGAGAAATGCAGTGACCATTTCCACTTCTACACTGCATACTTTCACAGTCCCTCTAATCCAGCTCACACCCTGCTAGTCACCCAATGACCTACACTGTTTGGTGTGTTACTCCAATCCCAAAGTTCTGGGGTAAAATGATGGAAGTATAATACACACACATGTAGAAAAAAGCAATAAGAAAAATGCTTAGAACAGGAGTTACCAATGCTGCCGTTAAAATAAAGAACAGAAAAAGGCATATAATGCCCCTGTAGGAAACAACTTTACACAAGTGCAAGACACAGTAAGCACACAACTCTCTTCTGAAGGCAACATTCAAATACATAAAAGAAGAAAGCTATTCTCAGTATTTCATCATGGTACAAGATGTAGCTCAAAGCAATGCTTCAGATTTCCCCAATTCTACAGGACAATCTTGCCCTGGAGCAAGCTACACCATTCATCCATACATAGCCACACCTTCCTTTTTTTTTTTTTCCTTCCCCTCTGCAAAAACAACGCACCACCTCAGGGAAGACAAAGCCGCCTGCACTCCTGCACTGTACGCACCGTTTGTATTAGTATTCTGCTGAACGGGAGACAGCAATTACATCTTCCTAAATAATGATTCATTTATTGATTACCTACACTATCGAATGACAGATAAATGAAACTACATTCTGACTATGCAACAGTTCCAAATAAGTAAGATAGCCAGCTACAATTTAATCACTATAATTGTATAATAGAGTAGAAATATGTTTTCCTTTTTATTTTTAGTTTGGGTTTTAAACAAAACAGCCTAGCTTCTTAGTGTGCACCTGCCACTTCACAGTAACTTCCACACCCAAGGGGGCAGGAATCAAATTACCTGTATTTCAAAGTTATTAAATTATGTTTAATTTTCCTCATAGGTAAGCTTAAAAAGACAGCATGCATGTAGTGACTGGGAGAGAACAAAATCTCAGTCAAGTAGTGCTTTTATAAGATATGCTTGAATAGCAACACCAGTACATGCAATTTCAAACGTAATAGGGTTATCCTGCAATAAAAGTGAAGTTTCATCTACTTTGCCAAGAAGGTTCTTTTTGTGGTGCTGTAGTTTGAATAGATCAGGTAGGGTTTTAGAAACCAGTTTAACTAGGCTTTAGAAAGTAAATAAGCAAATATGAGCAAGTGTATCTTGTTGAAGTATTTCAATTCTTGTTGAAATATTTCTAACAACTGTCCTTTTTTTTTTTTTTTTTCCCATCCCCTTAAGAGTGGTAAGGTCAGGAAGGAAAAGGTCTGATGTATCATCTACAGCAATTTAAGTCTGTAACTTCAATATATTGACAATTTCATCACTTAATAACACAACAGTCATAAGAAAGCAGAAAAGAAACTTCTATCAGTGAATACGGAGACAGGTATTTCTTTTATAATATTGTCATAAATTGTACTTTAAGAATACTATTTAAGTGGTTAATTTTTCACTAGTCAAAAGTGAAATATTTATTTCCCTTGACTGCTGAGAACACAGAAGACAATGTCTTTCCATCACAAAAAAAAATCACCATCGAATTACCCCTCTGCTTTAATGTGTAACTACAGAACCACAGTCTGAATGGGTTGTGGGGCAGGACCCAGCTTAAGTAGCGTACTACTTCTGTATTTTGGTACCCAAGTGAGTTTTCCCAACAAGACACACTAACATGCCAAAGACCATGACATGAAGCAGGAAGACATGAAGCAGCTCTCTTCAACTCAACACCTTCTTGTTACCACCAGTACACTTAGTCTATGATGGAGACCACCTTGCCTTTCAAGTCTGAGCGTAGCAGCCAGCTACTTACACTCCAAGTTCAGCATTATCTGTGTTCCTCCAAACAGCTAAACAGCAGCGCTAAAGACTGCAAATGAAGGATAAACCATCTGCAATTTCTAGCACCAAGACAAAGAAAACAGTTCAGCATTGCAATCACTCAATTTTTTTTTAAGGAGGTAGCCTTTTCCTTTCAGGTAAACAATTTATTATTTTTCTACAAGAATCTAATAGCTTGTGTTCTTATACAGGCAGATGTTTTTGCTGTGTAATTCAGCTCACAATGGATATTATATACCTTGTTTCAAGATGCTGAGTTCTGCATTTTTTAAGGGTAGCAACAATTTGCTTGTGGCTAGAAGTATGACTCTTCTTTAAGTAAAACAGTGACACACCTAAGGCTAGATTTAAAAAAAAAGCTGTATGTAATTATCGGCTTGCTGACACAATAGGTGAAACTGTGTGTCATACTTTATTTGAATTTTTTTTTTTTCACCGTTTCTCTTCAGAGTGGCAATTCTACCTTCAAGAGTTGATTATATTTAGAAAAGGTACGGCTAACATAACTACAAAGGTATCTACAAAGGTATTTAAGTAAAGCCTTAATATAGCATTAATACTTGCTAAAACACTGTCCAGCATTGTTAGAAAACAAAGCATGTACAAACCACACCACGTTACAACTGATCATAAGCAATTCTCAGCTTCCCCCTTGCCATCCACCCTGTGCTTGTCTCCACTGCACCAACTTATTCCAAAGTTGTCGTATCTGGCATAGCCAGAGTGTTAATTGGTATTACTACCTTAGGTAGAAGATATCAATTATTTGCATTTGACATTTTCCTAAAAAGAAAAAAAAGAATTTGTTTCCAGAACAGTCTGAGAGCTAAAAGACAGGAGCTTCTTCAGAAGCATAAACTCCTTCATACCTGTCCACAAGTTCCCACTAACTGCTTTGTGACAGTAAAGCAAAATAACACACACCATGAGAAGTTAAAATGATGAGCTTGCATCTAATGTATGGAGAAAAACATGATTCTTCACCATGGCAGGGTGAAAGAAGTAAAAGAAATATATTCCTCAAAGCATCATGAGTGGAAGAAAAATTCTGATAAATAGAAAGCTTACACACTCCCACTTCGTCTTTTTTAAAATTTCACAAGAAACAAGTTTACCAGACCTCAAAAGAAACCTTAAAGTCAGAAGATAGAAGCAGAGGATGTATTTTCATAAGGCTTCTGACCAAATCTACAAAAAGCACCAGTTTTGAACCAGACTTTAGTACTGGTATGGCTGTACTCATCCTGAAGATCTGCTCGCAGTGAGAACATAAATGTATTACCGCTGTCCTTAAACTTGCAGCAAATAACTCTGCACAGGTAACAGCCTGCTAGAAACATTTGTTAACATTCTGGTCATGGGTGTCACTGTGACTTCACTGCTACCTGTGCTGTTTAGATTCAAAATAGGAATACAACTCAAGATATGATCATATTATTTCACTGTGCAAGCACATCTTTAGGTACCTTTATGTTAAGAATTTCATCCTATATGTAGTTTACCATGAACTCAGCTAGAAGGGAATTAAGTATGACCCTGCAAAATAAAATATTCCTTCAATGACTTACTATGGCAAACATCAGTATTTCTAGCATGCTTAACTGAAATAAGGTCTACTCAGGAGCACCACATTCTCTTTCTGAAAGTCATCCAGAAACAGTGGATGTCATCATGTTCTAGCACAGCATTGTGTTACAAGACTCCTCTCCTTTAACATCTACACTATTGTAGATGAAACATCAAAAAAAAACATTAAACTACTTTATCAGAGACACAAGGCTAAGATGTCTTAGAATTTTTTCTCTGCACACTTCAGAGAAAAGACATGACAGCTTAAAAAAAAAAAGAAGAAAAACAGTGTTTGGCCTTTGAAAAAGAAACTTGACATCAGGTTCTTGGATGGAAAGATTTTATCAGGGTCTCAAAAAAGCCCAGGAGCAAGTACCACACAGATAAGAGACACTGTTGTGTGACCCTGCACTAAAGGATGAGCACTGAAAAGTGAGGATACAAGGATGAAGAACCACAGGGACTGGCAAGGGGACAGTGCAATCAGGATCAAGTAATAAAAATGGATATGTAGGGCTCACAGACTGCCCCAACGAACTTTAAAATCAGCTTTTATAGAAGAAATAAAAAGTCACATATTGGACTAAGTAAGTAGTCCTGTGTTTCCAAACAAGGCTTTTTGGATGAGATTGACATACTTCTGTCAGCAATCTGAAAGCAAGCCAGCTCCTAGACAGATGCCCAGGAGCACAAATCACTGTATAGTCCAAACTTTTTTTTTATTTTTTAAAAATATAATACTAAATAACTACTGCTCAAAACCCCTCTAATGGAGACAAAGATGCCTGAGTTGCTACTATCAATGTTTATACTAAAAATCTGCCAAAAAACTGTTAGAAGTTCCCTCTGTGCTTGCAGTGCAAAGCACCTATTAAAGACACCTTGAAATGTCAGCCAGTGTGCTGCCAACAAAAAGACTAAGTGCTAAAGAGAGAATCCCACAAGCAAATAGGAGGAAAAGCATGAGATGAAAGAAAAAAGAAAAAGGTAAAATCAATTTTTATCTGCAAAAGTATCATTGGTATTGAGTGAAAAGCTGCACCAAGCTCTAGTTCACCATTGCAGTATCACAGATTCTGATTTGGAATCTTCTGAAAATTTTTGAAAACTTCAAAACAGAAACCACAGATTGAAAAAGAAGTACATGCATGTGTTTCCGTTCAACTGTAAGTAGTGTTTAGTACCCTGGTCGTTCTGGACTGGGGTACTCTGTAAAAGCAGAAGGTATCAAAAAACAAAATTTTCTCATGTATTTGTTAATTTTAGAACGTCTCATTAGGTATAATAACAACATTATTCAAAAGTGATATGTTACTAAGAATTCAGAATTACTATATACAGCTAAAGTTCCCATCACTTCCACAAACTGGAAATGGTCTCATGATTTACTCAAAATAATCTTTGAATTGGAACTCTCCAAAATGAAAATTATAAACTGTACAGAAGAACCATGAGGCTCCAAAATGGCTATTTAGAGAAGAGCTGAAGTGTAGTTTCATCTTTTAGACCAAACCTGCTCAACTTGCAAGTTGTAAGCTGGTCAATAAAGACATGCTATATTCTTTGCACAATACCCATGTGCCATAGTACCAAAACTCCTGAATCATTAGAAATATGTGTTCACTTGAAAAGGTAAAAAGTAACTTCTTCCATAAGTTTTGTCTTCTTCTAATATTTCTAGCTCTTTATGACTCCATAAAGCAACTCCCCAATTTTAGAGTGGTTTGTTATTTCTACCTGTACTGCACTAAGGTTCCAATTCTTCATCTTAAAGCTGATGATCAAGCAGACAGCAGATGACATTCCCCCTGCCCCCCAACCCAAGTCTCCACTAATTTCTCTGAATCTTCCTACAGTGAATTTGTTTGGATTTTTCTTTGGTTTTCTCATGACAGATAAATAGAAGGAAATTAAGTCATCACAACTGATAAGGAAATACTTAGATGCATTTCAATCCAAAAAGTTAAACTGCATCATACAGCAACGACAAGAAATTTCAGACTTCAACAATGACATGGAAAGGCAACAGTATCGTTTATGTCATCGTCATCCCACCCATATTAAATTCTTTAAGATATTCAGCATGTCTGCTAGCATGAATTAATCAACTTTTTTCAAAATTATCATGGAGAAGCAAAAATATACATTCCTTGGCAAACAATATCCAGAGATCAATGAATTTCATTCACATTATATGGGACACACATTTTAACCATGAAGGTATTTCCCCTAAATGGATGTATCACTTTTCATCAATATCTAACTTTAAGTGTCTTAAATATAGAGCATTAGACTCCTAGATTATTAACTTCTAGAATATACGTAATTAGACTATTAGATTAACTTCTAGCTCCTTCCTAATTTTGACCAAAGTTTAAAAATTAACTGTGAATAGCTTGGTTTCTTATTGCCACAACTTACCTTGAAATCTGATTAATAAATGGTATGAGTTCTGCAGGATCATAAGCACGAGCAAAGGCCCAGCACACATAGCACGCTGCATCTCTTACATTGGAACCCACGCTGCATGCCCCCCTCTTCTCATCATATGACAGCGCTTTCAAAATGACAGGAACAACTGTTAGATTGAAAAACATACAAAAGCAACAATTAGGACCATACAGTGAACCAAAAACAAAAGGTATAAGAGCATTCAGTGATCATTAGAGAAAAGACACAGGGTGGAGTTGTATGTTCTGAAAGAAAAACATGGCTCTTAGTATGTGCTAATTTTGAAGTTGATTAGAAAGACGGGTTCTTTTCTTAATACACTATTTTGTTTCTTTCTCTGTAGCAGTTTATTTTTTTATTTCCTTCATATATAATTCAATGAGGATTAAAGCAAGTGGGCTACATAAGAAGTAACACTGCTATCATTTATTACTCAGTGATACACGTTTAGAAGTCAAAGTAATTTTAAAATGCAAAACTTTAAACTGTCTGCTTTTTAAAGTACTGGACTTTAATTATTACAGCAGCACCTATTACTAGAAAAAAAGTATTTCTTAAGAAATACAATATCGTAGCTACCACAAAGTAAAAGAATCATTATCCATCTTTTAGCAGGCAACAGTTACCACAGTAGAGGTCCTATTATGACAAACTCTTCTTAATTAACAGTTCTTGTGAATCATCAATATTCCAATCCTGAAAGGGACTTAAGTACAGTTTTTGCATAATCAGAAAGCGAAGTGACACATTCGACATCATTCTTTCATTAAGCAAGTAAGTTGTGATACTTTATTCACCATAGAACTGATACTTGGCAGGACTACAATACAGTCTTTTAAGCTTGAACCTATCAGCACTGCCAAACTGCACAGATTATAAAGACAGAATATGTATAAACTGCAACGTAACCTAGAAATGCAAACAGGTGGGCTTTGGTCTAATTTCTGCTCAGACATCCAAAACAACACTGATGACTACATGCCTCCCCACCAGCACAGAATGATTTAATGACAGACCAGAAGCCTTTGATGAAGGAAAACAGTATACCCACCACCACCCCCCAAAAAAGACATTTACTATTTTTAGTTCGTGTTTTGTGTTGTGGTTTTTTTTTTTTTTTTCCTATCAGTCATGTTAATTATATCAATTTCACCAACATCAGTTTTTGTTAGACAGTAAGGAAGTAAGATGGAGATCTTTGCATCCTAAACAGCAATATGGAATCCTGCACTGCACTTCCAAATGTACTCAAAATGCACTGAAATTGATTCTAATGTCCAAATCTGAAAATGCTGTCTCATGAGGCCCAGCAGAGAGACTCAAGACAGCCATCCTGGGAAGGTGCCTTTTATTTCACAGTCATGCTTATTTGGGATGGTGTGGACAGGGAGGGACACTAAAACACAAGACAACATTTAACAGAAACTAAGCTATACATCAGACTGTTAATGTTACACTTGAATCCAGCTAGTTATAGGAATTTGAAAGATCATCAGCAGGAATACACTGTGTTTCTGAATGGAAATAATATACTCTGTATTCTTAAGAATACTCTGCTTCTCCTTACTGATCGCTTTAATGACATGCATACTCCAGAACACAGAGCTTCCTTCTGGGAGAAAAGGGGCATTACCTGTGTTCATGAAACAAATCACCATCCAAAAATCAACTGATATGATAGACATCTTATCCAAGGCAGCTCTTTGAAATGCATGTATCAGGCACTGTTTCCATTTAATGAACAACATGAGAAAACTTTGGATTGAGTACGTTTAGCCAACAAAGGCCTAAAAGCCGCAGACCTCAGTATAACGTGTCTCTGTGCCACATTTTATTGAGGGAGCTCCAGAGAAAATGCAGTTGCACAGAGCAAAAGCCCGGGCTGAGCACTGGAACCATACAATACTGTTGCGGTGGGACAGTGGTAGGAGTACAGCTCTTCTGGTTTTCAGTCTCATTGAGGAAAACAGAGAAAACACAAGTCGTAAAACAGAAGTAAAGGCAAATGAAGATCCCAGAACCTTATCACAAAGGCCTCGGAACACAGATACGGTTATCATAAGGAAGTGACAAAAATAAACTTAGGAAAAGAAGTAGATTAAGAATTTCACTTTCATGCTTATATTCCCATCAAAACAGCAAAAGTCAATACAATTTTTCTACTTCCAAAAAACTTATAGAGGAATCTCTTGCACAGTTGTAGTATATCCTGTCAGAGTTTAAGAAATACTGTATATATGCAAGGCTCCCTGGAGGGCTTTCTTTTGGTATCTACAAATCCAGATATATAATTTGAATATGTCTCTCTCTAGATGGTATGTCTTTTAACAAATGAATAATGTCTGCAGAAACAACAGCCTCTAGAAAGAAGGAAAAAAAAAATAAAAAGAAACAATTTTTCTCCTTCCTTGTATCAAATTTATCAAATGCATCTTTTTTCTTTAGAAAATGCTCGTCAAAAGGTGATCCCACTGTACAAGAAATGGGATCACTGAACTGTATTTCATTAGCAAACTGTGCCTGGATATACTTGAGTGGATATAATCAGAAAATAATTAAACTTCAGTGTACTGTTCATCACTGTATGCCTGATGTTTTAAACAAATAAATTATGCATCACAGCTGGAGAAGTGTTAAAATGCCATTTAGCTTCATTTTTACCTACTAAAGAAAATAAAGCAGTAATTAGAGGGATGGTCAAGATATGACTATTAGGAGCACTAGCACTACATGGGGAAAAAAAAAGCAATTCTCATTCAGGAACAATGATATAGCAAAGATGGATGGATATTTGGGCACTTTCCAGTTCTGAAAGAAACTGCAATAAAAATCTTTAAAAATGTAGACTAGCTTGTTTTGAAAAATGCTGCATCAACTGATGAAAAAAAAAAAAAAAAAAAAGTCATTTGCAGGTTCTACAGGAACACTAAAACAGATGCCAAAGGCAATTTTGCAAAGCTGCTGCAAATTTCCTTCAGCACAGGGTGATTACTCCAGCTACTTTCAACAGCTGTGAGTGCACTCTCACCTCTCTGTGTACTGAAGGAAAGGTGGAAGAAGGCCCCACTACCAGCTCCTCACATTTATATTGTCTATATGAAAGAAAAAAACCAAATTTTTTTCAGTTCAGGGCATTAATTTCCTAAATGGTAGGGCCAATACTAAATGACACCTAGCTTATTAGGATCAGTCTAAGACAGAGGTGATGCTTCCAGGGGTCTGTAACAGCAGATACTAAGAAAATGCCAGAACAGCAGCACTATTCCTCTGAGCAGCTCAAGCCTTCCCCATTATCTGTCAGCAGGCCTTTGGACTCACACCTCTGATGTCCTACTCCTGTGTCTGGGACTCAAAGCATTGCTGCTGCCAGAGAACCAATGCGACTGCGAAGTCTGGAGAGGGAAGGGGGACAATGAAAAGGAAGGATACAGAAAAGGACATTTAGAAGGTGGGAGAAAAAGGAAAAACAAGGTGAAGTATACAGCAGTAAGGGCTAAGTAAATATAAATACAACAACGACAACAAGGGAAATACTGATCTAGGGGTCATCTGTTAAAGTTTTTGTGCTATCACTGACTGAATATTTACTGGTGGACTGTGGACTACAGGAAATACTATAAAAAAATTGCTCCTGACAAACGTTTGCATGTTTGAAAAAGTACATCCAGAACTGCATTTCCTGTTGGTATTTAAGAGTCATAAAAACCCTAAAGAAACACTACCCAAAAATTCCAGGTTTCACTTCGTTATTTACCATACAGTTCTTCAAACACAATGTGGGGATTGTTTTTGCTACGGCTTCCTGCAGTGTCGGAAAAGCCTGGCTGAAGGAAGTCATGAAGGAACAGTACAGGCAGAACTATCTGTAGTATTTAGTCCACTGTAACTGAAGTCTCTTAGAAAACACCTTCCTAATCCACAGTTTGACAGACTCTGTATTCACATTATCTCATGTTCACTTTTCATCTTCAGTCTAAACACAAAACACTAAGTTGAATTTTATTTAATGTTTTTCTCTGGTTTAAACTGCTCACATTCATACTCTTCTAAAGTATTTTTGATATACAAAGTAGCAATGAAGTCCACAGCTTTGTAGTCAGCTTCTGCATTTTGTATCTGCTATGCAATTTCAATTCAACATTATAATCACTTCTCAAATATTCAGGATGGTCAGTGTTGTTCTGTGCTGCTCTATTTCATTTTTTTCAAATTTAATATCATGTTGAATTAATACCTAAAACCAGTTTATTAAAAAAAACCCCACAAATAAAAAAGGCTTTATAATAAAAAAATTCCAGAAGAAACTTATTTTAGTTTTGAAGGGTGGAGACAATTTTCTTCATTTTTGAAATTATGAGCATGCTCCTTCTATGTAAAAGTAGAAGGCTAGGAGATACAACAAGGACAAGACCTGAACTGTTAACTTTAAAAGTTACCATTTCTTTCACAAATCTATGTTAAAAGTTTGCCATTAAAATCAGAGGACAAATAGTGTCCACTCTCAACCTAATTATTAAAACAATATCCACCTGTTTGGGTCTGTGAATGCTCAAGAAAATACAGTCACCTTTACCTGTAGCCTAGAGGTATTAATAAGCACCTGTTACACTCCACCCTGCCTTACCTAACAACATAACTGCAGGTTGCAACACAGCTCTTTGCTCAAGCCTTGTGAAAATAAAGAAACAACTTCTGGCTTCAAAGCATTACAAATAAGAGATTTTTTTTTTTTTTCCTCATACAGGTTGCACAGATATTTTGCTTTTTAAACACAGATTTTAAACAATCAGATGCTAAGCACCTTTCAGGTGCAGGTGATAGACACTAGACAACTAATTAAGAAACCTTACAGAAGATACTGTCTACTGAAAGGTCACATGTACACAAATAAAAAATGCCTCATATTATTCCTTTAAAAAAGCGCCTTTAAAAACATACTTTGCACAAACCTAGACTATAACACATGCCATCAGGAGCCCTACGTTACTTTAACTTCAGACTGTAATTTTTTTAAAATTTGCTGCAATGTTTATCATAAAAAACATACAAATATAGCAATTAAACAAACAACAACAATAAAAAACTGTTCCTTAGCCTTAGGTCTTGTGTCCACAAGAAAACTGTCAA